GTATGTACAACACCACCACCTTACTATGTTATACCTAAAACTTGCCATTAGGAAAAAAACTTCGGGTATTACTGGTATTGTGGTGGAGCATATTATCATATAGTTGTTAGGTTTATCTCTTCTACCACGGTTTCGAACTTTCAACCGATCTTCTAGCATTGAGAAGAGAAATATCACTGAATTAAGAGTTAAATGGCACTTCACACTTCTTGGTAAGTCCTATGCTCTCTCATGACCTTTTCTCTTTACTTTCATCCCCCACTTGTACAACAGAGAGTTGTAAGATGGAGAAGTAAACATCATTTTCTTGTCCCATTTTCTATTTGAATCATGGCTTGTGTTGGCATGTGGTGGCGACTTCCAAGCAAAAGTAAAAAAAAAATGTGGTCGACCCATAGATAATTTGGGCAATAGGTATTATGATGGAAACAATACAACAAATGCAGGACCGCTCTCCTGCGAATTTGAGGTACGGAGCTCGACTTTTAACAATGGCAACCTTACAACAATCACAATCACGCCAGCTTCCACCAACTTGGATTGTGGGGGGCACTCTCAGCTATAAGCTGGATTTTGGATCTTTTGCCTAGGGTTATTTGAAGCATGCACACACAGTACTCATATTGTGCACATTAGTGCCTATGTAAAGGAGTTGACAGTGACACCCATAAGGACAAGGGCAGAACCCAAAATTTCCCCCCCATATACGTGTCTGGCTTCTATCGTGAGAGATGTTGGAGTAGGATGGGCTAATTATTGTTCAGTGAGGTGATTAAGGTATCATAATCATTATAGGGTTTTTATTTATCGTGAATAGTCCCTGTACTGTTGTAAACTCATCATTTTGGTCTCTATCCTTCAAATTCGATTAATGTCAGTCTCATCTTCTTATATATATCCTGCACATCAATGTCATCCTTAACGTCAATTCCATTCATTTCTCCGTCCAAATTGAGGGCAATATCATCGAAACACACTAACTCATGATGGAAATGTGTCAAAATAACACCACCCCCCACCCCCCTCCTCATTCTCTCTCATTGATCTACCTGAGGTGGTGGGGGCTGGGGTGCACTGTGGATGGGGTTGATTGATGGGTTGTTTAGGGGTTGAGTCGCATGGGAAGGGGTAGGGTTAGGGCGTGGGTGGGGAGAGAATGAGAGAGAGAGGTGGTTGATGGTGGTGGCTTGATGGGCTAGCTAGGGTGGCTGTGATTAGGGGGCTGCTAGTTTTTCTTTTTCTTCCAAGTTTTTTTTTTCTTAATTGAATATTTCAAAATTAATTGACAGAAGTTAGAAATTTGACAATATTACCTTTAATTATAACGAAAATTTGGACGCATTTGATATTGGATAACATTGATGTGCGAGACAAGGACGAGGATGACATTGATTGAATTTAAAAAATGATGATCAAAATTATGTGTTTGGAAGAATACATAGCCTATTCGTGATAGGAAAAAAAAACGTTAAATGAAAGTCACACAAAAGAATAATATAACCATAAAATTGGAAGTCGATAGTGAGAGTGATTATGAGAGTTGTCTATCCGAGCCAAGTGTGAATGCTCAACCATGACTTAAACGTGCAACTACTACACTTGTGTCTAGACCTGAAAATGGCTGAGGTCAAGCTTCTCCTAGTGCTTCGGCTTTGATTCTGACTAATCTATGGCCACCACCACTGTCAACGCCGCCGCCGCCGCCACCACCACCATCATCATCATCATCATCACATGCCACACCATCACAGCCGCCACCAGATGTGCACATACATGCAATAATTTCCAATTATATATCACTTATTTTGCCATCACAAATGGTCCAAGCAAAGAAGAAAGGTTTAACCTGGAATTGTTTTAGCAACTTGCATGGGTTGCGGTCAAAGCGATGCGTAATATTTTTTTACTTGTTGAGGGAAGACCAAACCCTATTTGACATTTGTAAATGGTTTCATTTGATTACAACATTAGTTCACGTGGGCTGTGGCAATAGTGATTTGCAATTTTAAATTTGGCTTAAATTAACTTTTACGTTAAAGCTCAGGGTCCCTCTATTTTGGTTAATTTGGATTTTCCCATAAAGTATTGATATCTCTTAGTGTCTATTATGTCGATGAAGGCTGAAGAGTACTGTACTTGTTTTATTCATGATAGGGTGAAATCTCACCAAATCTTACACTGGAATATATAATAGATTTGTATTGTATATTGTTAGTGGGAGTCAGGACTATATGTCGACTGAGGGTGATTTGAAGTAATGTTTTATTTGATTCAATTTTAATCTATACTCATCAAGTGGTTAAAAACTTTCATATTTTCGTATGAGGTTTCTATCTCTGTCAGAAGCAGAACTATCGCTCCACATCCAACCGGACAATTCAAAGAGAGCTATAATGTCATACCCGCGGCTTTTGTGTGGTGCAGAAGGGATGAGGAGAAGAGAGGGGAGGTCGGTAGGGAGCAGGGGTGGAGCTAGCATGGGACCAGTGTGGTCCCAAGCTCCCACTCCATTTTTATCTCTTTTATTTGCATATTATATATAATATATAATATATAGTATTATAATATATTAGATTGGTTTTAGGATATTTACCCTAAAATAAAATATAGAAAAGTTGATGTAGATTCAAATTCATATTGAGAAGTTGGGTTTAATCATCAGATTTGGTGACTTCGATCCAAGTCCCTTGACTCTTGTGGGACATAGAATTACATTCATTTTTAAATATTTTATGATGTAACCTTTTTATTATTTTATTTTTAAAATTATTTTTTGTTCCAATGTTGCTCCTTATTACTTGAGTCGGGTAATAGTCATTTATGTCATATTGCCTATTGCATATTGCATAGGTATATATATATATATATATATATATATAAATATATGTTTTTTCATATTTTCAACAATGTATAATAGTATTTTATGTACCTTTTTTATTATAGGTAACATACAATTTTATTTTGTCTATTTTTGTATCTGACTTATAGGTAGTCTTCTAATTTATGTTCTTAACTTATATGTCATGATTTATCACTAAGTATTTTTCGTTGCTAATAATAACATTATTTACTTGTATGTCAGGTACATAATTTAATGTGGGTGCTTGTCTAATCGATTGGTATGATATGTGGGTCTTTACTTTTTATTGATTAAATTGTATTTTATCCATATATTATGAATATTATCAAGGAAATAATACAAAATTTAAATTCTGGAATTCAATTACAAGGAAATAATGCATTAAATTTAGATTTTCAATGTATTTTCCTTATTTACCTCAAATGGTAAAATAGACACAACAAAAAAAGTAATAAATATCAAAGAACCTACATCTAAAACAAAAAATTGCAAAAATTAAACCCAATGACAACTAATCGTTTTGGACCTAGATCTAAAAAGCCCAATAAAATAATATATTAGGTTCTTTTTGTCTACAAATAAACCTAAAATTTCTTGATCTCCCTTCTACTCATCTCCCTTAAATCTTCTAGGTTAGTTTATGATATTTGCAATATAAACTCCTAAAGTTTTAACCTTTTTTTCTCCTCCTCTTTTGTTTAAAGCTTTGTGAATTTTTTATTTTCCTTTCCCCATTTTTTTTCTTCATGTAATTGGATACCTTAATATTGTGCTTTATGAACCTTTTTTTTTTTAAAAAATTTCTTTTTTCTGCTGGAATATAAATGATTAATTTTTAAGTCTTTAATAGTGCAGATGATGAAATTAATATTTAACCAAATTAAAATATGAAATTCATGATAATTAATTTATGAAGAGAAGACAAGTTCTATGAAGGGCTCCATCTAATATAAAATTCTGGCTCTGTCATTGATAGGGAAGGAGGCCACTTTCCTTATGATTTTCTTAAAGAGCGTATAGGGTTTTTGGTTTGAATTGAACTAGCATTACTTGACATTTAATATGAGATATTTGTATTACAAATCCAATCCAAAGATTAAGCATTATGTATTTTTAGGGTTTTGGTTTCATGCAATGAAATGGAAACAACATTTATGTTCCTTCCATTGTTTTTCACATATTTAGTAGGCAAATAGCTAATAGGATGAGGATCTCCAAACCATTAATCTTATGTTACAATTCACTTTAGCCTAAAGATCCGAGCTCCAAATCCTAGATCCCCTTTTAGAACTTCAAGTCCTAACCTAACTTCGAACTTGAGATTTGAGATTTGAGACGCGTTAACGGTCAAACTCTAAATTCCAAATTGAGAATCCAAAAAGGTTTAAAAGTGGATCTTGAATCTGAGACCTAAACCTAAACCTTGGTCCCCCATGAAGCAAACCCCTTTTCCAAATTTGAGTCCAAACTTATTCCTATTTTGCAAACCAAAACAACAGAACGAATTTCCTTTGTCAATATAATTGCATTCCACATACAGCCAATTTCTATTCAATTCCATCAACCACTAGTGGCCTGAGTTTTCAAAACCAAAGCGCTAGGATACAATAACAGAGGATCCAAATCCAATTCCCCTAGATGCCGTTTCATCGAGTGAGGACTAATGCCAGTGAACAAAAAAGGAAGAAAAGGTGAACAACTAGCTAGCCGACCATTGGGATGGTCAAAATTCTTCATTTCTTTAACGAGATTTGTAAGGCAATTGATAGGTGATAAGATTTATAGGATAACAATATATTTTGATAAGTCTTCCAAGATTCAGCAAGTACAACTGGTAATTTTCAACCGTCCAAACAAACATTACCACAGCCACCAAGCTCATCTATATATGGTCCATATTCAAAACAATAAGATAAACCAATGGCCATGCATGCATATGCCACCACTTACAAAAATGTCCCCATTTATTAATTTACATTATCACCCCCCAAATTTCACTCTATTCCCACCACCACCCTTCAATATCTCAGTCGTTGGTCCTCTCTAGTCTATATATATACCCCACAACCATGAACCTTCCCACTTCAGTTCACCCTCCATTTCTCCAACCAGACCATCTTCCACACACAAAATTACCAAAATGGGCTCCCTCCCTCACATAGTAGAAGACTGCATGGGAGTCCTACAAGTCTTTAGCGATGGTACGATCAACCGTTGCTCTTTAATGGACATAGACTTCAACATTCCTGTCGTTGATGACCACTCTGTGGCCTTCAAAGACGTCACTTTCGACAAAAGACATAACCTCTCCCTCCGTTTGTACAAACCCAAATCGGCAAACCGCAATTCTAAGCTCCCCGTGGTGTTCTACTTTCATGGTGGCGGTTTTTGTGTCGGCTCATGTGTGTGGCCAAACTGCCACAACTGCTGCCTCCGCCTGTCCGCGGGGCTCCACGCTCTTGTGGTTTCCCCGGACTACAGGCTTGCGCCGGAGCACAAGCTCCCAGCGCCAATTGATGATGCGGTGAGTGCGGTGGAGTGGCTGCAAAGGGAGGCTTTGATGAGTAAAAGTGGCGATTGTGATGCATGGATGGGTGGTACCGCTGACTTTGACCGGGTTTTCATTGTGGGCGACTCTTCTGGCGGGAATATAGCCCACCACCTGGCGGTTCGGCTCGAGGCCGGGTCGGCCAAGGTGGCCCCGGTTCGGGTACGTGGGTATGTGCTACTAGCGCCATTTTTTGGTGGGGTGGAGAGGACAAGGTCAGAGGAGGGGCCTTGTGAGGCATTGCTGAGTTTGGACATACTTGACAGGTAATTCAAAACGTTTTTTTGTTTGTTTTGAGTTTTTGTCCCTTTGTTAGTTTGCTCAACGGTACACATTCAAACTAGATTACATATTTAAAAAAATAAAGTTAATCATTTTATTAATTCATGAACTTAGATCTGATTTGTATTTGAATTTCTTAATTTTTAAAATCGTTCCTGTGGTCCTTCAACTTCAGTTTCGTTAGGACAAATGGTCTTGCCGTCAATTTTGTTAACTTTTCTATTAAATGCAAGGGCAAAATGGTATTTTTGTATTAACTTGATTAAAATATGAATAAAAAAATTATAAAACTAAACTACTCTCTCTCCTCTCATCCTCTCTATCCCGATTTCTACTTAACTTTTTTTTTTTTTTTTTTTTTTTTTTTTTTTTTTTTTGGGTGGGTGGGTTTTTTATTTGATTTTTTATTGTTATTTTAAAAATATGATTATTTATTTATTTATTTTGTTTTAATATAAAAATACCATTTTGCCCTTGCATTTAATAGAAAAGGTTAACAAAATTGACAGCAAGACCATTTGTCCTAACGAAAGTGAAGTTAAAGGACCACGGAACGATTTTAAAAATTGAGGGACTCAAAAACAAATTTGGTCTAAGTTTAGGAACTAATAAAACGATTAACCCAACAAAATATATTCATTTTAATGGTTCCTTTTTGAAAACCTAAATTTAAAAGATAATAAGAAAACAGTTTCTTCTACACAAATTTTAATGTGTTAGGCTAAGAATTTTCCCGTTTTCGGCATCTGTATTTTGAAAGAAAAATACTTAGCTACTTATGCGTCGAGACTGTCTTTTATTCACCTTCATTTTTATCCATAAGGATCCAAAAATCGTCATTCCAAAAAGCAACAAACTTACTAGCAACGAAGAAATGATAATCTCACGGAGTAAAATTTGACTAAAACCAAAACCATCCAAATTTAAGGTTTCTGATATGAGGCCTTTCAATCAAATTTGACTAGGGACATGTATCGTCTGGGTTCTTTGTCAATGAAAATTAAAAATGTTCCATCATCTTGACTAAAAAAAAAAAAGATGTTGCACATGTGGATTGCAATTTTGTCCTCTAACAAGACCAAGACTAGAAGTCTAGACTAGCTTTTGTGGTCTAAATAGAATATGCACCTCCAAATCCCTCTAAAGTTGATGATGTGAAATTCATTTATCTCCTTTTACGTGTGAGTGTGATCTTGACACCATTTAATATTGGAGGTGTCTTATCCAAATTCAAAATAATAAATCAAAGCATGGCCAATTTCAAAATAATAATTATAATCTCAATGACCTACCACTAATTAATCATTATTAATACATAAGATAGTGCTTAATCCAGTCTAAGCATGACCTACCCAACCCGAAGTGATTAAGATATAAATCTAGATAGCCCTTGATATTATCTCATAATATAAGCGTGTAAGCCTAATTGTCATGTAAGTAGTGCTTAATCCAATATGAGTATGACTTAAGATAGTGCTATATCCATTATCAACTCCCCTTAACCAATCATTATTTGATGGTTCTAATATTGTACACGTATTTGACCCTGAATACATAGAAATCTATCATGAGATATGATATCTAAGAAAAGAAATTATTAGTTTGATCGAAACAATTGTCTTTCGTGAGATTTGAACTCATAATTTCATCGCTAACTCTTCTTTGACTTAATTGCCATACAGATTTTGGAGACTCTCACTGCCAGCAGGAGAAACCAGAGACCACCCACTGGTGAACCCATTTGGACCGAACAGCCCAAACCTAGAGAAAGTGGCCCTTGATCCAATCTTGGTTATTGTGGGTGGCAATGAAATTTTGAAAGATAGGGTGGAGAGCTACTGGAGAAAGCTGGAAGAGTTGGGGAAGAAAATTGAGTATGTGGAATTTGAGGGACAACAACATGGGTTTTTGACGGCTGATCCATACTCAGAAGTCTCAAATGAAGCTTTGCAATTTATTAAAAGATTTATGATTGAAAACTCCAACTAAATTAAGCATCATCATGCATGTAATGTTTGTTCAGTTCCTAGAACTTTGATTTAATTATTTAGTCTAAGTGTTTGAGGTTGTTGTATTGTATGTTGATTTGTACACGAGTTTTTAGATCTATATAGCTAGTAGTATGCTTTCTTGTGAATCTGAACAAGATATATATATAGCGTGTTTTCTTGTGAATCTGAGCAAGATATATTTATATATATAAAGTAAAAGACAGGTGAAACATTCAAAATATCAGAAAATGTTTTTGGTTAATGCAAACATTAAAAATTGAAATTATTAATTAAATGAGAATAATAAGGTCAATTTATATTTTTCTTATTGAAAAATTAAAATTAAAATTAAAAACAAAATTAGATAATGAGTCCTACTTGTATGGAACATGACTACCATTTTATATTTTCTTAATTCCAAAATAAAAATTAAAAAAACAAAACCAATTGGGGGCTAGTGTTTATTAATCGTAATGTGTATTATTAACAATTTCAAGAATATATAAGTTGTGGAGCATACCACATCAAGGATGAGAGAGTAATTGGGGAAAAGTGGGGTTATCACTTTGCATGATGAATTTATCTTATCCTCATGGTTATGGTATTTGTCATATGTAACACAATACATCATTCAAATCCAACTTGATGGTTTGCACTTGAAGTGATTAAGAGTATTTACTTCTACAATAGAGATTTTAGATTCGATTCCCCCTTTTTTCAATATCTCTTGTATACAAAAAGAAAAAAAAACCAACACAATGTTTGAGAGGGTTAAAATTGGTATTAGTTGACACTAAATCATAACATGGATGCATGATTAATTAGCAATTAGTAATGAATAAGAATAACTTAATTTGGAAGAATTTTATATTATCATGTAGTGCTAATTTCTTCACACTTTTGTTTTTGTTTTAACAATGCGATATTCTAAATTATAAAAAGGAGATTCGAATTTATGTGTAAGAAAACGTGCACAATTACACCCCATTATCTCTATTTCCACTAAGTTTATTACATATTTTTAATTGGTTCTAAATTCACTTATTAGGGCGATATTAAAAAGAAAAGGGAAATATAAAGTAAGATATCTATTATTTTAATAATAGTAGAAGACGTCCATATCGATAACTTTTAGACTAGCCTCAAACTCGAGTCAAACTTTGCGTATGAGATTTAATTGTCGTATTATGAGGATCCTTTTGAGAGGATTTTGTGGGTCCACAATCATCAATCCATGCCCTTGTTTTGGATTAGATTTTGAATATTATATTCATCTTTCAATCTGAATTGTGCCTTATCTTGTGACTATCCGATCCTACTAACAAGACCATAGGGATTATTTATGGGTCCGTTATGTTTATGATTTCACATATATCATTATCCCAACTTTATATTTTTAAAGATAAACGTGTTCTTACATGTTCATATGAAAAGCCGATCATTGCTCTGGACAGGATATAAATGGCCAAAACATATAAAGTTGTTGTTCTTCATTTGGCATGTCCACGCCATTTTGATAGTGAAATTATAGTGCAGTGCATGAGGCTTAATATCCAATATGTAATTCTATTGATTGAGTTTGGCTGGTTCTCGACCTAGTCTAGGTGGGTTTTTAGAGAGAGAAAGCAAAATGGCATGGCTCTAGGGTTTCATTATAGTACGAACTCTTGAAAATATCACATTTGTTACGTCATTATGACTTGTTGATTAGTCATTTGTCATTTAGTATTATTTTAAAGGTTTGATACACCGAACATAATTGCCTTTTTCTTTGAAAGTAAGAACTTCTATTTTCTTACGAATCACAGTTTGACGTGTGTGTATATTTGAAAGTAAGAACTCCTATTTTCCTACGAATCACAGTTTGACGTGTGTGTGTATAGATTTTTCAATTTGTGTTTTTAATAAATTATTTTTGCATATGTGTGAAGCTGTTATTTACAGGAAGTAAGAATGCCTCTCTCTCAGGAAAGAGGAAAGCAGTGTCCTTAATACACTGTCTGTTTGGTCTAATACACTTTGATTGATCATTTGTCAGTGTTTGTATACGTACTTAGTAAGTGTTATTCATACCATAGAAAAAATGTATATTCTGAAGAGAGATTGTATTGTGTAAGTGTACTCATTAATATTCTCAACGCACTCAGAATTGTCGCTTCAATATGACACGATAATACAGTTATATTGTCTATTCAGATATACTGAACTGAGCGACTGCATGCCAATCACTAATCAAAACTGCTTTTTTCTTTTTCTCTATTCGTGTAACCATATACACTTACTTACCTGTTATTTATTTTTTTATTTTTTTTATTTTTTTTCTTGTAAACAATAATTTACACCATATACACTTATCTGTTTGGTTGGGCATTCGAGACAAAACAGACAAACTTCTCTCCAGCATTTGCATGATCTTCAACGAATGGAGTATGGATGAGCAGATGGCAGCAGATTTTCTTTTCGTACGGGTTCTGAAACTCCCGGAATCCCAAACACATTCCAAGCTTGAACCGTCTCATCCGCGGCTGCAGTGGCCACAGTGCATCCATCTGGGATCTGAAAACATAAACAGCAGCGGTTACAAACAATTAGAATGTGTAAATGTAACTACCATATGAAGTTGCCATGAAAATTTACCAATCCATGAAATCAAATACACAAACAGAATTGAATTCGCCAAAGTGCAATTTAAAGTCCAAATTAGTACCTGAGTCATGAAGAGAACTCTGGAGGTATGGCCAGTTAGCTCTGTCGTCCTCACCATTGACGGTACTTCCAAAGGATAAGCTCATTCTTGCTAAAACCATGACAACTAAGCAATTCACGCTCATAATTGTTCCACAAAAAACCACACACCTGCGAGCCAGTGTCAACCGAGCTCAAGCACAAGCCTGTTTGTGTGTTCCAGAACTTAATGCACAGGTCAAGTTCACCACCAGAGGCCAAAAAATTCTCTTGAAATGGACTTGACTGCTGCAGTGTGGTCTTCAAGCCTTTGAAGCCACTCTCTTGGTGAACTGGAGGAGGCTGTTGACCTGTCCCATATGAAGAGAACATGATCGTTTCCTCCACTGGCTAAATGCTGGTCTGAGGGTGACCATTTTAATCCACAGACGTCCTCGGGCCCATGACCCTTTTAGGTTCCAACAATGTGGGATCTCACTCTTACAGCATTGTTGATAATTCTACCATCCATTCCTCCTGTAGTAAGAATGTGTTTGTTCCAGGCCAGTGAACCTACTCTTCCATGGTGACCACCTCTCAATGTTCCTTTCTGCAGTAACAAAATCAGCAGATGATTAGTACTATAACCAAGGTTTCATTTTATAAGGAAAGCAACCAACAATTATAAGCAACAATAATGTTCTTACCAATCTAACAGAATCCCATAACTGGACCCAGGAATTGTTCAAGCCAACGGCAATATGCTGCCCATCAAGAGCCCAGCTGATGCTTGTAATGGGACCATCTTCGTCATCAATTGTGACAAGTTCTACGATGGAACGGTGCGAAGGATTCCGTAGGTACACTGAGTTTCCAAGAGCAATTGCAAGAATGTTGCTGCTGATCCAGTCTAGTAAATTCAAGTAGAAATTATCTACAATACCGGGAACGTCCAATGTTCTCTCTGGATCCTGCAAAATCAAATTGAAAGAATTAGAACAGCCACACACAAAAATCAATATGATCATCATTACAGTCACAATCCTAAGAAAAATTATATTCCCTTATATGATGATCACTACACACACTACATATTATCATCGTTTCAGGCACTAAACAGGCAGATTTACATTCCCTTAAATCTAGCATTACCTATACCTTAGGAGAGAAGGAAGTTGAGGTTGCACCCCAAAACCAATTGGCAATGGCGAAGCAGCCCAACTCCTTATAAGCCCTTGCAAGGTTTTCTAACTTTCCAATGTGAGACATGGTCACCTTCACATTCTCACAAGGAATTCAAGTGTCCACAATCCAAATTCAAGTATGATGATATTAGTGCAATTATACCTTAGGAATTCTTCGACAGGGCTTGGTAGATTTGGCCTTACGAAGAGGGGGTGAGAGCAATCTCCTTGGAATGGCTTCAACTGGGGTTGGCAGTTTGTTCTTGAATGTGAAGATCCGTGCTCGGTTCATGTTGAAGGTCTCAGTCAGTAGCTTCTGATATGTAGGGCTTGCAGCCCATGGGTTCTCGATTCCTTTTCTCCTTCCTGTGACCATGTAATGCATGTAATCAAGGTCCATTGCCGCCCGATTGGGTATAAACCTATCCAACAGTAAATAACAAACATATTTATTAGTCAGAAGCAAACCAAAAACCAGACACGTTAATACCCCTCTGTTTGGTTTCAAAGAAAATGACAGAAAAGTGAATCTCTCAGACCTATTTTATCTTAAACAGACCATATTGGTTTTTTAACTCCTACACTGGATTGGACAACTAGATTAACTGAGTAAGTTTGAAAACAAAAAATCGTGTTCACATAACCTAAGGCACAAGAAATGAACCGTTGAGCAACCATTGTGGATGCTCTAAGGCACAAGAAGAATCCCATTTAAATATTAGCATCATTTAATAATTGAATGGAAACCTATCCATTTACAGAACTGCTACTTATACAATTTCAATCAATCTAGAAAGGCAGGGGAGAGTTAAATATCAGCAACATAAAAAACCCAACATGCAAAGTTTCTTGCGTAAAATACTATCCCTGTCTTATGAAGTTATGTTTCATATGTCCCAAAAAGCATAGTTCCGCACACAAAAATTCAGGAAGTGTTGAATGGGTAAAGTTTCTTGCACACACTACTTTTATTAAATGGGTAAAGGGTTACTTGTCAATTCACAGTTTCATCTCTGCAGATTATCAATGTTTCTCCAAAGGCCAGAACTTTAGTACAAAAAAAATCTCAGGTTGAATGAGAATAAGGATCTCCCCTTGATGCTATGAACTTTAGTATCATAATTAGCATTTGATTTTTGTGAAAAGCAGCAGACCCAGCGAAATAATAAATGAAATTGCGGCTCTGTTGACTCAATTATCAACCCAATGCTCTAAAATCTTACAAATTAAAACCCTAAAATTGCAAATTGACAGATAACCCAAAAAGACAAGGAAAATTGAAATTCAAACAAGGCAACAGAACCCAGAAAAGATTCACTTACATTCTCCTAATTAGGCTTTCTCATAAGGAATTTTGTTATCCAAGAGGGTTCCTGAAGATGTTGCTCGATGAACTCGAACTCATTTTTCCCTGTATCTCACTGTGCGTGAAAACGACGAAGCTAAGGCGCCAAATTGAAGAAATCAAAACAGAGATTGGCTTTTCATATCAACTACCGACTTGTATTTAAATTCGCATCGATCGATCGGGTTTCACCAAAAACCCGCGTACGGACACCAGCTGGCAACAGCTTCTTAAACAAAAATTATTTACTTTCCAACTTCACCCTTGCATTTTATTTTTACCATGGTCGATTTTGTCATTTGCACACGTCTTTTTAAATGAATCATCAAGTTTTGGACCAACGGTTAACAAAAAGAGGTTTTGTGAAAACTTCAGAGGCTTTGTGAAAATAATTTGAAATCTCATAGGGTGTTTGTGTAATTTCAAAAACCTCATAAGATTTTGTGAAAAAGCCAAAAACTTGAAGGGTATTAATATAACTAACAATATATATATATATATATATATATATATTTCACATGTTTTTTTTCTTCCCCATTTTATGTCCCATATGATAAATTACATACATGTAAAAATTGTAATACAAATTTTTTTTGATTTTTCTGTATTTATCTATCTATATAAAGGTAGAAAGGTTGGCACATTCAAAACCCCATATATTCCACTTGGTGAATAAAGAAGATATTTTATTAAATAAACATAAATTGGTACAATAAAAATATGTTTAAATTAAATTAAGTAAAAAAATATATAAAAAAATGTTTTGCAGGTGCCCATACTAGAGACACCTCAAAAGTATTATGTATTTTAGATATAGTAATATGTGATTTATCAGGATGGTACTTGAATTACTGTGCATAGTAATATAAATATTTATTTTTTGTGCAAATTTTAATTTATCTTTTATAAACTGTTCAAAAGTTTAATAACTCAAACTTTTAGTTCCTTGGAACCAAAAAAAAAAACTTTTAATTCCACCAAAAAAATATTTCAAAATTCACATGCAATACATGTTACAACCACTTGTTTTTTAAAAAAATTTCAAAAACAAAAACAAAACAAAAGGGACATGAAAAGAAGGAGGAGTGTATGGGAAGATGGATTCAGAAAGGGAGGAGTTAATCCAAATCTTGCAAGTTCGATCCTTTTTTAGCCAGTGAAGAGAAGAAGGGTTGAGAAGAGGGTTGTGGGGATTGTTAGGGTTAGAGATATATTGTGAAAGGCATGGATCATAACCATCAATAATGCCAAGCATATCATAAGTTTGAAGGATAGGGACACTACAAAAAAAAGTGGCAACAGTTACTATTATTTGGTGACTAATGTAGGGTGACTAAAGTCTTTAGTCACCCCCACATTAGTCACCAAATGTCGCCAAATAATGGTAACTGTTGCCACTTTTTTTTGTTTTTGTTTTTTTTTGGTAGTGGGAGGAAAAGTTATTTACTAAGAGGTAGTTGTCCTAAGTCAGTATGATGGGTAAAAGGGTGGAGATTTAAGGAGCAGTGTGGAAGGGAGAAAAGGAAAAGGGAGAAGAAAGGAAAGATGGGGCTGAGGTAGGAACATAGTTAGTAAATGATGGAGCAGAAGATAGGGGAGGTGGAACCCATGCCAAAGTTGCTAGCATCGTGCTCCTACAACGACAATCTAACTCCCAACCATCACCGAACACGGTGTCGTCGTCGCTCTTCTTGAAATTGCCAAAACTAAATTCAGATGAAATAAAACCCAAACAAAATAGAAAACTCAAAACAGATCGACAAGTTTACTTGAGAACATGGTCTGCGACAACTGCGCACGAAGGTTCACTAGAAGTTTCGAGATTGGTTATGTGGGTTCGTGTTAGGACTCAAAATCCCACATTGGAAAAATAGCATATCATAGAATGGTTTCAGAGTTCATAGGCACCCTTCCCTTACAAGTCAATTTTTAGGAGCAAGTTCTACTCATGGGTTCTTCTTAACAGTTGGTATCAGAGCCTAGTTTCACCACGCAACTTCTTAAGATGATATCGAGTCATTGAATACTAGTAGTTGAGTGAAGCAACCTCAAAGGAACGAAAGGGCAACCACCGAGCACCATTCCCTTACAAGCTAGTTTTTATAAGCAAGTTCTATCCATGGGTTCTTAACAGTTCGACTGAGAAGCTTTCACATTGATCTTGAGAGCATTAACAAAGCTTGCTCGATCCTCTTCGTTAATAGCTATGAGGTGTGAGAGGAAGCTCAGGTAGCTAGGTTATGGAGTTCAACCAAGTTAGGATTAGGGGTAGACTTCGAGAGCTTGGAATAAGGGGTAGAGTTTATGAGTTTTGGTTTTGGATGGGTCTTCATCGTTTTGAGTCAGAATCGATAGGATCAAGAAATTTTTTTAGAGATATGATAGAGATGAAGAGAGAGGGTTTGAAAGTGAGGAGAAGATGGGGAAAGATGGCTTCATCGAGAGGGAACTTATAAAATTTTGTGTTGGTGTGAAAAATTAGGTTGACTGAGATAGAATTGAATGAAATTTGGGAATGCAACACTGTGTACAAGGCCAAACCTAGGCTTGTGCATTAGTAAGATGGGGAGATATGATCAGTCAAATATGGGAATGCAACATTGGATAGCTAGAGAGAAGATTCTGAGGTACCTAGACAGAACAAAGGTTTACATGTTGATTTACAAACGCACAAAGAAATTAGAGTTTGTTGGTTATGCTAATGTGAATCTTGGAAAAGTAGATGATGATTACATCTATACTTCATGTTTTCTTTTCAAGATGGCACAAGCAGTTATAGCTTGGAAGAGTGCTAAACAAACTGGTGTTTTGAGTTCAACTATGTTCTTAGAATACATAAATTTCTATGAAGCCAATACTCATGTAGTATGGCTAAGGAATTTTATCAAAAACATTAAGGTGGTGGAATAGATTTCAAGACCAGTGCATATATACAATGACAACATTGCGACTGTTTTTCACTGCATGAACAACAAGATGTCGTTTAGACTTTAGCACATTGACAAAACGTATTTGATAGTGAGGGAGAAGGTGGCAGACAACTAGTCAGGTTTGATCATATCAGAACTCAAGATATGATTGCATATTCGTTTACAAAGTTTCTGCCTTCAAAAGGTTTTTTGAGACATGTTGAGAACATGAGATTATTTCCTAGCTTAGATGCTTCAATCTAGTGGGAGTCTTGTTCCCATTTTGATAGTTTTCTAGTATGTCTAATTTTTTCTATTTTCTGGATTGAGGGATTTGTATTTAAGGATGTTAATTTGCTTGACAGTTTTAATTATTGAATGTTTTCTACCATTTTGATTATTTAGCTATTTAAACTTATTATGCATTTTGTTTATGTATGTGAGTTTATGGTCTCTTTTGAAATACTATTGTTTTAATAACATTGCGGATTGACTCTTACTGTCGTAAAAGGATACATGTACTGAAAAGTATAAAGATTCACATTATGGGTCAGTACATGTTAAGGTTCGCGTTTGTAGGTGGTGCTTCATGTATTTTGAGATTGCATTATGTGATTATAGATGACCCGTTTTTAATAAAGAAGAGCAGTGCTTGTCTATAGTTCATTTTTGTCTAATCGCTTTTCACTGTAGCTTGAAGGGAAGGACTTAATTGTTTTAAACTCATGGCCAATAAATATTATCAAACTTTTGCAATACAAAAGCTTAGTGCTCTAGTGCATGATCTAATGAGAGAATGTTATATTCCTATTTAGATTGGTGCACTATATACTAAGTTATATGAGGTTTGATAAGAGTTTAAATTGGGTTATACCTTGAGGCCCAATACCTTGTGAAATAAGGAAAGTTTTGAAGCCAATTAAAGGGGTCCTATTTATTTCCTTTTGTACATGAACCATTGTTTGATGGGCTTAGAGTGTTAGTCAAGTGGACCCTTGGTGATGAGTAGTAGAGACAACTTGACCTAATCCTATATAAGCTTAAGACCCTACTCTCATCAGACACATTCTCTGACCTTAATCTCATCATAAAAAGAGAGTTAAAGTAGTTTCTGAGAGAGAGTAGAGTCGTTCGTTCCTTTTGCTCGTGTTGCCGCTGCTGCAATTGAATGAGTTATGAGATCGTGTACTCAAAGAAGATGATGCCATATATGTCTTATATGTATTTCAAGTTGTGTGAAAGATCATGAATATTATAGAAATCTAACACTTATGACCAAGGGAACATGTGATTCCAATAGAGAAGATAGATGTTGCTGCCATCTCACACATTTTGTGCGACACAAAATTAAAATTGCATTATAAAAACACAAACAAATCAAAGCTTTTTTCATCTTACATTAATATATAACCAAATTCACCAAATCAAAGACTGTCAATTCTTGGTATTTATGAAATGATAGAAGAATATCAACGAACATGATTCTTCCTGTACAAGATTTTAATGAAAATTGAAGTTTCAGAAGCAAGAAAGGAAAAAATAGACAGCTAGAAAAGCTAAAATTCCAAAGAAACCACCACATCTGATACTACAACTCACAAATCTATGAATGTACGAGATATTACTTTTTCTTTTTCAAATTTTATAACTGTAAAGCAGAACTATTTCCCTGGCACATGGGTTTAACGGTTTGGATCTAAGCTTGGTGGGCTCGCGGTCTATTCTGCTGTTTTTCTTGGTTATATTCTTTTTACTTTTCCAGACAAAATAATGAGTAATTAAGAAAAATATGATGTGGCAGATTAATTACATGGCTTGTCGTAGTATTCTATAATTTCTTCTATAGGAGATGACATGATTTACGTTATAGAAGCCAATGAGGTCTAACCCAATGAAAAATGACTTTGATTTGCATATCAGAAGTCTCAGGTTCGAACTCCCATAATATTTTAGTTGTATGTGAGTTTAAAACTATTGTTTGTACTAAATTTTAAAATTTTTTTTAAAAAAAAATGTAATAGAAGCTCCCCTCTGTATCTAATACTTATGCCTAAGTCGTAACAAAACGTGATTCAAGTATTGGCTGATCCCTTTAACAGCAAGTTTAATTTATTTGATGCGGTTTTAGTACTTGTTATTGTACTTTTGCTTTATCACTTTTTCTTTTTAAAATGTTTTAAGTTAGTATATGTGTTACTTTTGTTACTTATTAATTGAGCAAGGTATATATGTGATGTGATGCTAAAAAGAGAAATAGAAGCAAATATATAGACTGGGAGAGGGCGCGGGCGGCTATTATCAGTTGAGTTGAGTGGAAAAATATGGAGATGGAGGAGTTGATAGACAAGGCTTCAACAGGAGAAGCACTTAGTCGCTCGAGAAAGCAATATGAATTGGCCATGAACGGCCAGTGGGAAAGCCTAAAACGATTCTACAAGGATAGTGATGAGTTTGAAGTACTTGGGCAAATGACAACGAAGAACGACACTGTACTTCACGTGGCAGGCTTGGCTGGACGCAAAGACGTGCTTGATTTTTTGATTTCACTGATAGAAGACAAGGATGCGTTGATAGTGGAGAACAACCGCGGTAACACCCCGCTTCATGAGGTAGCTGCGTCCGGAAATTTGGACTCAGCAAAGCTGTTGGTGGATTATCATGGTGCTTTGGTGGAGATTAGTAACCACTTAGGAGAAACCCCACTCTACAGGGCTGCTGCTTTTGGTCACACAAAATTGGTTCAATATTTGGCTAACCAAGTAAGCGGCGATATAGAGCGGCACTTCCGTAGAAAGGATAAAGTATCCATTCTTCATATGGCAGTACTTGGCCAACATTTTGGTCTCTCTTTCTCCCTATCTTTCTCTTCAAAACCAACTTGACAATATATACGCAGAGGTCCGGACGTTATTATCGTGCAGACGTCATGTATTTTATGCTACATGTCTATTTTTGTTTATAATGACATCTGCACAATAATAACGTATGGACATTCAAATAATAGAATAGCATTCGTCTAGCTATTATATTTGACTTTATTATATATTATGATTAACACGCATCCATGGTTTTCCTTCAATGCAAATTGCAATGCAGAGACTGCTCTTTGGTTAGTAACGGAGTACCCAGATCTTGCGAATAGAAGGGAAGAGAATGGACTCACAAGTCTTCAATTGCTAGCCCAAATGCCGTCTGCCTTCAAAAACAAATTTCGCGAAAGCATATGGATGAAGCTGCACCGTCATATATGTACCTACCATCTACTCTCTCCACTGCTTATACGCTACTGGCACTGCTAAAATTAGATATAAACTAAAAAAAATTATCAATGACCATGATGACGAGTCAGCCTATTTTTCAATGGCAAAGTCAGAAATTTTCAACAGGGAAGGGAGGGCTAGCTATAAATTAAATTTATTTCTCATGAGATTGGGCTAAATATACGCCGGTTCGGTTCAGAAGTGCTAGGGTTTAGTTAATTAGGATAGGCTACGTACTAAGTTTATTTTATGCAATTAGCCTTTCTAATGATGATGATGATGCTGATTTTTGTGCTCCCCTTATTATACATTCAGGCCTACGTAATGATGATAACATTGATCGGGACCCAGCAAATCAAAACGATGACTTGGAGAGCGGATTTAATCAACCTTCCCAATCTACTTTTTCAAACGATGACTTGGAGACCGGGTCGACAAGTAATTTATTCATAGATATGTATTCTAATATAGTAAATTATATATGATCATAATTAAGTTAGTATATCAATATACCTACCAATGTATATATGTTTACAATTTAATTAATAATAACGTACGTACTACAAATATATATTTATTTATTACCGTGCAGATTTTATGTATTTTCTACTATCCCTCCATATTTTCTTCCCTGTTTATAATGACATCTGGATGGTAATAACGTCTGGACATTATTACCGTGAGTATGCCATGTATTTTTTACTACCCCTTACTATTTACAATGGCGTCCACACGTACAGACATCTGCCTAGAGAATAACTATATATATATATATATATATATATATATAAGAGTTAGAGAATTTATAAATAAATAAATAAAATTAAAAAACCAAACTAACAGCCAGGTAAAAGTAATTAGGCCTTACCCAAGCTTAAGAAGGACCATAAAATTTTATACACTTGATTTGTTTTTACTTTTTTTCTTTCTTTCTTATCTTCATATTAATTCAATATCTCTCTCATGAATAGGAAAGATCGGAAGGACTACTATACGATGGGCACCAATCTGTATTATGGGCGAGGAAATGCAAAATCAAAACGTACTATTGGAATTCACTGATTTGCTCGTCCGGAAGGACTATTCATGGGGGGAAATTGAAACAGAAGAAGTAGTCAATACATTTTCTCTGGTGTCAAAACCAAATAATATTCCGCAGGAAAAAGAAGATGCTGAAACCAAATCTACTTATGAGTATATTCCATTGTTTATAGCAACTAGAACTGGAATATCACAAATTGTGGAAAAGATTTTGAAGTTTCATCCTCAAGCAGTGGAGGCGCACGATATCAAGCATCAACAAAACATTTTGCACATGGCAATTAAGTATCGTCGGTTGGCCATCTTTAAGATTGCAAAGAAGAACAAATTCATAACCTCAAGGCTGGCTGACGTGATTGATAACGATGGGAACACCATATTGCACCACGCTGCAGATATGAGCTATTACTCTGTGGACGCTAAAGGTACATATGGTCCTGCATTTCAGTTGCAAGAAGAATTGCATTGGATGGCGGTGAGTGATATATATAAGCCTTAACCCTAATCTGAATTACCCTTTATTTAAGTCAATTGAAGTTCATCTACTAGGACATGCATGCATGTGCATTTAAAATACAGATTTTAAATGGAGATTCCCTTATCCTAATGAAAAATAGCATTGATTTGCAGACTAGTGGTTTCAAGTGTTCAAACCCCCATGACATCATAGTGTATGTGTGTGTGTCTGTGTGAAAACCTTATAGGAGTACCAAATGGTAACAATGTTTTTCCCATTTGTGGGCAGCGTGTGCAAAAGATAATCCCAGTTAATTACACCATGCACTGCAACAAGAAGGGTGTGACAGCGGATGAGCTCTTTTCTAGTCAGCATGAAAAGCTTCTTCAGTCAGCAAAAGTATGGATGAAAGAAACTGCTCAGTCAGGCTCGGTCGTGGCGGCTTTGGTGGCCACCGTGGCCTATGCAGCTGTGTACACGGTTCCCGGGGGTACTAATCAGAACGGGCTTCCTAATCTCCGGCACTCTCCTTTCTTCAAAGCATTCACCATTTCGAACACTGTCTCGCTTGTCTTCTCATTGACTTCTTTGGGTACGTTTCTCAATATCACGAGGTCTCCATTTGAGTACAAAAACTTTCACCATTCTCTTCCCTTCAAGCTGAATTTAGGGTTCCTCCTTCTCTTCTGCTCGCTGCTAGTGTCCATGCTCACCTTCGCTGCTACTATTGTGCTCTTGATTCATCATCAAAAGATATGGACTATTTCCCTCATTTACGTTGTTGTTGCCATTCTTCCTTTTTCTATGTTTGGGCTCAACCATAATCGTTTTTATGAAGTATTTTTCAAAGGTTTGAAAGACATTAAAAAGAAACTTAGGTGTTGTAAGAGGACGTACTTTAGAATAAGAATGCAGCTGTAGCTCTCAGTTAGAAGGTTCCCTGTTCTTCCTCCTTTGTCGGTGTTTTCCCCCCTCCTTTTATGTATTTTCCGGAAGAAGTTAACATCCTTGAAATAAAAGCGTGTATGCCAGACAGTGTGTTTGTGTCATGCTTTTATTTATAATTTCTCAAGTCGTACCAAAACGTGATTCATGCATGATCCTTATAATTCACAAGTTTAATTTATTTGATTGCTTCTTTTAAATTGTAATTCTACTTTTGCTTTATTACTTTTTCTTTTTAAAACTTTATGACTGTGGGTTGGCATACGTGTTACTTTGTTAGAGCATCTCCAGCTGCATCGCTACTCCCTTATCTCTAGCCATTTTAGCCAAAAAAAAGGAAAAACTACCCTCCAGCAAAGTCTTTACCTTTCTCGCTATTTTGGCTCGCTACAGAGAAATTCAGGCTCGCCAACTGAAAGCAACGCAAGAGAGAGAGAGAGAGAGAGAGAGGAGAGAGAGAGAGAGAGAGAAGAAAAAACTGGAACAGAGAGAGGAAAAGAGAAAGAAGACAAGAAAAAGGTTCGGTGGGGTTGAGGCAATTAGCTTTTGGGTTCTTTGTTTTTTTATTTTTTTAATGAATTTAAAATAATAAAATATTTGATGTTAGCTAAAATAGAGAGACTGTCGGAGGAATCACCTTTTAAGTGGATAACTATTTTAGCTTTCTAGCTACTTTACCTAGAATTTGGGTAAAATTTGGAGAGTCTCCTGGAGATGCTCTTACTAATTGATTAAGCAAGGTATGTGATGCTAAAGAAAAAAAGAAAGAACAAAAAAAGGAAGGTGATATTGGGATTGATATCAAATATTGCTCACTACATATAGAATATAGAATATGTTTACTTATCAGTAATGAGAATGGGGAGAAGGAGAATGATTTCAATTCTTTGTTTTTTCCATGTTTACTTACTTATCAGGGAATAAAAAGTAAGTGGGCCCCACCTCAAAATTGGTAATCATTCCCCATATTTCAATCCAACGAATATTTTTTAGGGACAACCTTTAGGGTACCTACAATTTTTTTTCCGAAGATCCAAACCATCTATTTTTTAAGTTTACATTCATAGATCATCCTTGCAAAAAACTAAACAAATCAAAAAACGTTTCGACATACAATTGTATCCTACAAAATCAATGAACACGGTGTTTTAAGAAAGTATTAAAATTTCAATAACAAAGTGGTCAAACGATATCGGATTTAAGCGATTTTTTTTATAAAGATAATCTTTGAATGATTATCTAAAACATAGACAGTTTGGATTAGTGAAATATAATGTGAATTGGGCTCTACAAAGGTGTCCATTAAATAAGCTAATTTGAGAGATCCCTCAATGGAAGATCTATATATATATCTATCATTATCCCAACTTTATATTTTTAATAGTAAATTTGACTTACACCCTTTAAATTCAATTTGCTATACCTAAAACCCTTCACTTTTTGTTCCTATAAATAATACCCAATTTGTATAAGTAAAAACCCATGACTAGGATCCAACTCAGCAAGTTACCTAATTAAGCATAAAATCTGATTTATTGTACTTTTCAGATTCCAAAAATACCCCCAACTAAGCCATTATTGCATTTTGTATATTAATGTAGGAATCAATATGGAAACAGTTTTTAATTGGATTGTATATAATGACAGATGTTGAATTTGGAAATATCTCCAAATGGTTGTAATAGATGTAGGAATTAATTTTGGAACATTTTAAAAAAATTTAACAATAAATTCAAATTTGGGTAATTGGTTTGTTTAATAAAATGTTTATGTTATTTTCTTTTTATGAATTATACATGACTAATAATCCACTTTATAATTGTTTATGAATAAAACTGTACATACTAATTATGTTGAAAAAATAATGTACCTATTTGTTTTATGAAAAATATAATTTACCTAGTATGAAAAGTGTACATAATTATCTATTCCAATATACCTACATTAATTTTAATGTACTTACAATTAGGATTTAGGTATTATATGTCATCCAATGTACCTACCATTTGAATAATATACCTACTACAAATAAAGTACCTATTATTTATCTAAATAATGTACCTATTTTTTACTATAAATAATATAGCCTTTTTTCTCTGAATAAAGTACCTATTATTTGTTTTATCAAACGTAATTTTTTTAAATGAACCTATTTTCTCTCTCCAAATAACTTACCAATTTTTTTCCTCTAATAATGTACCTATCTTTCCTCTTCAAATAATGTACCTATATTTTATATAAATTATTGTATACCTATTTTTAATTATGAAAAATATACGCAATTACAAAGTAACTGACTTTTTTTTTTTTGGGTAAATAATATACCTATATTTTATATGTATATATTTATATTATATTTTTCATAGGTACATTATTGGATATGTAATTTACAGAATTTTTTTTTTTTGTTTGCAATCTTAGGGGGCGAGATGTGAGAGGGAATGACAACTAAAAGAAATGGAGTGATTGATATTCAATTAATAGGGAGTATATTAATTACAATTATGGCAGTTAAGGAAATGCTTGAAATAAATTACAAATAAAATATGAAGTTTAGTGGCAACGATGTAAAAACATAGAAATACTACGACCTCTTATATCCTACTGGTCATTTAAATTTGAATTTGGGTTTTCAACGTAGTTATATAGATAGATGAGTTTGTGTCTATGGGATATCAGTTGTATGGGCTTATATTAGAGTCTCTCTATTTTTAAAGATACGTGGGTTATTAATGAAAGAATCCAACGAAAAGCAAAATGGCATAGTTGAAGGGTTTCATTATAGAGTAAGGGTTTAATACACCGTATATTTGGTCTAATACAATATTTGATTGGTCATTTGTCAGCGTTCGTATTCCTACTTAATAAGTTTTCATACCATAGAAAAATCGTAACTTCTGAAGAAGCTTAGGATACTGTATTGTGTAAATGTACTCATTAACATTCTCAATGCACTCAGAATTGTGATTCCAATATGACGACAGGGTTGGAGCATTAATCCCATTTAAAACCAATTTAAGTGAACAGTCTTGACCAGAACTACAAGTTGATGAAAGTCAACATTGGTCTACTTGAAAAGAAACGAGAGAAGGCCATTGTTCGAGTTGCAACTTACTAGCAGCAGCCGACATCTTACTACAATAAGAATGACAGGACCCGCCCTGGAACTCCTCGGAAACCAGGATGAATCCCGTCTTGTTACCGACATCACCCCGATGATGGGCCCACTTCCTAAAGATTGAGACTTTCTACCAAAATTTTGGCAGAGTCTCTCATGTAAATTGAACAATCCCAAAAATTTCAACCAGCATAAAAAAACAATAAAGTCCCAACCAGCAGCATGCATTCAACATTCAACATTCAACATTACAAACTACATGGCCTCTGGCCTCACAAGTAAACCTAACATGGGCAATAACAGAGCATCTAACGAATTTAATTTACAAGACAGCCAGTTGAGTAGATAGAAATTACTTGAAGCCTAATCTACTGATGTTCACGATTCGGGGCCTCGAACACGGCTTGCAACTCTCCCTTGAGCGACTACTGTCTGGGGGGTGCAAAACAAAAAACATATTAGTGGACAAAAACAAAGTTTGCATTCAAAACAACATAATAACCCCACCGTGTAAAAATAATGCTGAAAACATGGAGATTCACTAACTTTTATTTATTGATAAAAAAACGTTATTCTCCGAAACCCTTTAAAACCAAGCAGTCTATCCAAAAACTTTATTCACAAAATTTAAACTGCTTCTTCCCAACCACTACATATACCTTAACTGATTTAAACCCACATATATATAAGTATATACATATCTATAAATATACATAATATTTATCACATACTACTTAGGTATCGGGGAAACAATCCAACCTGGGGATTGTTTGGCTAGTCCGCAAGATTTCCAGTAGCTATCCTGCGTCTAGGGATGAGCGGTCCAACCAAGGGACGAAACTCTATAGCTCACACGCCGGAAAATTTCCAACGCCACGTGTAGCTCCAATAGTAAGTCCTACGCGCGCAGACTACATCATCACATGCCAGAAAATTTCCAACGCCACGTGTGAGGCCGGATAATCATATGTTCTTCCCACATGCCGGAAAATTTCCAACACTACGTGTGGGAAGCCTAGTAACTAGGGGATGATACTTAACATAGTGCAATCATATAATTTCCCACCATAAACCATAATATTAAATTCCCAATTCCCCCAAATTTCAACCAAGACTTAAATCATAAATAACTGGCCCTTTTTGAAACTCACCACCAAATTATTCAAACCTTCCAATCTCCATTCAAAACCAAGTTCTCAATTAAATATTACTAATATCGCAACTTGTTAATTTCTCAATCATTAATCCAAAAATATATAAGTATATAACTCAATTTCATGCATGTTCTTTCAATCATTGAAAATAATGCTTATTCAAAATAAATGTCCACTCACAAGTAGTCCCACGCTGCTTGACTTTGAGAGGGTCTCGCCTGCTGCGTACGAGCGGCCGGAGCACCTATTTCGAGATATGAACCCTTAATTAATATAAAATCACTTCGAAAAGGAATTCACAATTTAAATACCTATTTCCCCAAGTTCCCAGTGTGTGTACGTAGAACGAGGTATTCTAGGGTCCAACTACGGGTTAGGAAATACATCTTGCAAGTTTGATCCGAAATGGACGGACGGATCGCTCACAATTGAACGGTTATCGCAAACCACAAACTTCAAGTTATTGAATCGAGACATCCGAGGCTCCAATTCACGATTCTAGGAGTGGCTAGATCAACATATACTAATTTGGACTCGATCCAACGGTCCGAACATATCAAACTCGGATAACGCACAATAGGCGTAAATCCGTTCGATAGTCAAACGACATCCGAATTGGAATCTGAGCACACCTACGCGCTCGTGACAACATGAGGATTACATCAGGACAAAATGTGGCTTCACCACCTTCCCCATGCCCCACCACACATGCCAGCAGCGCGTGGGTGTGTAGAGTAATTTCCAGCGACGGAAAAACTCCACACCACGATTCACCCTTCCTACCCTAGCTACTACTCAATGCGGGGATCATTTTATTCTACTACGGGAAGGTCCAATTTGGACGGCAACGGACCGGAATTTCACTTTGAAATCCGACCAAAACCTAGGTTGAGAATTGAACTCCAAAATGCCACAATCATTCCAATCCTACCCAACAGGCAACTAGAGCTCGGAAAAAGAGTAAGAAACCTCACCTGTTACACCGGGATTGGGCGGCGATGGCGACGGCATGACGACGGAGGAAAACCGGTTCAAACCATTCGAAATTGTCGACGAAACTCGAGCTTTCCAGTCAAGAAAAATGGTGGTTTGAGTTCAGGACTTCGAGAGGGATCAATTGGGATCGGTCATGGCCATTGCCGTGGCCGGAACTTAGAGAATTGAAGAGAGAGAGAGAGAGGAAGAGTGACGATGTCGGGGAGAGATAGAGATAGGAGAGAGAGAGAGAGAGAGAGAGAGAGTTGTGCTCGCGCGCGAGGAGAGCGAAAGGCAGTTTCAGATTTTTCTACTCCTAAGTGCGAAATATTTACAAGTTTGCCATTAAGCTAATTTTGATCGCCAATTCTTTGTTACAGCTCCGATTCAAGCCTACCTCATGTCTACGGACTGGTCTCAATACGACCTACATAAACATACCACTCGTTGTCCCAAAATCCTTCTGGATTAAAAGTGACCAAAATCACCCCTATCCCAAGGGCAAAATTGTAATTTCACACTTAAATTTAATTTAATTCAAAATTATTAATATTTTGGTTCGGGATGTTGCAAAGAATGCCAAGATCAGACAATTTCAACCTAGAGATCTTGTGCTCAGAAAAACTTTTATCACAGGGCCAAAGCAAGGGTGAAATCAGATAAAGCCTAACTAGGAAAGCCCCTACGTGATCAGCCGACTTGAGGGCAAAGGAAGTTACAGCCTCGACACTCTAGAAGGGAAAGAGATTTCGAGATAATGGAATGCCCACCACCTTTGGAGGTATTATCCCTGAAGCTCCTCACTTACCAGTTGGGCTCCTAGCAGGCGATGAGTCTCCCTCACCTCCATTGAAGACAAATTACTTTCCATGTTATTCATGTTGTTAATTTCTTTTATTCAATAAATTGATATAATCACACCAACATCAATACGAGTACAAGCTTTTTCAATAGAGTATTTTACGAGAGCTATGTCCCCGGACATACACTTATAGCCAACAAGCCTTACCTTTGTTCAAGACAAGTTATTTTCGAGTATAAGCTTCTTCAATGGAGTATTTTACGAGAGTTGTGTCTCCGAACATACACTTACAAGCGACGAGCCACACCTCCATTGAAGACAAGCTCTTTCAATGGAGTACTTTTCGAGAGATATGTCTCCGGACATATACTTACAAGTGACGAGCCTTACTTTAGTTGAAGACAAGTTACTTTCGAGTACAAGCTTTTCAATGGAGTATTTTACGAGAGCTATGTCTTCGGACATACACTTACAGGCGACGAGCCTTACCTCTGTTGAAGACAAATTACTTTTGATTACAAGCTTTTTTAATAAAGTATTTTACGAAATCTATGTCTCCGGACATACACTTACAGGCAACGAGCCTTACCTCCGTTGAAGACAAGTGACTTTTGAGTACAAGCTTTTTCAATTGAGTATTTCTCGAGAGATATGTCTCTGGACATACACTTACAGGCAATGAGCCTCACCTCCGATGAAGACAAGTTACTTTCGATGTTGTCACACCAACATCAATACAAGTATGAGATTTTTCAATGCCGTGTTTTAAGGGAGCTATGTCTCCGAACATATACTTACAAGATGCAATGCGAATTGATGTTTGAAAAACAACTGAAAATTCCATAGCAAAGCTGTCAACCGGCCAAGTTCAACATGAAAGAAGATGGTCGACTAAAGACCACTTATTGAAAAAAATTACAACGTTCAAAAATAGCAAAGGGGGCTACATCTCCTAAGGGGCTTCAACAGATGACCCTTAGCCGACTACACCCTAAACTACCTCCTGATCATCCTCACTAACAACAGCCTAACTCTGCTTAACCAGCACCATCTACTTCGCAGCCTTAGCTGCATGGTCCTCCGCATCTGCCCTGACCTGAGGAAGCTTTGCCTTGGCTTACTACACTACAGGGGAAGATCATTGCAAACCTAAATATGACTTTAAGGATTTAAAATTGATCCATTAACCACCTAATAAGTAATTTGGGCTACAACAGATTTAATGGGTATTTAGTTGGCGAATCACCCATTAAATATTTTGGGCTCATGTGACATAAATGGGCAATTTTTGACAATCCAATCATCTGCTTCTATACCTTGACATTTTTTATTAGTTAGCCCATGACAGGTCATCAGCGTAAGCTCATCCCTTTTAGCTAAACCAATCACAATTGAATTAGGACTTCAAATGTGGAAGTTGTGAAAGAATTGTAGTCTTGATCGACTTAGAAAACAAGGAAAATTCTACGGTGCGGCAGTGTATGGAATCTATGCCATTGGATCACTTGAAATCTATGGCCAAGGGCGGAACCACACTAAGGGCTACAGTGGGCTATAGCCCAGTGTGGTTTTTTAAGAAAAATAAAAAATAAAACCTATATATTTAACTTATTTTCAATATTAGCCTAATCAATGACGCTGTATAGATTACCTTATTTCCATTTTTAACATTTAAGTAAATGGAATTATTTTTATTCCATTTTTAACATTTAAGTAAATGGAATTATTTTTATTCCATTTACTTAAGTTTACAATGTAAATAAGAAAGTACCCCCCATTTGAATTCAAATTAAAATACTAGAAAATCAAATTCCCACCAAATCAAAATATGAAAAATCGGTTTTAGTGCAAAATACGATTTAGGCTTAAAATGATGGCTCATTAAGTCAATATATACTTCATACTAAAATCCCATAAAATCAAGTTTTCTTATTTGATGTGTGAGGAATAAAAGCCTCCAAAAATTATCTTGAAAATGATTATTCTGAAAACCCATTTTTCATGCTTAGTCAATATTTTTACATAAAACAACTTTTCATGTATGATATGAATTCATAAAGGAACCTAAGGTCAATCTAGGTAAAAAGCCTTATATGTTCAATCCACTATGGTGTTAAACCCTATTTGGTTTATGTCAAAACTTATTGAAAATTAGTTTATGGAGCTATGAACTAGCTTGGTTTATATGATTTAATGTTTACTTTTATTTCTAGAAAGACTAGAAATTGTAAGTACCAAAAAAAATAATCATTAAATTTTAAGTTAATAACTTTAGCTAGCCCATCCGTTGAAAAATTCATGATTCTACCCTTGTCTATGGCTGTCAATAACCACAACAACTTAAGCCTAGTGTAGGGGCCTTTTTCTTTTGGCAACCGGCAGCTGTAAATGGGCTGGGTTGCCGTAAAGGGAAGATTGATGAAATTGTCCCCTTTGTCTGAGTTCGAAAATCAAGCCTCAAATATGCTTCGAAAGGGCAATAGAGCCTTAGGAAACATCTTAGTTATCTTCATCAACTAAAATAACAGCAACTTACAGATGATTTCTTGATGCTTACAAATAAATTTTCTAGCTTGGCATGAGATGCTTGTGGCATGGAAGCAAAATCAGCATGAGTTTAGCACCAAAGAGGAAAATATGGCTTCCTAGGGAGAAATGGGAGTGTTTAAGGTGAGGACGAAGAGGTTTGCAAGCTGATTTGGCTGAGAAGAGAGAAAGAAAGAACAATATTCTTCATGCAGCTTGACAAAGCTTCTGACAGATGTAAAAGTGGTCTGCCATAAGAGGCAAACGGAGAAGAATGGTGAATAGTGCACGAAATTGCTGGGTTTTTGCAGGTAAGAGAGAAAGCTTGCTCTCTGAATATGGGTTTTTTTTGTTGGGTAGAAGAAGCCTCATTTTATAGCTTGCTAGAAACTATCCTTTCCCAAGAAACCCTAATGGTTTCTTCCCAACTTGGCCAAGGTTTTTCTTCCTTTCTCCTCTCCTTCCTTGACTTTTCTATCTTAGTGAAATTTCCTCTATCTATTTGCACAAAATTAGGAATTTTGGGAGCTCAAGGCCCTTTTTCCCGCAGCTGTTTCAGTGTGAGACTTCCATTCCCAGCCATCTCCTTCCTTTCTTTCTTTCCTTTTTCCATGGCCAGGTCTGATGGGGGAAGGAATTGGGGTATGTATGCTGGTTCGAAGGGTGCTTCTCTTCCTGGCAGCTTGCACGTTAATATTCTTTGGTTCTTCGGGTGTTTTGTGCTTGGAACTTGTTCCTTTCCAGCAACTCTGCATATGTGGACATCTCCTTCGTGGCTTCTGTGTTTTTCCAGCAAGGAGCTGACGCTTTGGCTTCTTCTCTTTTCTAATTGTATGGGCCTTCTAAGATAATGGGTTGGTTTGTCAAAATAAATGGGCTAACCTCAACAAGTGTTGGACTATTTTTTATGAGGTGTTGGTCTAATTTGGTTAAGCTAATGGGCTATTTCCTCTTTTGTGCTCACCCATATGTTTGGGCTTAAGAATGGGCTTGAGTCTCGAGGCTCCCAAGTAACCTGAGACTTCTATTTCTCGCCTCATCAATGGGCCTCATGTTGATTTATTACCATCCATACCCCAACCCACTCAAGCAAGCCCCGGGTATTTGAGTGGCTTGGGGCCCACTTAAGCTTGTGGCGTGATTAGGTGCGGAATAATAATTCCTTGCTTGGCGTGGCGTGGCGTGTCGCTTGGCGTGGCATGTGTGCAAGCGCATATGATGAACTTTCGCGTGCCCAAATCGGGTTTCTTCTCGGTAAGGTATCGCATTGGGCCGAAAATTTATTTGGGCCGAAGTGTGGATTTTTTGGGCCTCAACACCCAGCAACCGGTACAACCAGTCAAGGAAGAAAGAGAAAAACAAAACCAAAAACACTTGAGATAGCCGACAAGTCAAAGAGAAAAAGCATGCATGTGTATTATATTAATATTCTTGATTAATTTTTTATTTATTAATATTTTGGATAAGCTGCTGGGTTGATATTTAGTATATGAACGTAGTAGGCCATAATTTTTCTTTACAAAGTCTGAATGAATGCAAGGAAAAAAAACAAAAAACAAAACCTTTAAATATAATTAAATTGAAAAATTACAACAAACATAAACCTTTAAATATAATAAAATTAAAATAGTAATAACAGTCATTAAAAAAAATAGGTACATTATTTTGAGAGAAAAATAGGTACATTATTTTGAGAGAAAAAATAGGTACATTATTTTGAGGGAAAAAAATATGTACATTATTAGAGAAAAAAATAGGTTCATTACAGGTACATTATTAGAGAAAAAAAAGTAGGTACATTATTTGAGAGAAAAAATAGGCTCATTTAAAAAAACAATTGTTTTCATAAAACAAACAATAAAAAGATGATCAAATTATTTTTCATAACAATAAAAAGATGATCAAATTAATAAAACAAGTAATAAAGCAAAAAAAAATAGGTTCATTAAAAAAATGTTTTAAAAACAAAATAATAAATAGATTATCAAATTATTTTTCAACATAATTAGAATGTACACTATTATTCATAAAACTATAATAAAAAAGAATACTGGTCGTATAATTCATAAAAAGAAAACAACATTAATTCCTAAATTTAATATTGAATTTAAATTATTAATACTTTAAATAGATTACTAGTCGTAATTCATAGAAGGAAAACACCATTAATTCAAAAATAGATTACTAGTCGTAAAATAGATTACTAATACTTTAATGTGGAATTTAATATTTAATTTCAAATAAGTTTCTAAATTGGTTCCTACATCCTTTACAACTATTTGGAGATATTTCCAAATTGAACGGGTGTCATTAGTTACACCCCCCATAACACATTAACTTATAAATAGGGGTAGTTTTGGAATCCTAAAAATACAATAAATCAGATTTTAAGTTATATTAGGTAACTTCCTTAGTTGGATTCTAGTCATCGGGTATTATTTGAAAAAATTGGGTATCTTAAATAGAAAACTAAAGGAAATGGTTGTAGGTGATTTAAAATGAATTTTATGAGTCTAAGCTCAATTTACTATATTAATAATAATATATAATACACGTACACAACTTCTTCATTATTGAAACATTAAGTTAACACTAGTTGCAGCACATGTTGATCTTGATAAATTATATAATGCTAAAACAACTCCATAAACAAATCACAACACATAACAACGGAACAAACATGTTTTGGTGTCTGATGGTCTTCCAGGTCCTCCTTAATTTTTGTTTTTAGAGTAGGAGTTTTCCTTCTTTGCTGGATTGTAGCGATTCAGATGAAGGAGATTCTGTAATTGTCTCAGTTTCTGCTTTTTGTGTATTTCCTTGCAGTTGCCTTTGGCTTGGAATCTAATTCATGGTTGACCAATAAAAAAAAACAACGGAACAAACATCTTCTTGATCAAGCAGTTGCGGAACCGTGCACGCATGTGTTCATGGATCCATCACTTCCTCCCGTTGGCAAATTTCATGCACCTTAACTCACCATGCTTTGCGAATTGAGAAAGAGCATTATAAGATGAACCCCCTTTCTCCAAAGCTTTGGCACCTCTTGTTTTTAGCTTCCTCACTCTATCTCTCATTGCAAAACCTTCCTTCTCCTCCATAATCTTTCTCACCATTTCTTCTATCTCCTCCCTCTCCACAACTTTCTTCCATGGTGGTATTTTTGACCGAACTGCCACGCCAAACTCCTCTGTCAGCAGCGTGGAGTTCATCCTCTGCTCCGCATAGAGCGGCCAAGCAATCATCGGCACCCCATTGCTGATGCTCTCTAGGGTCGAATTCCACCCACAATGGGACAAAAACCCTCCAACCGATGGATGGGCCAAGATGTCCACTTGTGGAGCCCACAAAGGGATGACGAGCCCAACGTCCTTGGTCCGCTCCAAGAACCCCTTGGGCAAGTACTTTGATGGGTTGTCCTCGTCACCACCATTGCCACTTCCACCCGTGAAAAAGGCCCCATCTGCCGTTTGGGTGGGCTTACGTATCACCCAGACAAACCTCTGTTTGCTAAGCTCTAAACCCCAAGCCATTTCGGTCATTTGCTCGTACGACAAAGTCCCGCCGCTACCAAGCGACACATAAATCACAGACTCATTGGGCTGCTTGTCTAACCAATCAAACACCTTCCCCCTCGAACCAGATGATTCAGTGGACCTAATCAGCGGCCCAATAGGATAGACCGGAACCTTTGTGTACCGGCCCAATAATTTCTCATCTCTTAGGGCTGCAAGAGTCTTGGGCTCCAAATCCTCCCATATGTTCACCAAAATCGCATCCCCTTTAGAAACCCCACTTGAAATAATTTCTACAAAATCCAAGTACTCCTTGTGGGACCGGACCAACAAAGTGTCATCGAGATCGAGGTGTGGAAGTATTGACCTACAACCCGGGATTTGGATTGGTTCTTTTTGGTGGACAAAGTCTCCTTTGACTTCAACATCCAGAACCGGACAATACACCATGAGAGAAAGAAACCATGCATTAGAAGGCACATAAACGAACTTGGAAATCCCCAACTCTTCGGCAATGGGCAGAGATTCAGTGCCGAAGAGGTCCACGATAAGCATGGTGGGACAAACCTCCATGCCAAGCAAGGCTGACTGATGGGGAGATGGTATCTCAAACACGAACCTCCAACGAAACTACACGAACACTAGAAATATAGAACGAGCACTCACAATTTGCGGCTAAACTTAGCTGCGTTTTCTGAATAAATTCACTAATTCAATCTGACCAAATGGTCTACAAGAGAAAGGTTTAAATAACAACTAAATCCTAGGAATATAAGGAATTATAATTCTAGTACAATAAGGAAACCCAAAACAGAAGGAAAACATAAAAGGAAGTCAATCAGCAGTAGGAAAGGTCTCCTAATTTATTTTGGGATATAATCTTTAAGGTAATTAGGAGGTTTAACTGATCTCTTGGGCTTCCCTAGTTTGGCTTGGGATGCTCCTGCATCAGACTCCTCGGGTTGGAAAGGACTCGACCTCGAGTCAAAATCTGGAGTTTCATTCTCACCATAGTAAGCTTGTAAGTCAGCGACGTTGAATGTAGGCGAGACACCAATGTCATTCGGCAACTCAAGCACATAAGCATTTTGACCAGCCCTTTTCAATATTTTGTATGGTCCACCACCTCTATCATGCAATTTACCATATTTTCCACGAGGGAATCTCTCCTTTCTTAAGTTGATCCACACTAAATCCCCTTCTTGGAACTCCTTGTAACGCCTATGTTTATCAGCACTTTCTTTATACTTGGTGTTGCTCTCTTTAAGTCGAAGGCTAACACGTTCATGGACCTTCTTGATATGATCAACCATGTCATTGGCATCCCCACTAAAACGATTCTCTACCGGCAAAGGAATTAAGTCAATTGGACTAGAAGGGTTGCGACCATAGACAGCTTCAAATGGGCTCATTCCAATGGTTCTACTTTTTGACTGGTTATATGCAAATTCTGCATGCGGTAGAACATCACTCCAGCCCGTTTTATTGCTACTAACCAAAGACCTCAATAAGTTACCAAGGGTCCTATTGACAACCTCTGTCTGACCATCCGTTTGGGGATGATGTGCACTGCTAAATTGGAGCCGGGTCCCCATCTTACGCCACAAAGTCCTCCAAAAATGTCCCACAAACTTGGTGTCTCTATCTGATGTAATTGTAGTGGGAATCCCATGCAATTTGACAATCTCCTGAAAATAAATATGGGCAATATTGCTAGCATCCATGGTTGTTTTACAAGGAACGAAATGGGCCATCTTCGAAAAGCGATCAACAACTACCATGACTGAATCAAATCCTTGTTTTGTCTTTGGAAGGCCAACAACGAAATCCATGCTAATGTCTTCCCACGGTGCCCGTGGCTCTGGCAAAGGAATATAAGCCCCGTGTTCTGACTACGACTCTTGGCCACGTGGCAAGTCCTACATCTTTGTACGTATCTCTCCACATCTCTTCGCAACTTGGGCCAATGAAATTTGTTCTCAACAAGATCAATTGTTTTGTCTCGCCCAAAGTGTCCTCCAAGGCCTCCCCCATGTTGCTCCTCAATTATCCATAACCGTAAAGAACAATCAGGAATGCATAATTTGCTCCCCTTGAATAAATATCCATCTTGAATATGGTAATCTTGTACTGAATTATTGTGCACACATTCGGACCAGATTTCACCAAATTCTTTGTCTCCTTTATATAACTCCTGCACTTGCTCAAAGCCCTCCACTCTAATTTGCATGACAGATAATAAGGCCACCTTGCGACTTAAAGCATCTGCTACTCTATTGTGGATTCCAGCCTTGTGTTTAATCACAAAATTGTACTCCTGCAATTCTTCCACCCATCTGGCATGTCTCCGATTCAATTTGTGTTGCCCATTGATAAATCTCAATGCTTCATGATCAGAGTAAAGGATAAATTCCTTGTAGATCAGATATTGCCTCCATTGTCTAAGAGATTGCATAATGGCATAAAACTCAATATCATAAGTAGAGTAGCGTTGTCTAGTGTCATTGAGTTTTTCACTAAAGAAGGCAACTGGTCTCCCCTCCTGGCTAAGAACAGCTCCAATCCCAACTTTGGATGCATCACAATCTACCTCAAAAACCTTTTGGTAATCTGGTAGAATTAATAATGGTGCTTCAGTCATAGCTTTCTTTATGGTTTGAAAGCTCTTCTCTGCAGTTTCAGTCCATTTGAAAATATTATGCTTCATACAATCAGTCACGGGCGCCATAATGGAGCTGAAATTTCTGATAAATCTTCGGTAGAATGAAGCTAAGCCATGGAAACTTCGCACCTCATGGACAGATTGTGGTATAGGCCATTCTTGTATTGCTTCAATTTTTTTTGTATCCATTTTAATACCTTCTGATGATATCACATACCCAAGAAAAATTAAGCTATCTGTCAAAAATTCACACTTCTTCAAATTGCCAAAGAGTTGCTGCTCCCGTAAACTTCAAAGATTTGTCTTAAGTGCTCCATGTGTTGAACAGCATTATGACTATAAACCAGAATATCGTCAAAGTAAACAACTACAAACTTTCCAATAAAAGGACGAAATACCTGGTTCATGAGTCTCATAAATGTGCTAGGAGCATTTGTCAATCCGAATGGCATCACCAACCATTCAAATAAGCCATCCCGAGTTTTAAAGGCTGTCTTCCATTCGTCACCGGGCCTCATTCGTATTTGGTGGTATCCACTCCTTAAGTCTATTTTCGAAAATATTTTTGCTCCCGACAAGTGATCCAACATATCATCGAGACGAGGAATTGGAAATCTGTACTTCACGGTGATCTTATTTATTGCCCGACTGTCGACGCACATACGCCAAGTCCCATCTTTTTGGGCGCAAGCAATGCAGGTACTGCACACGGGCTCATGCTCTCTCGGATAACCCCTTTCTTCAACAATTCTGTCACTTGCCTATTTAGCTCCTCGTACTCTAATGGGCTCATCCGATAATGAGCTTTATTTGGGAGAGTTGAACCTGGAATCAAATCTATGCAATGCTGGATATCTCGCATAGGAGGTAGCCCAGCGGTAATTCTTCAGGAATAACATCATTGAATTCCTGCAAGAGAGGTGTTAATTCTTTAGGAAAATTAAGCTCATCTGGATTTGACTCTTTCACCCATCAACATGTACATATCGCCACTCTCCTCCGCTTCTTTTAGGAATTCTCCTTTGGTTAGAAAGCTTCCAGCACCAATTTTCGTGGATTTGACATTAAATTCGGATTGGGAGGGGCCTAAAATAACCTTCGCACCATCTTTGATGAAGGTATATGTATTTTTGTATCCGTCATGTGTGGCCTTGCGATCAAATTGCCAAGGTCTCCCCAATAGTATGTGGCACGCATCCATTGGAATTACATCACACCATTGAGAATCCTGATACTTTTGCCCAATGGAGAATGTCACTAGGCAGCGTTGATTCACCACGACTTCATTCCCTTTTTTGACCCAAGACAGCTTGTACGAGACTGGCTTCTTTTCAGTCTTCAAATTCAGTTTATCAACCATCTCCTGTGAAACAATGTTTTCACAACTACCCACTATCAATAATAACACTACATACCTTTCCATGAGAGGTACACTTGGTATGGAATATATTATTCCGAAGCCAATCTGAGTTCTCCTCCACCTTGGCAGCATTCATTATCCTTCGAATCACCAAGGACTCTCCATGGTCACTCCATGTGATCTCTTCTTCTTCATTGTCCCCATAATTATCAAATATAGGCAGCATCTCTTTTAACACACCGCTAGATTCGCCCAATTCCTCAACCAAACTGACAATTTTTCGGTTAGGACATTCAGAAGCAATATGTCCTAGGCCAGAACATTTGAAACACTTGATCCCTTTCGGTTTGTTGGTAGTAAACTTCTCTGGTGCATTGGTCTTAGGTGCTTCATGCTTCCCTGGCTCAGAATTTGATGAGCCTTTAGTCATCCAAGAATTTTTTTGCTCAGAACCCTCTATTCCAACACGCCGTGACCGTGTCTTTATCTGTTTCTCTACTTGTATGGCTAACTTGAAGACATCATCATAACTCCAGTATTGCTGTAAGACCACCACATCATGAAGTTCTCTACGCATCCCTCCCAGATAACGTGCAACTGTGTGTTCTTCTTCTTCGACGAGTCCACACCTCATGGTTAAGAGATCGAATTCTTCAGTATATTCCTCAATAGTCCGATTTCCCTGTCGCAGATTATGAAGTTTCAGGAAGTTTGCTTGACGGTAGTTTTCTGGCAAAAATTTTCTCTTTAGCTCTTTCTTCATTTTCTCCCAGCTTTTAATTTTGGATTTTCCGGTACGATCACGCCGAGTCTTTAGCTGCTCCCACCATGCAGAGGCATTCCTCTTCAATTTAATGGCTACGATCTTAACTTTCTTCTCGTCCGGCACCTCTTTGTAGTCAAATATACGCTCAACAGTATTGAGCCAATCAACAAAGTCATCAGGTTGCATCTTTCCCTCGAACTCAGGTAAGTCTACTTTCATGTCGAAATTTCGACCATAATGATCTCGTCCCCTTTGCACACCTTCCATCGGCATGTGGTTGTAAAAGGGATTTTCGTCTCCCTCCCCGTCGGAACTCTCACCACCATGGCTTTGAGTCTCGATGCGAGCGACACGATCAGTGAGTTGTTGAATCATTCTTTTAATTTCATCCATGTCGTCTGTAGAGTTACGGCCCTCCATTCGGACACCACCCCGACCACGCCTATGATGAGCCATGAAGGCTTCTCTCCACCCACAAGAACCAAAGCGCTGATACCAAATTGATGGGGAGATGGTATCTCAAACACGAACCTCCAACGAAACTACACGAACACTAGAAATATAGAACGAGCACTCACAATTTGCGGCTAAACTTAGCTGCGTTTTCTGAATAAATTCACTAATTCAATCTGACCAAATGGTCTACAAGAGAAAGGTTTAAATAACAACTAAATCCTAGGAATATAAGGAATTATAATTCTAGTACAATAAGGAAACCCAAAACAGAAGGAAAACATAAAAGGAAGTCAATCAGCAGTAGGAAAGGTCTCCTAATTTATTTTGGGATATAATCTTTAAGGTAATTAGGAGGTTTAACTGATCTCTTGGGCTTCCCTAGTTTGGCTTGGGATGCTCCTGCATCACTGACCGAAACGCATGTCGTACTTCTCGCATCATCATGGCAAGGATGGTAACGACAGCATCGTCGGGATCCACAAGGCCGGAAATGTCAGGTGGCGGGAGCTGGACGACGTGCCAGAGTTGTGGGTTTGTAGGTGTACTGTTGAGGAGTTGAGATTCTGCATGGGAAGTTTGGGAAGAGACGACGAAGATTGTGACAGTGAAATTTTGGTGTGCGACAAGTTGTTTTGCGAGCTCGAGGATGGGGATGAGATGGCCCATGCCTGGGCTGCAGAGAAGCGCTGCATGTTGCTTTGAGTTGTTCATGGTCTCCATGGATTTAGAGAGTGGTATCAAATTGAAAGGGACAATAAGTAAGTGTAGCTAGCAGTTGGAGTTTATGAAGAATATCTGGTATAGGGCAAAGAAAGAAATTGCATAGATTTAGCAACAAGGCTTGCTTGGCTCAACATGCAAGTGATATGAGAGGTAGGGGCTTGGGTTTTTGGGTGTCACACACTACCCTATATATATAGATATGGCTAACTTGATAATTTAAATTAAGGTATGAAGTTTCCCCTCAAATCAATAACTTACCGATTTTACAAATTCATAATGTACCTTAATTAGGTTTTATGGGCATAATTAGAACAATAAATAAATAAAAACATGTAACTTATGTAGCGTAAAAGTCAAAGTACTTTGATCAACAACAACTTCTGCATTGCACCCAATATCTCTCATCAGAATTGAATTTATGCCAAATTTTCTATTAAATTAAAACTTAAACGGTGATTAATCATATATAATTAATGTGAACCGAATACTTGAAGAGAGCTTTGTTATAGTTATTTGGTTGATTGAGGCAAGTGTTTGTAAAATAGAGCAAGACAGCCACTTTAAAGTTGTATTTATAGAATAAAGAAAATGATTGCCAAGTGAAGAGGTACCAAACGCAACATTTAAATTAAAATTGGGATTTTTAGTATTATAATAAGATATTAATGGACCGTTTAAGTCATATATGTTCAATCATCATGCCGTATTAATTTGGCAAAAAATAATACGGCATACGACTATTCTCAAAATAATGTATTGGACACATACCACATGTTTGATGATTGCGTTTTGTGCACGGGATGACTGGGCAGTAGAGCTGCAACATGCACAAATTCAGTCTACACTGTTGACTGTTATTTGTGTGAAACATGCCCTATCTTCTTAAACACTCTATCAAAATCCGAGACAGAGCCGTGTCAGTTGTGTTTGTTAGCGTAATAGTCGGGATTAGTTAGCTGTGTTTGTTGTTCTCAAAAAAGGGGTGTTTATAAGACTGACTTTGAGGAAGGCTTTTACCAATTAATCAATGAAGACTAGCGGAAGACTTTACCAGTCAATCAATGAAGACTAGAGGAAGACTTAAATACCAATGACTCCTATTTTGGTTGGGGGAACATGTGTGTGGCTGTTAAAACTAATTGGAGAAAGACTAGAAGACTATACCGCATCATGTGGTAGATAATGTGTCAATTTGTAAATAACTTTAGTAGCACGTGGACTATACTAGCCATGACAGGACCTGCCCCGAATTCCTCAGAACCTAGGACGAATCCTGTGAAAATTCCGACATCACACCGATGTCGGGCCCACTTCAATTACTATATCTTCTTTTCCAAAATTAAGGAAAAATGGCACGAGACTTTCTGCCGAAATTTCTGCAAAGTCTCCCCTACAAAATGGACATTTCCCAAAACTTCTCAACCTGTTAAAACACATTTAATATCACCAACTAGCAGCATGCATAAGATAATTTCATGCAATTCACATAACCAGCCTCCAGCCTTCAAATAATTGGAAACAGATCGCCAACAACGTTCTTAAATCAAATAATGCATTAAACAATGCAAATGATAAACTCATACTTATTTATGAATGCCCATTGCAATTAACATAATTTAACTTCCCGAATTTCAATCATGCGAGGTTTAACCTCCTAACACAAATGCAAGTAGTTTAAGGCCTCAACCCCAATCGCAGGACTATCCAAAACGAGTTTCATACCTGTTTTGACCAGAACACATTTAAACAACCCTCCCTTAGCCAAACTAGAATATGAAAAATTATTTAATTGCACCTCGGTTTCAGCCGAGTTTTAAGACCAACAACAAGGTCAGAACCACACTCAATAAAAACAATCATCAGTAAGATTTAGTCCACGGTTGCAACTAGGTACTACCCTAGGCTACCTACGTACCCCTTGTGAGGGATCAAGCCACACGTGGTTCTTTCATCCATAATCACGAACCAGATGATATACAACCATTTCCAATAGTACAAATAAGTTATTTCTAGAATTATTTTTCCCCTTTTACTTTAAATCACAACACACCAAACATAATTCTTTTTAAACATTAATCTATCCCCAACATAGTAAAATAGTCCCCTAACTAGGCATACCAATGCCTTCATAGAAGTTGCTCATATTCTAGATAATGTGCAATTGCCAAACAATCTAATTTACATGATCAAACGAATATTAATAGTTTCTGTCAATCAACTGCGGAAGGCTTTAATTGATTTTCTCTTAACTTCTTTCAATGGTCATATATAATTTTATGCAAAAAAGACACAAGCATATATAGTCAATGATATTTTAACGCTACTTAACGGGTGTGAGCGTTTTCTGTACATTTCAAAATAAAAAACTGAATTAAATAACTTTAAATACATAACGAAAAATCCAACAAAAACAAACTCAGTGTTCAAAACATTATAGGTCAACGTAAAATATATATTACATAAAGATCAATCTCAACAAGTCTCATCCCGTTGAGACTTAAATTTGTGATGAGATGAGACATCATACTTGGGATGAGATGAGATCGAAGATGGTTGTACTGTTGGAAATATGAGTGCTAAATTGCTATAAAATAAACAAAACAAATACTGCACACAAAACAGATTTTTACAAAAGAAGAATTGAATTAAAAGAATCTTAATTGAGTCGAGGCAAGTGTTGGACACTTTGACCTTAAGACGAATTACGCCCCACATTGGTGCTTATGGTTCACTAGCATTCGCCTCCCAGGATACAACAACTCTCCTCCTTATGAAAGAAGCACTGCAATTCATAAGGAACTTTGAACCAAATTATGCAGGAACCTCTCTTTATGAAAACTCTAATGCTCTCTCTATCTATGAAAGTCTGTATGTAGAGAATTAATTGAATGAATAAAACTATAGGAGGATTGCTCTATTTATAGATGATGAAATACTCATTCCAAAAAGGTATCCCAATCTGAAAAGGCAAACAATGCATCCCTTGGTCTGAATAGTTGTCACCCCAAACAATGCATCTCTGGTTTGAAGAGTTGTCACCCCCCATGTGAAGATGTCTTTAACCCAAGGGTCATGTCTTTAACCCAATTGATTTTATTAATTTCCATTCAAATAGGAAAATTAATATTAGTTAATATTAAATTTCCAACAATCCCCCGCATGAATGGAAATTAACTCAACAACATGCAAAATAAAAAATGAAGACACTAGAGAGAGTCCCTATTAGAAGAATACTGCATCTTGATAGGTAGCTTTTGGCCTTGAACCTTCCATAGTGGAATACTATCGGGTTTACTTGGCTAATCAATGAACGTGATGTCTTGAACTGTTCAGCCGTTTGTGTAAACCTAGACAATAGCACTCACACAATACCCTTCTAAACATATTTGGTTCGATAGGTTGTGCTTGTTTTGGCTCTGAGCGATTCCTGGTATTCATGAGAGCTTTAGAGAATTCAAGCCTTAAAAAATTCTCATAGAAACGGCCTCATTTCACACTCACATAGGTGACTTCCTACTAAGAGTATTCTACACTACCCCCACTCAGATTTCCAAGCTATATGAATCATTAAAGTCAAAGATTACCCTAAAACACGCTACAAGCAGCACTATTTCATCATAGAACATGCGTAGGAGATGTAATCTCGGCAATGCTACTACTTAGTCATCCATAATTTGGTTGTCCCTTTTGAACCTAGATCTTGGAATCTCCAGTCAGCTAGGTTGGGTATCCACTATGGAGACTTTAAATATTTAGGCTTATACTCTCATTCCCCTCAATGATCAACTAACTCTCTAGTCTGACCTTTAAATATTGGATCCACTAGGTTGACTATTTCTGTAATATATTGCCGTCATAATTTCATATATGGAAATAAATTCCATTCAAGAGTAGTTGAGCGTTTAATTTATTTTGTTAAGACTTAATTATTGTGCCAACTGAGTAACCTTCTAATACTCAGTTAGACACCCCCCACATTTGTGGTACTTATAGGAAGGTCTCTAACCTTCTCATACCTTGTATAAGAGAAATTTAAATTCTTATGAACACCAAAGCCTCTCTCCACAAAACGTGGTGCTAGAAAACTTCCATTTTCTCTATTAGGAAATAAAATTCCAAATTTTCCTTCATGTTTGTCACCCCCACAATTTTCACATAATTGTGGAAGTTGTGAAAGGTATTTAGCAATCTGTTAATCATTTTTTCATATGCCATAAAAAATAGAACCATGTTTATAACATAATTAACATGTTCTAGTTACCATACCCTCATTAATTGATCAAAGCAAATCATTATAAAAACTAATTTTCCTTTATAAAGTGCACATCAATTAATACATAGGGTAAGGCTTTGGTACCCTTTGTTCATATGCATCTCATTCTATAGGTAGTACAATAGAGATATTTATTCTTAAAATATCTTCACTTCTTAGGCTCTTTGTAATAGAACTACTAATTAGCTTTCCCTCTTTAAAGCCTCAAAGTGCCTTACTCGAAATATTTTGACTGGTTTCTAACCATAACCAACATGGTTGCTGACATGATCTATGATTGTTAACATAGTCCTACATGCTTTCTCATTTCTCATACAGAGTAACAAAGTCTCACACAATTTACAAAATAAAACTTTTGCAAATTTCTGAACTGTAACTTAGATTTGTTCAACTTTGAATTGTATAAAACAAAAGAAACTAACAAAAGGCTATAACTTTCTATTAATTCAACTTTGAATTGTATATAAGACAAAAGGAAAAGAAAACGAACTAAAAAGGGAAAATAATTAAAAATTGATTGCTGTTTGTTTGCAGCGTTAATATCAATGTTAATTAAAGGAAATCAACTCAATAAAATAATCAACTAATTAAAACTCAAGTCATCAATACAGTAAGGCACTTGAGATACAGACAAAAAATCGTACTTTAAAAACTCAGGTCAGTAATGCAAATAAGGCTGACATATGCATCAAATTTAAATTGTTTTGCACCTTTTCATCTAAATGCATAAACAGAGACTAATATACATAGCAATTAATACAAATTAATTCGTCTTAAGATTGTTGGAAATATGAGTGCTAAATTGCTATAAAATAAACAAAATAAATACTGCACACAAAACAGATTTTTACAAAAGAAGAATTGAATTAGAAGAACCTTAATTGAGTCGAGGCAAGTGTTGGACACTTTAACCTTAAGACGAATTACACCCCACACTAGTGCTTATGATTCACTAGCGTTCGCCTTCTAGGATACAACGACTCTCCTCTTTATGAAAGAAGCAATGCAATTCACAAGGAACTTTGAACCAAATTATGCAAGAACCTCTCTTTATAAAAACTCTAATGCTCTCTATCAATGAAAGTCAGTATGTAGAGAATTATTTGAATGAATAAAGCTGCATGAGGATTGCTCTATTTATAGATAATGAAATACCAATTCCAAAAATGTATCCCAATATGAAAAGGCAAACAATGCATCCCTTGGTCTAAAGAGTTGTCACCCCAAACAATGCATCTCTTATTTGAAGAGTTGTCACCCCCCATGTGAAGATGTCTTTAACCCAAGGGTCATGTCTTTAACCCAATGAATTTTATCAATTTCCATTCAAATAGGAAAATTAATATTAGTTAATATTAAATTTCCAACATGCACATCAAGCCGTTGTCACTGTCGAGGGAGAGGAGAGCTGAGCAACATGTATATGGGAGGAAAACGACATCAAAAAATGGAGGAGTTGGCGGTTTAGATGGGCGGATTGTTCATCGCCGTCGAGAGAGAGATAGAAGAGCTGGAGCGTTTCTGTTTCAGAAAAAATCTCAAATGATATCAGGGATTAGCGATTAGGGTTGAGATTGATAGATAATAGAGTGGGGAAAGAACAACCATAAGCTTTTCTACTTATTTTACTTTCTTTCTTCTTCTTTTTTTTCTTTTTTTCTTTTTTGGGTTACAAAGGGATTGAAGGATTTGATTTCGTATTGTGGTTTTAAAGAGAGGGTGATTTTTTATTGCTGGGTTTGGATGTGAGGGGTTGCTAATTGTGGGATATTAATTAGATGAGGCTCGAGTTGCAGCAGTTGGTTGCTTCATCCCTTCCTAACTCATGTTGTGATCATGCGAGGATGGTGGGTCCTTCAATAGAAGGAATGGATCATGAAGATGGGGAAGAGAAAAACAATTTTTTTGGGGACAAAGAGACGCTTCCTTAAAGCCCCCAAAAGCTGGGAAGGAATATCAATGGAAAGACTCACTTCTAACCGAACGGGGAAATCATTAAAATTATCTCAACTCCATGCATGCGGCCGCCAAGTCCATTTCTTTCAATGTCATAAAACTACATACTTCCAGCACCATAATAAGGCCACAAGATGAGGATTTAAGCAGGTCAGATCATTCACTCGGAGCTCCGAGATTTTACACTTTTCCTTAAGATCTACCACATAGCATGCATTCTTGCGCTTCATTGGATCCACATACACTCTCCTCTCCACTGTACGTAATGTGAAGATATCCATCTTCATCCTTGTTTTCCTCATAGATTGCGGACATCAAGGCGTCTGTAACCATTGGATCAATGAACTATTACAACCACAACTAAAATGAGTAAAACAAAGATGATCGAGTTGCAACTCACCAATGGGAGGTTTAGTGTTCTTGAAAAACATAAATATAGGCTTTATTACGCCGACGACGAACCGTGTGCTGCGCTTGACTCTATACCGAATATAATTAAAAAAATCTCCAAGAGGCATATCATCAGGGATAAGGAATCTGCAGTCAGAAAAAAGGGGATAGGCAATACAACTGTGTGAGTGAGAACCCCCTTCATTTAAGACAAGTTATGAACACAAATGAATTTGATGTTTTCCTTTCTGTATGTAAATCTAATATAGCGGCATGCAATAGGAAATTACTTGGTAGGAAGCCTTCGCTACTTATGTAACCAACTCATCCAAACAATAGGATTGCATGTACAAACTAAAACGCACAACTAACAATGAAAACATAACACGTATTGGGGCTTTCAACAATATTCTTTCTTATTCTCTCTCCTCGTCCCTTTTTGTGTGTGCCCAATTTCGGAACATTTATCGAAAGTATAAATGAAAAGGAAACATCCTATTCTATTGTAGATATACAAATCAACATAACTAAAGCAAAAGGGAATTCGAAACTAACTTCTTCCAGACCATGTCAGGAATGTCACTCCTTGCATCTTTCTCCAAAATCACCTGCATGAAAGGTCAAATTAAAACATACTGCATAGGAAGTAAACGTAGTTGATGCAGTGAAATTCTTACTGGTATATAATTTGGACGCATCTCCCTCAAATAATCACCATCTAAAGAAGTAAGGAGGCCTTTGTACCTACTCATAGAATCCCTCAACCCATATTAAAGCATAAATGAAAAAAATAACAATCCTATTACATTAAAATCAAGATAAGTAAAGCACAAGTGAATCGGCAACCAACCTCTTCTTTCCAGGGTTCCTCAAAGCCTTTCCACAATCACATGCATGGAGACTCAAATTAGCACATGGAGCATCAATTGAATGCATAGGACATGAGCATATTTGATTCAGTGAATTTCTTACCTTCTCGGCGACACTCCTCCAATTGTCTAAAAGAGAAATGGGCCTTGACCAATTTCTGACCATAAATCAAAAGCACAAATGAAAAGGAAACAATCACGTTCCATTATTGCAATACCAATCAAGATTTTAAAGCACAAGGAAATTGGAAACTAACAGTTTTTCTTCAATGTCAGGACTGTCAAACGTTATGGCATGTGAACGACTAGGAACTAAACATATCTGATTCTGTGAAGTTCTTACTGGTGTTGGATTCGTTTCTGCTTGCGTCATTCCTTACTCCAAAAACATCAGTAGAAAAGAGATGAGACAGATAACTTAGACAAAACCAAATCACCAATTTCCAAAATAAATCACAACACTGCATCTATGAAATTTAAGCTAATCGTTACAGATCTATACAGGTCATATAATTAATCCCTACAAAAGAAGGAAATACATACCCTGAGGATATGTGTTCTTGTATGAGCATTCATCCAAGGTGAAACACACGCTGCCACTGTTCTCTGCCAATTTTCAAACAAGGAAACATCAAAACCGCATACGAAATTTTGTTACCGAGAATAGGTCTATAGTACATGCATTTAAATCCTCTCAATTTGTATCTCTGTTTTGGTCAGCGTGTTCCAACCAACTCTTTACGCGTCCAATTCACACAACTATTCCTTTTTTCTTTTTCTTTTTTTTTCCCTCTCTTGGTTTTTTGTTTTTCTTTTATTACTAACACAAGCAATATTAAGCGGAAGCGAAATAAAATGCCTGACCTCAGCAAAGATACTCATTTAATTAGCGCACAAATTTCAAATTTTTGGTTGTATTTAATATGGATTTTAAAAGGGTTTCGGGTTATACATACTCGCCTTCCATATCAAGTCTCATGAAACTTCAGACTTTTTTTTCCGTGAATTTTATGGTTATCACTATTCATAAAGCAAATCATAATTGTTCTTTGTTTACAGAAAAGTAAATCTTAAAGTTCCTACCACCAAAATCACACATAATAACATACCCAGCATCAAAGGATTTCTACTTCTGTATGAAATCCAAAGGGTATGACACAATTTAAAGTACAAAGTCTTTTCGTGTAACTTTGATAAATGTGTGTAGTTGAAACCATGCATGCATAAAAGTTTCAATCCAGCAATTAGGTCCCCTACCACACCTACCAATCCAAGCTAGTAATACATAGGCATGATTCATGAAAGGCTCATATTTGTATATGTTACCCTGTATTCTTTTTCCACTGTACGTAATGTGAAGAAATCCATCTTCATCCTTATTTTCCTCATCGATTGCCGACATCAAGGCACCTGTAACATTGGATCGATGAATTATACAGCCACAAATTTGGGAAAACGGTATTATTATGCCTTAAAACTAAAACGAGCTGCAACTCACCAGTGGGAGGTTTAGTGTTCTTGAAACAGACAAATATAGGCTTCTTTCTGCTGACCTTGATATTGTACCGAATAAAATTAACAAATTCTCTAATGGGCATGTCACCACAGACAAGGTATCTGCAGAAAGAAAAAGAGGATACGCAATAAAACTATATGAGAACCCCTTCATTTAAGACAAGCTACCAACATCAATGAAATTCGAATTTTCCATTGCAGTAATAAGTACGTTTTCCTGTCGGTCTGCAAATCCTATAAACTAATATGGAGTATAGGATTACTTGGTTGGAATATTTTTCTACTTAGGAAACCAATTCATGCAAACCATCATAATCAGCACCATTCCTAAACACTCCTAGAACTTCACCTAGTGTTCTGACACGTTTTTTCCCCCACAACAATGCAAGTTTAAAAGAATGATACACACAACTAAATCCTCTTTGTGTGCATATAGATTGCATGTACACATTAAAATGCACACCTCACACAACAAGAACATAACAAGCTATGAACACAAACGAACTTGGTGTTCTCCGTTCTATGTAGTAATAAGCAGGTTTTCCTTTCTGCATGTAATTCTTATGTAGTGATATGGAAAATGAAAATTACTCGGTAGAAAGCCTTCGCTACTTAGTTAATCAATTCATTCAAACCATAACCAAGAATACCATTCCCTTAGCCCTCCTACAACTTCACCTAATGCAGTGAAATGTTTTTTCCACACAAAATATATATATATATATATATATATATATATATATAGGGAGAGAGAGAGAGAGAGAGCTGATTTTCCCACTCCTCTTTTGTCCACCTACACTCCTTTGTATGTTACAGTAAAAAGTATTAAAAAAAACAAAAGGGAGTGTAAGTGTACAAAAAGGGAGTGGGAAAATCAGTACCCCATGTATTTACGTACATATACATATAGAGTGGAAAAGTGCAACTATAGATGAACCATACACATGAGTCGTGACTAGATCCAATCCGCGTACTATAGATTGCACATACACATTAAAATGAAAACTCACAATAAAAACATAAAAAGTAGTGGGCACTTTTCACAATTTAGTTTCTTTTCTTGACCAATTTCATAACGTGTATCAAAAGAACAAATGCAAAGGGAACAATCCTATAAATACGAATCAAGATAATTAAAGCACAAAGGAATTTTTGAAACTAACTTCTTCGTGTTCATGACAGGAAGGTAACTCCTTGCATCCTTCTCCAACATCACCTGCATGAAAGCTCAAATTAGAACAGACTATATCCACTGAATGCATAGGACGTAAAAATTGTTGATGCGCTGAAATTCGTACTGGTATAAGATCTGGGCGTGTCGCCCTCAAATACACAGGATCTAAACAAGGTGGATCTAAACAAGGTCGGCAGACTTTGTCGCCCTCTGGTTGAATCCTTAACATATATCAAAAGGATAAATGAAGAAAATAAGAATCCTATTCCATTAAAATCAAGATAAGTAAAGCACAAGTGACACGGCAACTAACCTCGCAAGCCAGCTATGAGTCACAACCTGGCTAGGAATCTTGGTCTTCGAAACCTTATCCACAAATCACATGCATGGAGCCTCAAATTAGAGTATAGGATGTAAACATATTTAATTCAGTGAAATTCTTACCAATTTGTAATCAGAACGTTCTAAACGAATAACGGGCCATGGCCAATCAACGGGCCCCAAATTTTTCCTTCCTTTTCTTGACGAATTTCTGAGCACATATCAAAAGCATAAGTGAAAAGGAAACAATCCTGTTACAATGTAGCAATACAAATCAAGATTTTAAAAAACAAGGAAATTGGAAACTAACTTCTTCTTTCCAAGGTCAGGAATGCCAATGGTTGCAGAATTTTCAACAATCATCTGCATAAAGGCTCAAATTAGAACAGAGTATGCCCAGTGAATGCCTAGTAACTAAACATATTTGATTCAGTGAAATTCTTACTGGTGTCGGATCTGCATTGTACTCTTCTGCTTGGTTCATTCCTAAAGATTTTATTCCAAAACCATCAGCGGAAAACAGATGACAAAGACAAAAACCAATAACCATTTTCTAAAATAAACAAAACTCCCATATATCAACTCTGCATCTCTGAAAGTTTTGAACCCCCAAAAAAGGAAAAACATACCCTGAGGATATTCATTCTTGAAAGAGCTTTCGGCCATGGCGAAACTCCCACTGCGACTCTTCCCTGCCAATTGTCAAACAACGAAACATCAAACCCCATACGAAATGGTCTTACCCAGAAATAAAATCACAACATCAAAGGCGAGAATTGATTAGGGTTTCGGTAATTGAAGAATTGATTGGTTGTGAACTGTGAAAATAACAGACGGTCAAAATCAATTAAAAGAGGGGAGAATTATCATGAACAGACCCGTTTCCGATTTCTAGTTTCAATCAAGAAGCCTCAATTTATAATTTTATACCAACCTTTTCAGCGTCCGGTTTACAATAAAACTGTTTTTTTTTTCTCCCTCTTATTATTAATAGCTAAATTATCGATAAGCCATGTAGTTTATTAAAAATCTCAATTTGCGCTCTGCATTTCAAACTAGGTCACTATGTCCCACTTCTCCCATTCCGTCAATTAGGGTAACGATACTATTTCTTTTATATAAAAAAATTGGAAAGTTGCTCCTCTGCTCTGGCTGCTACTGCACTGCACTCCAAGTGTTTTGACAAAAAGCTTAAGCAAATTTGCTGCGCTCCTTTCTTTTGCTGCGCGCCAAGGGCGGTTCTAAACACAGCCCAGCCCAAAATTTTCCAAAAAAAACAAATAGGTCGATATGTTAGCTTAGCCTTGCAAAGAGTCTTCTGAGTTGCAGAGGAGGCACTGTATGCCTGTCGAAGAAGACGATGTCTGGCGTGTCTTGGGGCCTAATAAACAATACACACCATTTTGTTATTGGCCTCCTTTTAGTGAAACAGTGGGCACAACAAATTTCCCCTTTGCTCCTACAACCATGTTTGTGACTTTTATTTATTTTCTTATTCTCCATATAATATATTATCAAGTTTCAATTGAGTTAACTCACTTAATTAAGGTTTGTTAAAATTTCTCTTACTTTTTTTAATTGTTTTCTCTTCACCTATGGTTTGTTTGGGTTTGTGAAATTTTGATTATTCTCTCCATTGTTTTTAATGAGCCTTCCAAAAAAATTATGTGTAGATTCCCAAATGAAACAAAGTTGTAAAAATTGTCGATATATTTAATATACATTATGTTTTTTTGTCCTCTTAATCATGTATTGTGAGTACGAATATGTTTATATATATATTTTGTGAAAGGCTCCTCACAAATAAAATCATGACTTCGCCATGGTTTGTTTGCGTTTGTGAAATTTTGATTTATTCTCTCCATTGAGTTTAATGAGTCTTCACAAAGTTGTATATTTTGATATATGTAATATACATTATGTGTTTTTGGTCCTGTTGATCATGTATTGTGAGCTCGAATCTTTTATTATATATTTTGTGAGAGGCTCCCCACAAATAAAATCATGACTTCGCCATTGATCGTGTCGAAAATTGCCACCCTACTTGTAAGACCAACTCCAACCCAAGGGTGTGAAACCCAATTGCCGCTGCAATGAAAGACAAATTCCAAGTTCATTTGTGTATTCATAGCTTGTCTTAAATGAGCGGGGTTTCACATAGTTTTATTGGCTATCCATTCCTTGTACGTGGTGATATGCCTCTCAGAGAAATTGTTGATTTTTTTCAGTTTACTATGGGGGGCCTCACATCCCATAAATTTTCCCAACCAACTCCTCCACCATTTCCAATTTTCCACCCCAACCTCATCCTTAAAAGCCAACTCTTGTGCCATTTTTGTTGTTTCTATGGCCGTATGTACTAATAGAACGGTGTTACTTGATAATATGTGGTCAAGTTTGCCTAATATGCTTTGGTTTTACAACATGATTTAATTTGGTTTTTCCCCTTTTGTTGTGTTTTGATGGAAATGACAATGGAAGCATGGGCAACTGAAATATTTGATTAATTATTTTGCTTCTTAAACTCTCTCCTGTGGATTGATTGCTTAAGAAATTGCTATAACTTATGACTTCCATGTTTTTTTTATGAATTATTTACATTTGTCCATGAAAGTGATGTGGTATTATTTTTCCAAAACAAAAAGTAATGTGGTATTGAATCATGACTTCTAAATACTTTGTTATAAAAATAGAAAAAGGTGTTTAAAGAATTTTAAATAAATGATTTGAATTTGACACCAAGACAATTCAACGAAATAATCATATGCAACAAATTATTTAAAATTCATTTATTTTCTTCCATATTCAAAACAAACATATGCAACGACGTAATTATTTCATAGTATCCATGGATGTTCTAGTTGATCCAATCTAATAAATTTGAGTGACGGATCCATTCAAATATGTAAAACTGGTTTTAAACTCCTTTAGCCTTAGTCTTAGCCTTCTACCCCTCTCATGTGAGGGTTTAGGGTTTAGTTTCAATTTGCACATGGCTAACAATAGGAGTGCCAAAATCTCTACATTTTAAGAAAATATGAGCCATGATCCATGACAATATGCAAATTTTATGCAAAAGACCGAATTTTCATAATTAAAGGTGAGGATTAATTTGACATCATTCTCTTTTTCTTTTTTCTTTTTTCTTTTTTTCTTTTTTGCCAAAGTTAGGAAGGGAAAGGGAGAAACACACACACGAGGTACCATGAGAACTTGAACCTAGGATCACTTAACATCATTCTCATTTTTCTTTGTCAGCTAAAAAGTTCATGACAAAGGAAGCCATGAGATCATGAATATTAGCCTTACCATTATTTTTTCTACTGAATTAATACCTAGTAAGCCATCTTGATGTAGCTAATGATTACACATGAATTATGAAAACTTGAAATTAAGCATACACAATCATCTGACAATTATTTTGGACATTTCATGGCACTATAGACCTTTGAAATGAAGCAGTAGTAGTCACATTTTAGAAGTGCCATGTTGTATTATCTTTTCCTTCATATCCTTTGTACCACGTCTGATGCACTCGAATCCAAGTGAAACCATCTGAAACATCAGAACCCTGAAACCGAATAATATGATCTTAGAAAATGTTAAAGCGCAACTGTTGGAGGACACTGACCAATTACAATCTCCTATCTCACCTTTGAACTTATAACAGCAGTTGTCTTTGTTGCATAACGCTCCTCACCTACAATGATGATTAGAGTCAAAAGAGCAGCAGAAATTTGCAAGTATATGGAGTTAACCTAGCTGTTCATGATACGTCTAAATATATACAACGTTTTACTACAATGTCTATGGGTCATCAAGTCAAATAATATGTGACTGACTCCATCATATGTGTCTCTAAACAACTAACCATCTTAACCAAGCCACCCCCAACCTGTAAAATTACCATATGTGAGAACTTATAAATCTACTAAACGTAATTTACTAATGAATTTTTTCAAAATAATTGGTTTACCTCATCCTCATCGTCATCATGATCACCACCACCATCATCATCATCATGATCATGATCACCACCATCATCATCATAATCATGATCACCTCTATCATCATCATGATCATCATCATCATCACCATCATCATCATGATCATCATCACCTCCATCATCATCATGATCATCATCACCATCATCATCATCATCATCACCACCATCATCATCATCAAGTTCAAACACCTCTCCGCCCATCAGTTTCACTAGCTCATCATTCACAATCTGAAAGAAGCACCAACTGAGTGTCATAATTCATTAGAAGTCAACACTCAATAGAGACTACTAAGCCCACAATGAGGCAATGACTGCAGTAATACTATCTCCCATCACTCAAATTTACAGAACAACTCCAGAAGACATCTCCATCTTGATCAAAGGATCTGAACAACCTCCACTGGAGCAACTTTATGATGCATGGCATGTCAAAACGCAACATTAAGTACTCTGAATGCTAAAGAGGAATGCATAAATTATATCTTGTTCAAATATTGTTACATTCCACGAACAATATTGAAAATAAAATTCATGACAAATTATACAAAACTAAATATCATAAGTGATTCTTCCTCTAAAAAGAGTTAACTATCTCTTCTCTTGAGATTAGAGTTAATTTTCTCAACTCTTGAGATTTTCAAATCATGATTCTGCTATCAATTACTCTTAGTATTGCATTCCCCTGATATTTAATGATGAACAGAACAAACGAGATTACTATGACAAATAAGTAATGCAACAACAGCCAAACCTCCTTAACACTCAAAGTTGCTCCTCCTCTGGAATCCCCATCTAGCTTTGTTAAAATAGCTCCAGTAATCCCAATCTCTAAGTTGAATGTTGTGACTAAAGCTGCAAAATTCAAAGAAGATAGTCAGCCTATTTCTAGAAGTATTCATAATTCTCTTTGTGACATGGTTATATTACACTTTCTGAACATCAATAACTGGAATTGTGCCGGTTGTGTATTTGAAGTTTTGAACACACAAAGATCATCAAATGGGATGGTGCCCCTTGGGGAACACCGGTGTCGGGGGGAACCTCCGAATGTAAACCTGCCATGGGAGAACGAATTCCCCCATCGCAGGCAGCTATTTGGATGTTTACACATATTATTAATAAAAACGCTATTGCAAAGAGAAAGGACCGCATTGTGACAGGGCGGGAACGAAAAAGAACAAATCATTAACAAAATCTGTGTCGTTTAAAGAAACTGAACACACTACATATATCTTGTGCAAAAAGGAGAATGTCAAACAGAATCATATGTTCTATACTGGATGCACAATACAATGGTCTCAAATAGGTTTTCCGATTAGTGCTTCCTTCTTACATATACATATAACATCTATATTTATTTTACACAATGTAAAAACTTGATGTCTATTTGCGGTTAAGTTACACAATATGAACATAATTTTGAACTTGATAATGTTTAATGATAGCATTTGCTGAACTGTAGCTCTATTTCAGTCCATTTTAATCTGTTCAAAACTTCAAACCAACCATAACCCTTCCTTTCCACCCATACTTACATATTCACAGGTCACATGTGCCATGGGATCTAAATATGCACCAAGAAATATGATTGAAATTGCAACCTGATATGATGTTTGGCCGAGGAAGTGTCTGATTTCCAACAGCCCCCTACCATCAATACAATAAAAGCTGAGTGTATGACATTGATGAAGATGATGAGTATAATGTTATATGAGCAACGGTCTAGACATCAGTAAACTACTTCTCTAAGCTCATGCCCTATTTCATTTGGCTTCTACTAGCATAGTGATGTTTATTCCTAGCTTAGAAATAAATTTACTTCCTTAATATCCATATAACTTTCTGCAAAGGAAACAATTTTAACAAACATATAGAGACATCCTATACATCAAGAACTACAATAAAGTGAACACCCGATCTTCATAAAGAGTATTCCTCAATCCAGATTACATCAAGCCAACACAAGAATTCATCAAATTGAACTTTTAATTTTATGTCAACAAGTGTCAAATGGCTGCTATATCTCTGCTATTTTATGTCCCCATTGATCAGTTAATGGCCATATACTACAGTTGAGCTGATAGGGCAACTTATGGGCCATCATCTTCCACACATTCTGCTTCTTAATAATAAAAAATTTAAAGTTTGACCATAACACCATGGTTTTTCTTTGGATCCTCCAAGACATAGACCTTCTATTTGACATCTCTCTCATTTACAGTATCAAATTAAATATTACACAACGATAAGCATTTGTCAGCAAAACGAACTAATCAAATCATTGTGCATGTTCATCATAAAGTAGAATATGTGAAATCACACTTGCATAAACTAACAATATGGTTCAAATCAACGAATGTAGACAAAACTTATAATTTAATTTGGATAGGTGTGAATTTTTTTAATTTCAAATGCAATTAATTGCTTATGTGGAACTCTTATGTGTACATGATATTGCAGATAGATCATACACAGTGCTAATTTTGCTTCTATATCCAATTTTGCAGCAATAACGGAAGGAAAAGAAAATAGAATATGCATAATTTGGGTGATTAAGCTTTAGAGTACTAAAAAACTCAAAAAATTGAATGATAAGTCTGAACACCTGCAGCTTCTTGGCCAGTCATTGCATCCACAACAAGCAAAACTTCTATGGGGTTCAATACCTTCTTAACTTCTTTCAACTCATCCATCATTCCTTTGTCTATCTGTTAAATAAAAGAAAACAAAACAAAAAGAAACCCCAGCCAAAAGTTAACACAACCAGTAAACTTTCGCAAGACATCATATCAGAGAGGGGAGAACTTGCCCAAGGCATTTTGCTCTGAACAACTTGCCCAGAGAGGGGAGAGAGAGAGGAACGATAGTGTGCAGAGCAGGGTTCCATACCTCTTGCTTTTTCAGATTTGACCCAAATGAGGCTAGGGCACCCAAGCGGCGGACAAATGTGTATGGGCGAACTTCTGAGATTAAAAAGTTTTGTTTGAACAATTTAGAATTTCCCTCATGAAGCACCCTTTACTTGATTTTCTTGGTTACCAAGTAAACCCGAATACGTGTACGCTCATAATTATGACCCAAAAATTAGAAAATTAAAACAAATTTCATTTTACCTTTTTTTTTTAAATAAAGAAAAGAGAAATTTATAATAAACTCAATTTCTGGCATTGGTTTTACATATAAACGCTATGGGTGGGCACGGTTCAATTCAGTTTAGTTTTCCCTCGAATAGGAACCAAAACCAAAACTTACACACGATCTAATTCGGTTTCGTTTTCATAAAGAAAACGTAAGTGCAACGAGGATTTGTATTATTCACTTAAAAGAAAAGGCATTGGGCTGAAGTAGTTTTTAAATTGGTATAAATTGAAACTATTGGACCAAAAAAAAATTGAAACAAAGACATTTGGGTAGTGTTGAGAGAAAAAAAAATTCAGAAAAAGGAAAGAAAGAGATATTTGTCAAAAAAAATTACAAATGTGGGATTGGATAGTAATTGGGCTGAAATATATCGATATTCCTTGGAGTAACTAATATGATTTGAATATTAATTAGGCTTACTAATAAATTTGGATATCAATGAATAAGTAAAGTTAACATAACCGATCATGTTCAGTTTAGACTAGTTTTTCCAAGACAAGAATCCGAAACAATCCAAAGCGGTCCAATTCGGTTTTTAAGCTTAGTTTGACTCTTTTTTTTGTCAACACAGGTTTTTTCGGCTCAGTTCACTGGTTCAAATATTCACCCCTAATAAACACTCAAACCTATAAATTGAAGAAAAAACCTAAAAAGGATCCGTTGCCCTATTTTTAAATGGCCTAATTACACCAATGCCCCTGAAACTTTAGTCAAATTCTCCCCCCCCCCCCCCCCCCCCCCCCCCCCCCCCAAATTGTCCACTTTCATCCATTAACTGAGGTTTTGTGACCTAGTTTGCCCCTACCATTAATTCCATCCAAAAATTTGTTTAAATTTTTTTTCCTTTTTTCTTTTGGCTTTTTGAATTTTTATTGATGTCTTTATTATTATTATTATTATTTTGCTTGATAACAAAGTTTTGGACGGAATTAACAGCAAAGGGCAAAGTGGGTCATCAAACCTCGGTCAAGGGACATGGAAGTGGGCTATTTTAAGTTTGGGAGGCAAAGTGAGATTTAACCGAAATTTCAGGGGGCATTGGTGTAATTAAGCCTTTTTAAATTAAACTATTTACACTAACACCCATGGGGTTTTCACTGTTTTCACAAAACTTCATAAAGTTTCAGAAATTACACGAACATATCTGGATTTTTTAAATTGTTTTAACAAAAATCCCTTTCCGATAATTTTTCGATCAAATATTATACATATATATATATATATATATTTAAATGACAAAGTTAGCCTATGATATTATATTTCATTCCTCCAATTCTTACGCCGCTTTCGCCATTAGGATTGTAGGAACGAGCTCTACAAGTTAAGGTAAACCATTCTTGGATTTGGTAAGTCTCGAAAATTTCCTCTTTTTGTGTGGTTTGGTGCCCCATTAAGCTACAAAGTATATATGAGGGGTTTCTTAATTAGGAATACTCAATATAAATATTTAAAGAGTCCATGAAAGTGATGTGGTATTATTTTTCCAAAACAAAAAGTAATGTGGTATTGAATCATGACTTCTAGATACTTTGTTATAAAAATAGAAAAAGGCGTTTAAAGACTTTTAAAAGATTCATTAAGAATTTTATATAAATGATTCGAATTTGACACCAAGACAATTCAACGATACAATCATACGCAACGAATTATTTGAAATTCATTTATTTTCTTCCATATTCAAAATAAACGTATGCACATATGCAACGATGTAATTATTTCATAGTATCCGTGGATGTTCTAGTTGATCCAATCTAATAAATTTGAGTGACGGATCTATTAAAATATGTAAAACTGGTCTCCTTTAGCATCAGCCTTAGCCTTCTCCCCTGTGAGGTTTAGGGTTTAGTTTCAATTGCACATGGCTAACAATAGGAGTGCCAAAATCTCTACATTTTAAGAAAATATGAGCCATCCATGACAATGTACAAATTTTATGCAAAAGACCGAATTTTCATAATTAAAGGTGAGGATTAATTTGACATCACTCTCTTTTTCTTTGTTTTTTCTTTTTTGTCAAAGTTAGGAAGGAGAAGGGAGAAACACATACACGGGTACCATGAGGACTTGAACCTAGGATCACTTAACATCATTCTCATTCTTCTCTGTCAGCTAAAAAGTTTATGACAAAGGAAGCCATGAGATCATGAATATCAGCCTTACCATTATTTTTTCACTGAATTAATCACCTAGTAAGCCATCTCCATGTAGCTGATGATTACACATGCATTATGAAAACTTGAAATTAAGCATACACAATCATCTGACAATTATTTTGAGAGGACATTTCAGGACACTAAAGACCTTTGAAATGAAGCAGTAGTAGTCACATTTTAGAAGTGCCATGTTGTATCATCTTTTCCTTCATATCCTTTGTACCACGTCTGATGCACTCGAATCCAAGTGAAACCATCTGAAACATCAGAAACCTGAAACCAAATAATATGATCTTAGAAAATGTTAAAGCGCAACTGTTGGAGGACACTAACCAATTACAATCTCCTATCTCACCTTTGAACTTATAACAGCAGTTGTCTTTGTTGCATGACGCTCCTCACCTACAATGATGATTAGAGTCAAAAGAGCAGCAGAAATTTGCAAGTATATGGAGTTAACCTAGCTGTTCATGATACGTCTAAATATATACAACGTTTTACTACAATGTCTATGGTCATCAAGTCAAATAATTGTGATGTTAGTCCAGAAAAAAAGATGCAATGTTCTCTCTGCTGAAGTTTTCAAATGCAGGATATGAATAAGTTATAGCATGCAGCTTATTCCAGGGAGCTGTCTCTCATAGATATTGATTTTCTTAAATACAGCATGAAAAAGTATAAACATGTTGGATTGCAGAGAGAGAGAGAGAGAGAGAGAGAGTCCAACCAGATAATTCCCACTTATCGAACTTCACTAGCCATGTATCTGAACCAACTTGTGTAGCTAACACCTCATCTACCCAAACCCGAAATTGTTTTCCCTGTTTGTCTCCATAGCTGCTTCTCAGACCATTTATGCACTCTGGAAGAGATTGCTCAACTCCAGAAGGATGGACAAATGTACCAGATGGACACTGACCCAAAGAAAACATAACTAAAGGTTAGTTACTGATGAGACGAACACAATTAAGGTGATTCAGATGCAAAAGGAGACCCCATGATGTGAAATAAAAGTACAAGATATCCAAGGTCTATTTAATTCTACAAAAGTACACAGAAAGAAGTTAACTCAATCAAAGGATTTAATCCAGGATTAAACAATAATGTTTTGACAGCCATTTTCAGTCAATAGGAACCAAATGTATTACCCTGTCACTAAACAATCTCACAGGTTCTTTAGTAACTTCAGGGAATTATTTCTCTTTGTAAAGATGTTATAGAGTGGACACTGCAATACACATTCAACTAAATTGAGCAAGTTCACACTGACATGCAGATAAAACACTTATATGCATTGTCCAAACATACGATTATTAATTTCATTTTTTTCAGTTCACAATCTTCATGTATGTTGGCGTCTTAGAAAACAAGCTACCACATGTCAATAGTTATAATCATGTCGCATGCATGCTCAATAAATCCTAAAAACTTCATATCGTACAAACTCAACTCCCTTGCTATATCCGATCACAGTAAGACTAAGTTTTATTCGTATAGAAAATGAGTGTTACAATCTGGGCGGGAGTCCTAGATTTATTAAGTAGTCAGAAAAAGTAACTGAAAACAAAGGGAAAATAGATATGAATTCTAAGTTGATGCCTTCTATGCCATCTACAAAATGAGAAGTGACTACTTTTTCTTTCCCGCCTAAAAATTTACTAGAAAAACCACCCCACGAGTTATGTAATTGCATTAACTACAAATTACCAGAAACAAATTTAGACGTATTTCCAAAAGATGTTGAAATCTGACATGGAAAGGATAATAGTTCTTCTGACAGTGTAAAACTATACAAGGTGTAATATCATAAAACTCAGTATTCAGAAGAAAGGAAGATAATAAACATACACAATCGGCTTTCAGACTTGCCAAATAGACCGCCGAATTCTCAACTTCTGCACGTCTCCATTTCTCATAGAATAAGAAAAATTTCACTACTTCGTGACCAGGATTTGGATTTTCCAGCTTATAGTCAGAAAAATCAGCAATATCTCTGGGTGGCAAATTTGGACCTAGTTTAAAGTGCCCAATGGCTTGTATGATTCCAGCAGAACATCTCTCTGTTGCATGAATAATCCTTGTGTTACCCTTAGCATTTTCAGCATGCCACTGCAACAATTCTTCTTGGGCATTGCTAACCTGCATGATCAGCAATAACAAAAACAATGCCAATTAATGAGGAAAACTCATTTCACATTGAGAAAATAGGGTTTAAATATGAAGAGAAACAAGGTGAGATACAAACCATGACACCATATACTTCTGGAATGCTAAAAAGCTCAGCATCATTTCCAGAGTCACCACAAACAAGAGTGTTGACAGGTGGACTTCCCTCAGTCTTAAATTTCTTAAGCAGATATGCAAGAGCTTGTCCTTTGCCAGCACCTTGTGGTAATATATCCAAATCCATTCCTCCACTATAGATTATCTTAACATCCAACTGACCAAAGATGAAGCAAAAACTTAAGTTCAATATCAAAAACAACAATACCCTATGATATTCTGAAAGCAATGACTTTTCTTTAGGCAAAGTTTACACAATTCTCAACGCAGTCTGCAGTATATATGAAAACCGCTGTCTAAGAGTTATATCTTACCCCACGCTTTTCATAAACCTCTGAAAGAGCCTTTGTTACTGCCTGAGCCTTGTCTTTCTCTACATAAAAGCTAACCTTGTGTGGCCGTTGCTCTGTTTCTGCCTGCAGTCCTCATAAAGTTCAAGACTTGAGAAATTTCAAAAACTAGTTTCTTTATTTACATATCACTTGAGTTTATTTGCATCACACAACCAGAGACACTAATCAATTGCCATAGCCTATAAAATGTACCTGAAGTTTAAGTTCAGAAAATTTGCTGGCTTCCTCCTTGACTACGTTCCTATCCCATTTTTTATTCAGAACCTCAACCCAGCCATTATCAGGAACCATTGAGTTACCATATGTTATCTCAGTTCCCACAGACATTATTGTTATATCTGGAGTTAACATGGGTTTCTCTTTCCTCAATTCTTTGTAAAGTGTTGGTGACCTACCAGTTGAAAAAACTAGCAGAGAATCGTGACGGTAATTTGCTTCCCACAACGAGTTGAATCTGAGCAGAGAAAGGTTCTCAGTGTCATGATGATCAACCTGCAACAAAAGCATTTCTCCACTAAAATCACTGCAGAAATGGAATGAATGAAATGACACCCCAATGACACAATCAGTAAGAGAACCTACCATTGTGTGATCAAGATCTGAAACTATCATTAGACGGGCAGGAGCTTTTAGCCGATCCATGATTATCCTAATTCCAACGCAAACCTGCACTGAATTTATAAATATTCAAATTAAAAATGCAAACATCTGTAAAACACCTGTGATGACAATTTTCTATTAAGATGATCCTGAATCAAATCCAAAACTTTTAATTAAAACGAAAAAAGTACGGATTTTGTATTAAATTCTTTAGCCAACATATATGAAGATAGTCAAAAAAAAATTTAATTGGGAAAGTTCAATCCGAGTCTTTACGCATTCTGAGGTCTCATGTCCCAAAAAAAACACTCAAATTTCCGAGCTTGATTTCAGTTTCTAGGCTATTTTCCCAGAAACTAAACAGTTACACAGAAATTGAAGCTAAACATAATGAATCAACAACGATGCGATAAACAATTAACAGGAATTTCAGAAATGACCTGGAAACTTGAGAGCGAAACTTGGATTTGAAGTGATTGGAAAATGAAGGTTGAGATTAGGTTTCTGAGGAATTGGAGGAACGAGAGAGAGTGATGAAGTGAGTGATTGGAAGGTATACATAAAACGAGCGAAGCGATAATGGGAAGCGAATTGGATCCAAATTCGTTGGCGCTTCTTTTGTGGGCTGTGAGACAACAAAACAGAGGTTATAGATTTGGGAACGTTATGGACACGTGTCAACTTACGGGGGTAGGGTGGACATGTGTTGTGTGTGTGGGGTCCATTTTGGACGGTGATGATGGGGTTGGGTAAGACGTGGACGGCCGTGATGGCCGAGGGTGGGGAGAGCCCGGAGGTTACCCGACTGTGGGACCCGCTATGACATGACGGTTTCCCGTTGATTCGGTAGGCCTGCGCGCATACACGCGAAGAAAGGAACCCCAAAAAGGCCAAAATAGAATTAGTTCTTTTGTTTCTTCTTTATATTATTTGAAGGGTTTGCAATTGATGAAGTAAATAATTTTAGGATAGAAAGTAGCATATTCTTATCATATTCCCCACCCATATACTCTCATCTATTTTTAAAAGATAGTTTCTCATGCAATGTAAGAGGTTGCTAGGGTACATAATCTTCTTTCAATTTGTAGGAGGGTTTGAAAGATTATTTTAGCTCAAATAGTCTAAAAACGTTCATTTTGTTATGAGGTTTCGAGTTCGGTTCTCCTTCTTTCAACATTACTTCTAAGTAGATACATAGCGAATTAGGTTTAAACTTTTATCAGGCTTGGTTACATATGTGTTTGTTAGGGCATATTTGTTGGGTCATTTAGTGGAGAGTGATTCAAGCCTTTGTGTACTCTCGGCGCCATTTTTGTTTGTATTTTCTGACTTAAATTGTTTTACTTTTTACTTAATTTTAAGAATAATTAAAAGTGTTTTTAAGGCCTAAACACATATAAAGAGGCCCCATGCAGTTATAACATAAGAAGAATCCAACAATTCATTAACCCACATGTCACAATTAAATACCAAAATGCCAAATTAATTCGTTAATCAAATCAAATGAAAAGAGTTTAAGAAAATTTTAACCAATTTAGTTGGTTTTGGTTTTCGATCTTGAGTGTGCTAAACAATGATATTATAAGATGAAATTGTATTTTAGTAATTATTGTAATGATTTGTGTGAGTATTTAAAAAAATAAAAATACATAAATGTAATGATAAATGTGAGTATTTAATTATTGTAATGATTTTATATGAAAAAAAATTGGTTAAAACAAGTACTAATTTTTATTTTTTTTTTATTTTTAAAAATAGAGCCTTGGAAATATTTGTTGGTGTGTTCTTAAAGAAATAATGACTCACCACTACCCAAAATAAAATTTAAAAAAAAAAGAAAAAAAAGATATAGTGACTCACCCACCAAATTCCAAATTTCTAACGGCCAAGTTCCAACAAAACGCAAAATAAACTCGACCAACCCACTTCTTAACCAAAAAACAAAACCTCTTGTCCCATCTTCTTGAGGAATCCTGAAGTGGAATCACAACTTACTCACAATTGAATTATACTTAACAAAACCAGAAAAAAAAATGTTATAGCAATAGCTCCATCACCTTCTCTCCCACCAAAGCTTTTGCTACCAAATCAAAAATGTCCTTTCCCCACTCACTTTCCATGCCTGAGCTTGGATTTACTTCTTCCCCTGCTTCCATGCACATTTCTCAGTTTCCCAGTCACCACCACTGCAGCACCCAATTGGGTACTTCAAGACCCAGAATTCAAGAGCACAGGTTTCAGCTTATTCTTAGCCAGCATGGCTCTCAGGGCAATGGTCATAATCTCTGTGAATTGAAATTGGGGTCTCAGAATTCTCAGCTCCTTGGTCATGGATATAGTGTGCAGTTGGGTACAATCAGACCCAGAAGCCAAAAACATAGAAAACTCTCTTTTGGGCATGGTAGAACCTCATTTCTCAGTGATTACAAGCTCAGTGGATTGAATTTAGGGTTTTATAAGACCAGAGACCTGGACACTCTGAGACCCAAAGTTCCCAAAAGCAAATTGATTCAAGGGTGTCATTTGGGAGGTTCAAATTTCAGTAAATGTAGACATGGTAGTGTGCAATTAGGGTTGTCTGAGGTGAATTCCAGGAATTTGAACTTTGTGATGAGGTCAAGTTCAACATTGAGTGTAGATAAAGTGGTGGAGAGAGAGGGAGGTGGTGGTAAGAGCTACTATGACGCCATTGTTATAGGGTCAGGAATTGGAGGGTTGGTTGCAGCTACCCAGTTGGCTGTGAAGGGTGCCAGGGTTTTAGTGTTAGAGAAGTATGTGATTCCTGGTGGGAGCTCTGGGTATTATGAGAGAGATGGTTATACTTTTGATGTTGGATCTTCTGTGATGTTCGGTTTCAGCGATAAGGTAAGTTTTAGTTAAAGTTTTGATTTTTCTTTACGTACACTGCGCTTTAGTTGTTAGCTATATGAGTTGAGTTGAAAATGGTTGAATAGAACTTGATTATTCCACAAGTTAAGACTAGTCTATTAAAGCTGAAATTCTTAGCTCTGCTTATAATTGAGGGCACCTTTGATAACCATTCGTTTTTAGGTTTTAGTTTTCTTTTCTTTTATGTTAGAGATAGAGATAGAGGGGAAATGCATGGGAGGAATGAGATATGAAGAAGGGTGGAGGAAGGATAATGGGAGGGATGTGGAATGGTACTCAAAATGAAAACTAAAAACCAAAAACTGAAGCAAATTTATGAAAGTTTTGTGACTGTAGAATATGCATTGTTATTATAGGTGGCTCTTTCTTGAGTTATTGAAAGTTATTTTTCACTATGATTTTGACTTTCTGTTATAGTTGTTTAATGTCTGTGGTGGAAGTTTGAATCATGAAGAGCATTGTATCCTACAAATATGATGTTGAGATTGGTGATCCGGAGTGTAATAGACTCATGGAAACTCATTGGAGGTTGGAAGTTTGAATCATGAGGAGCATTGTATCCTGATAGAAACTTGTAAGCATGAGAATGTAATAGCAGACATTCTTCGTTGCACTATTTCACATAGACATGCTACAGTTACTAAACAAGTGACATATAAAGCTTAAAGATCATCGACTCTGGGGGGAAAAGGAGAGATTTGTCCAAGGGCAGAGGCATGTCTGAATGGGGAAAGTAGTCAATCATCTGAGACCATTTAAATTTACAGCAAGTTCGGTGTGCAAATATGTAAAATCTCATGCATTTTGTATATTTTGATATAATTCGAGATTTTCCTTTTTGGTAATGACATTGGGTTCTAATTTTCTAATTCATGATTTATATCTTGTTGGCGTTTTGTACTGGATAAAGAACTCTTTTTTGCCTTAAAGTGCCGAATGTGTCATGTTTCAGTGCAGCCTGCATTTTTTCAGTCTTGATATTTTCACATAAAATGTGGTCACTGAATTGGTAATCTTCTTTGACTCTTTACTGCACAAATATGGGCAGGGCAATCTAAATTTGATAACCCAAGCATTGGCAGCAGTGGGTTGTGAGATGCAGGTGATACCTGATCCAACTACTGTCCATTATCATCTCCCCAATAATCTTTCTGTCCTAGTGCACAGAGAATATAGTGAATTTATCACAGAACTTACTGGTAAATTTCCCCATGAAAAGGAAGGGATTCTCAAATTCTATGGTGAATGTTGGAAGGTCTGTTCTTTTTCATTTTTTCTTTAATTCATCTTTTCTTTTGCAAGTTGACTGGGAGTTCCTTTGGGGTTTTGCCAGTACTTGTAATTCAAAACTTACATTAATAGATTGTGTACAAATGGATAGATTTTCAATGCCTTGAACTCATTGGAACTGAAGTCACTTGAGGAGCCAATCTACCTTTTTGGACAGTTCTTTCAGAAGCCTCTTGAATGGCTTGGACACTTGGTATTATCATTTTTGTTTTTCTGTTTTTTTATATTTTATAAAACTGCAATGAATCTTCAATCCTTAATTCGAGCCGTCATGCAAGATTTAGTTTAGTCTTTGGTTGGTTTTTCCAGCTTTAGCCAGGATATTTTGGGCAATAATATACTAATGAATCTTTGATGTCCGTAGGATTAAATCATTGGTTAAAATAGTTGAAACAGGGAAAAGATGCATCCCTAATTGACCTGATGGTTGTAGTTATATAATGAGATCTATTGATGTTCAAAAGACATTTTACCACCAATTACAATGCTTTTTCTCCACGAAATGGGGATGTAGAACAATTGATTGCAGCACTGTTGTCATTGATACAGTTGACAATATTGACACCTTCAAAATTTTGAGATATCAGTCCCCAATAGAATCTGGTGCAGTTACTGGAATAGATTAAAAAATGATAATGTTAGTCTTCTTGGATATCTTTATTTAATTCGTATCAATAGTCTTCTTGAATTTGGATTATTCATGGTGACGATTAATGCACTTTTGGTCCCGGCCATAATATGTTATCTGTGTTCCCAAATGCTTACATTATGTGTTATCTATTGCAGCCTACTATTTGCCTCAAAATGCTGGGGACATAGCTCGTAAATACATTCAGGATCCCCAGCTGTTGTCTTTCATAGATGCGGAGGTGGGGTGAAGTTGTTTCATCCTATTGAAGTTCTTAGTTATGATTTTATATATTTATTCCTTTGCAACTTTGTTGGTCCACAAATGGTCTTCCCCTCCATCTCATAAAGATATTTTACGTTTATATCTACAGTGTTTTATTGTGAGTACAGTCAAGGCTTTGCAGACACCAATGATCAATGCAAGCATGGTAAGCTTTTCAAATAGCTTTTTGGGCCCTATCTTGTGTATTTTTCTCTTGTTTCCTCATTCATGTTTTCAACAGGTTATGTGTGACAGGCATTATGGTGGGATTAACTACCCTGTTGGTGGTGTTGGCGGAATTGCAAAGTCCTTAGCAAAAGGTCTAGTAGACCAGGGCAGTGAGATACTTTACAAGGCCAATGTTACTAGCATCATAGTTGATCAGGGCAGAGCTGTGAGTTCAAATTTAATCTTGGATATGTGATGCAAAGATATCTACTCTTTGTCTTGCTGTAGTCATTGTATTTGTCAAAAGATGATTTTATTTTAGTCGGCATGTAGGTTGGAGTAAGGCTTTCAGATGGGAGGGAATTCTTTGCCAAAACCATAATATCAAATGCTACTAGATGGAATACCTTTGGTTAGTGTGGCCAGGAGTTCAAGAATTTATTGGACTAACTTTGGGATGTTCAATATTTGCTGCTGATTGTTGTGCTGTTATATTTACTTATTTCAATCGAAATCTAATTACCTTCAACTTTATTTTAGGAACACTGCTAAAAGGAGACGATGTTCCAAAAGAAGAGGAAAATTTTCAGAAAGTTTATGTTAAGGCCCCATCTTTTCTTTCCATTCACATGGGGGTGAAAGCTGAAGTTCTGCCACCAGATACGGATTGCCACCATTTTGTGCTTGAGGTGCTTTGTTTTTCTTTTTCAGTACCATCATTTGCATGGAAACTTTTTGGGGCGTTGAAATTGGAATATTCTCACTCATCTGTTCGTCATTGTCTTCCATCTTGTTTTCAGGATGATTGGACAAGGTTAGAAGAGCCTTATGGAAGTATCTTTTTAAGCATTCCAACTGTCCTTGACCCATCGTTGGCTCCAGAAGGACGCCACATACTTCACATATTTACAACCTCTTCCATAGAGGACTGGGAGGTAACTATCTGTTATCAAAGTTAAAATGAATAGTTGACATTGATTATTCCCCCCACTCTCTTCCCTAACCCCTCCTAGTACGTATCTATGAAATTTGAATAACTAGTGAGGTGGCGGTTTCTATATAGGGACTCTCTCGAAAGGACTACGAAGCAAAGAAAGAGATTGTAGCAGATGAAATCATTGGCAGATTAGAGGATAAACTATTTCCAGGGCTAAAATCATCCATCGTTTTTAAGGAGGTAATACCATACCCTCTCACGACTAATCTATACTGAAGCATTTGAGATATATGAAATAGTGTTAAGATTGCGAATCTTGTGACATTGAAAGGAGAGAAACGGAGAGAGAAAGATGAGATGAAATTAGGAAAAGTTTGTGAATCTTGTACAAAATATAAATAATAACAAAGGCTTATGATTCCATTCTCTCTCAAGTTGGTGAAAATAGATTACGCCCCTTGTTGTGGGAGGCAGCAAACCATCATAAATCTTATGTTCACAACCTATGAACAAAAAAATTTAAATAATGGAAATGGATTCAATTGTTATTGAGGTTTTAACGAGTTAAAATTCCTTTGTGAGAGTGATGGTATCTTAACAAATGTCCCTCTGGAGGCATTTGCTTTTTAGGCTCTCTGCTCTCTCTATGAGCTTAATGAAGCTGATTTTGCCCCCTTCTATGGGTGAATACTTTGGTATTCCACAAATTTTAGTTTACAGTATTTGATATGTCCATTAAAAGTTTCTCCAATCATGGCAGGTGGGAACACCAAAGACACACAGGCGGTACCTGGCTCGTGACAAGGGTACTTATGGACCAATACCACGTAGAACTCCTAAGGGCTTATTGGGAATGCCATTCAATACAACAGTAAGTTCAATTATAATATCAATGGATGTTTCAATATTTATCGACTTTAAGCATACTGAACAAGGGGAGCTATGCAATGATGAATAATGCAGGCCATAGAGGGTCTCTACTGTGTTGGTGATAGCTGCTTTCCGGGACAAGGAGTTATAGCTGTATCCTTCTCAGGAGTAATGTGTGCTCATCGAGTAGCTGCTGATATAGGTATTCTAGAGGCTTAATTCAATGTGAAATCATAGGGGTTGGCGACCCCTTATTTGCTCAATTTAAATTTTTATAAGTTTACCCTTGAAGAGAAAATTAAAATAATTCCCTCTCCCTTTCCCACCCCTTTCCTCACCACCTCACCCTTTCCCTCTCCTTCCCTTCAAGCATGGAAAAAAGGTGCGCCATGGGCAGCTCCTCTTTCTGAACCATGAGGCATCATGGCACCTCCTCTCTAGTTAAAGGCTGCCAAGTTTGGTCCTAATGGGCAGTGTTTAATTTTCAGTAAAGAAAATGAAAGAGTAAATAAGTAAAAGATGTGGAATAAAAATATTGATAAAGGATAATGGGATTGAAGAGCTAATAAAGGGTGTTCAAATAGAGCCATCCGTAACTGACCTTAACGTTGAGAACTCTTTTGAGCTTTTTTGTTGACTTATTTATTTCTTTTCCTTATTTTTTATTTCTTTCACAGGGCTTGAGAAGAAGTCCCCAGTATTGGATGCTGCCCTCCTTCGACTTCTTGGATGGTTAAGGACATTAGCATGAGATTTCATACAGGAAAATATGAAAAGCAACTTGACAATTTGGCTGGAGAAGCATTATCTTCCTAATTACATAGCACGGTAGCAGTGATAGACGGCAGGTTGGAGTATGTTGATAGACACTGAGTAGGTACTTATGGCTCTAGCCATTTTATCAAATTTGGCTCAGTTGAATTGCCTTCTGTAGTTTTTATTTCGTAGGATAAAGTTTATACATGAGCTCTAGAGAAATGTACAGTGGTCTACATGCTGTATAAAGTACAACCTTTTCCTGCTAAGTCTGTTAGCTGATTGTTTTATTTTCTTTCTCAAGAAATGCATATGTATAAGTGGCAACTCCATAAACTGATTTTCATTAAATCAATCTATAGAAATTTTGCCTTCATTTTGGACCCTTGCCATCTAGAACTGAATTTGAAAAGGTTCATTCATGAATTCAGTAAAGTCGTAGGGAGTTCTGGTCGATTACAATTGTCATACAAAGTATAGATTTCGATCTGAACTTCTTTCGTTACCTGGAGTTAAAATTTTCCAAAAACAACCCTAAATTTCTCCATATAGAGAATTAGCTACACAACAACTAACCGGTCTATCTGGCTTTTTACCTGCTACATGACATAAATTTTACGAAGTTCTTAGAATGAAGAATGCATAAGTTCCAGATCAGTGATCGTCAGCTAGTTTTCCTCAGTTAATTTGAAACTCATGCTTCAAAAGATAGCTTCTAATAGATTCTAGGCTTCCTTGAAGACTTCATCGCATTTAAGCTCCACCTTGAAGCTTCATTCTCCGCAAAGAAAGGTATGCCAAGAGCCGGTATCCAAATACCATGGCTACAAGGGCACCGACTCCTGTTAAACCACAGTCTGTGCTCAACCCATTAATGGCTGGTGTGATTGCTTCGTACTGCACCTTAAGAAGAAGCCTGTATGTGTGGTAGTTGAAAGACATATACCGAATCCAAGATATGAACACCGGAACTTTCTGCAACATTTTAAACAACATGTTGTGTTAGATATATATATCTTCCATCCTATAGGAAATGTGAAATCTTTTAGGAAATAAATTTGTAGACAAAATATAAATTTTCAGTCAAGGATTGCATGCTTACTTTCACAAAGAACCCCCCAGCCAGCATGAATGTCATGACAGTTACAGAAGCTAGAGTTGTGGCCCTCTTTAAGTCCATCAATGTAGCTCCAATAGCTAGTCCAAGTCCCTGTTTTGCATCCATTTAAGTAGTTAAATATGGTATTTTTCACCTAATGTTTTGGAAGAGGTCAAATATTCAGCTTTAAAAAAATAAATTAAAATATCAACCAGTAGCTGGAAAGAGGCATACCTGCGCTGCCACAATGCAGAGGAAAACTATAAGCATGCTTAGGAAGAAGGTGTCAGCACTCAGCCTTAAGCCTGCCATGAAATATACAATGACGAGGAACAGTACCGGTAGCAATAGGTCTAGTGGGAGATCACTTGTAGTCCTAGCAACAAAATATGCACTTAATCTGTACATGTCAGCTGCTCGTTCCTTCGTCAGCATGGCCCTTTCTTGAGGAAATGTAAAAATTGCTGTGAAGACAGGAAAAAATCCCCAGAAGACAGCAATGAAGAAAAGCAATCCTGCCTGCAATGAAGAAAAATAAACAAATAAATAACAGATGTTGAAAATCCTGGTTGCTTCTTAATTTGTTTCCTTTTGAGACCTTTCCCCCAAAGACCTTTCTGTGATATTTGTAACTTTTATTGCTTTGACAAGGCAAAGATTTACCTGATCCTCCAGGCCTTTGGGATTGTTGCTATCTGACTGCCACCAGAGCAAGCCCAGAATAACTGCAGTGGAGAGGACTTGGGTAATTCTCAACCAGCTGAAGTAGTCATGCCTTCGTTCTTTAATTCCTCTACAAAACAAGATGGAAAATTGTTCCCACCAGCTTCCTCCCCATTCTCGTTTTGAAATCGACACCTTCAACTTCAGTTGATCGTCAAGGGGAAGAGGAACCATAATCTTCTTCTTCTCCTCGTCTGCAACTCGTGTCTCGTAGGCCTCCACAAGATACTGCTTTCAAATAGACACATCAGATTAGTGCGTTTGATGATGCAGTCCGAAATCAGACAGATTTTTCTTGTAGGACAAGTAAGTTGCAATGATCAATAAGTATTATGTATCCCTATCTATATTTGTGAACTTTATACTTGGCAGTAATTATTCCTGACGTGTGCACATTGTTAATATATATATGTGGAAGATAATTTTCTCTTTTGAGCGCCTCTCTTAGAAATTTAAGAAATCAATCAGAACATACCTCATGCACAACTGCTGGAGATGGCTTTCCATTTCTTGTATCAGCTGCTTCTGAATTTCCCATTTGCACTTTATCCTCTAACTCTGATGGTACAGAAACGTCGTTTATGTTTCCGTTTGCAAGGTCTAGCAAGAACTCTGCCGGGTTCATGGCAATAAGTGGGGAACATCCTATGGATGAGAAATAAACCATTGCTTCTGATGCTTTCCCAAAGTAAAGCAAGCTTCCCTTCCCAAGAAGGATCAACTTGTCAAATTTGTGGAAGAGTCTACTTGATGGCTGGTGGATTGTTGTCACCACTGTTTTGCCAGCCTGCCATATAAAGAATCTTACTACTTATTTCTCAATTCAATTATTAGCTGCTTCTGAAAAATATACTAATAAAGTTGAGGTTTAACTTTTTCGAATGAAAATAATTTGTATTTCCTCAGAATTTGGAGAAACTAAAAGCAGCTCTGCATTGCCTTGCAATTATAAAACTAATTGCCATACCGAATCTGTCTGTCAAAACTGAAGTACATACCTCTGCTATGTCTTGTAACATCTGAACGATTCTAAGTGCAGTCGTAGAATCCAAGCCAGAGGTTGGTTCGTCCAGAAACAGAAGGGAAGGGTTAATTATGATCTCATTGCCAATGCAAACTCTCTTCCTCTCTCCACCTGATACCCCACGGACAAAGGAGCCACCAATCATAGTGTCTTGGCACCTGTGCGCATCAAGAATTTTTGCTAGTTAGCTTTTTAATCTAGTAAGATCAGTGATGACAATGCTTATAAGTCCAATGGCAGCAGTAGAGGGAGAACTTACCTTTCTAAGCCTAGCTCATAAATGACATCTAGAGCTCGTTTTTCCTTCTGCTCTTTTGTCAATGTCTTTGACAGCCGAAGGAGGGCTGCATATGTTAATGTCTCTTTCACTGTAAGGTGAGGAAATAGAACATCGTCCTGCGTAACGAACCCTATCCTGCCATACACTTCGTGTCAATTTTGTTGCACACATGCATAAATATATATTATATTTGGAATCTGAAGGAGAAAAGAAACCATGTACTCTGCTTCAATCAAGCAGATTTTTAATGGAAAACCATTTTGATTGCCAAAAGAATAACTAAAGAAGCCTCCATGCCTATAATCTGTGTCCATATAATATTTTTTATTACAGTGATAAAATTTTAGTTTCAGATTCGTACCTGCTTTTTAGGAACTTGGAGTATGTCTGGTCATTGTAAGTAATGGAACCAGTGACATTGGCTTGAACTGCCCTGCCTCCAAGCAGATTAAGGAGGCTGGTCTTTCCACTTCCAGATGGTCCCATTAGGGCCAAAACTTCTCCCGGGTGCACCGAACCGGTAATCCCATTCAAGATATCCTTCTCTTCAGTTGTCCTCATGCCTTTGAGAATGATCTTGTATGTCACATCTGTGAACTGAAACAAAACCAGAACAAGATTTAGCCTTCATCAGTAATTAAGACTGTCAACTAGTTACTTGCAGTAATATATCAAACTTATTGCAACGTAGAAAGATAGTTAATTACTTTTCAGGAAGAATATGTCAGACTGTCCATACCCTTCTTTCCTTTGATGCTTTTGGTGTTCCTATTTGGGATTGTTTAAGCCCTTACTGAAGGCTAAAAACCTGCGTGGCTCAATATGCAGGTGTCTAAACTATTTCTGTAGGGTTTAAAACCCATGATTTCTTACTTCTTCTAGGACCCTAAAAGCAGTTTATGTGAGTTTATTTATATGAACATGTAGCACCTTTTGGCTGGAAAGAAGGGCAAGTCTTGTACATACAAGTCATATAGAATGAAACTCTGTACAAGACTGAACCTGACCATGCTTATATTGCTAGCCATGTTCTATGGATCGCCCTTGATGTGTGTTAGATCATTCTCCACCCTTGCCTGTCCAAATAGATAGTAAGTATCACATCAATTCGAGCACTACGATTTGAACATGTACAGGTTTTGAACGTACACCGGTAGATGCAGTTGCAAATTGCAATGGTTTTCCGGAAGAGGGAGAAGGAAAGCATACATGGCAAACATGGCAACTTGTAACTTGTATAAATTGTGTAACTACTTGGAAGGGAGAAAAACCTTGAGATAAATTGGCAGAGTAGGTTCTGTTTGGAATTTCGGCTTCCTGGTGGTGCCAGCTTCAAGATCTTCTGCTGCATTATGCAATGAATCATACATAGTTCTCTGTTATTATATTATTATTTCACTATTAGCAGCTGAAAATTAAGGCATTCAAAGAAAAAGAAAAAAACACTATGCTTATGCTTATGCTTATGCAGCAAGAATTTTTTTATGCTTGAAAGCATGTCTTTTTCTTATGGATTTTTCAATATCAAGTAAATATTAATAAGGAGCAAGAACAACTTTTTATCTACCAATCTATCGACCCTTCATTTATGAACTCATACTCAAGAACAACCCTCAAACTATAGTTTAAGGTCAAACTGATTAAGACATGGTATTTAATTAGATGTTTTTTTTCCTTCCACATGCATGTCAAATTTTTCCATATTAAATTTGATGTAATCTCACATCAGATCAAAAGTCTAGTTAAGGTAGACTCTGGTCCACTGTTGAAAAATAAAATGTAAACTTTTGATGACCACCAATCAGGCCCAATTAACCCAGCACAAATGGGATTTGGAGAGGACCTAATCTCTCATTAAACCATTTGGGACCCACAATTGCTCTCAAAATGGGGACCCACAGACGACTAGTTTTCTTCTGGTGGTCGCATTTGTCAAAGAATGCACAGTGTGGTGATTAGGAGACTGATGTGAAGCAAATCATCACAGGTTAAAAAAAGGCCAAGTGAGAAAAATTAAAAAAACCAGACATGAAAAAGATGGCCAAGAAAAAAGAAGGGAATGCTTGTGTTCTAAATTTTATGGTATGGTTGGTGGAAAAATTAAACATGCCTCACCGCTACACCACTGTTCTGTTCTAGTTGTACTAATTCTCTGCTAACAATGGTCCCGAACACAAAATGTATAATTGGAATGGGAATCTGCATATCTAAAGTTACACACACTACACGGATGCTAGGACTCGAATCCAAAATCTTTTTAAAATAAACAATTCATCCAAACCACTTGTGGGTGGTTTCTTCCCCTTCCTTTCAAACTTCTTGTTAGATGTTAGATTAGTATTGTTCTTTTCCCTTTCATATTTCATAATCAATGACCATAAAGCCAAATCTTATCTCCTTTTCTGGGAGCAGTTGGGACCCAATCCCTAACCATCTTCACATTTCCATGTCATTGTAAAGCACTGTTCTCTTTTTAAAAGTCATTTGGCAAGTTCCTAAGAATCTGATTGGATTATTTCTACCAAAGAGTTGGAAACTGTATTTGGTCTTTTTCTCTCTGGCTACCAATTGAGCACCACAACAATCATTTACTCAAAAGCTTCACTCTCTTCCCCTAATTTTACCAAAACTGCCCCTCAAAGAGCAAAAGGACCCAAAAAAATCCCAAAAAAATCTTAAATATTTTTTATTTATATTAATTTTAAAAACCCACAAAAGTTAAAAGTGATTTAAATTACATAATTTTTTAAAAATTAAATAATTTAAATAAATAAACAAAAACAAAAACCTCTCTTACTCTTTGAATGGCAGCACATGTTGGGAAACAAAGACTAGCTGGTAGGGAGAGTGGAAGTAACATGCATCATCAAAACAAAAACAAAGACAACAACAATAACAACAAAATGAAATAAATTTAACAAGGACAAAAAAAAAAAGACCAAAAGCAAGAACATGTGCATACATACTCAAAAGTGAAATAAATAAAAATGGTTAATTCGATCTGGCCTTTGTATTTTAGCTCTTGCATTGGGACAGATTTAATTTCCTAATTTATAGTTTTTAATTTTTAATTATATACTTATGGGTGAAGAGCACATGCATTAAGTCGCTAATTAAGCATTTGCATGAAATACTGCTTACGGATATCATCGTCGTCGCTAAAAGGCTTTGAGTCGGCGATGTCATCCGGGGGCACAGTGAAGCCAGTGAAGGAGAATGAGAACCCCAAGCTGGCGCTGGAGGCTCGGCTTAGAGCAGCGCCACTGCTGACCTCATCCAGGTCCAGCTTCATTTGGGCGCTCCTAGACTTCCTAATGTGTGTGTTTTTGCCAACACTGCCGCTTCCACGCCCGGGTGACGCCCCCATCACGCGTCGGCTAGACTTCCTCGATAGGGTGCTGCTGCCGTCTGCTGACCCCGCAATGGCTTCGCCTGGTGGAGGTGACTTGAACGCGGCCGCCACGGTTTCCACTAGTTGATCGGACTTGGTCCTTGCCAGCACGGATGAGTTTGGTAATTTCTCCATTTTTCACTAGAGGGAAATTAGAAAAAAAAAAATTGTTCAAGTTAATTAAATTCATTTGCATGAATGTGATAATTAATTCATAATGTTTTATTAACCTTTGGAAAATGAATGTGACGAGAAAATTACAAGGCTTGGTGTGGAAAAATAAAAGCAAAATGTAATTGGGAAAATCTGTGTGGAGAGGTAGGTGTGCAGTGCTAACAAAAGATTGTATGGTGTAAAGTTGCAAAGGAACCCACACCACAAAATGGGAGGAGCTTTAAGGTAGGAGCATTAATAATGTCATCTGGTTAGAAGTTGGAGAGAAACCTAATTAATCTTCTTCTACACTTCAACAATGTCCTCATTCCTTATAATTAGCAGAAGAAAACTTGAGAAATTAAGTTGCAAAGCAAACTTAAAGAGAAAAATGATGAAATCACAATGTAATTAGTGGAAAGAAATGATAGTTGGGGTTGCATCGTGATATACTAATTAGCATAGAAGTAAGAGAGAGGAAATGAAATGAAAATGTTGAAAGTCCAAAACAATATGATTAGAAGGTAGGAAGAAAGAAAGAAAGAAAAAACTCCCAATGTATCCATACCTTATTCTTAGTTATATGACTGAAAAGGAATGAGCATGGAGTAGAGGATGACTAGAGAGAGAGAGAGAGAGAGAGAGAGAGCCACCTTTGGTGTTTTGAGAGGTATGATGCATGATCTTTCAACTTGTGGGTGCATCCTCCCCCTCTCTTTATAGAGAGCAAAGCCCAATCAAGAGGGAATGTGAAGTTACCAAAATACCCTTGTAGTCCCCTCATTATTTACAGAACACATGTAACTCTCCTAAAACCGTGTGATAACAACTTCACTCAAACCTTATTATATTATACTGATTTCGTATTGTTTCGTTTGTTTCTGTCTGGGTCTAATACTATAAATCTTATTTATTCACAGCCAATAAGAAATTGATAATGATAAGTTAGTTGATATTTTTAACTTGAGATAAAAGGTACGAATCTACGAGAGACACGATTCATTAATAACGGAACAATCTAAATCATACTTGTATAACTCATCGAGTGCATCCATGATGCATATATCATTGTCGTACACGTGTTAGGACGATTTGTTGTTGCTGTTAAGGGTGGAATTTTGGTGATCTTGTTTCTGTATGAAATCAAAATTGGTGATGAGTTGCTAGCTGCTATGGTATGAGCGATCAATTAAGCAACTTTTGACATTGGTGATTTGTTAACCTCATTTGGATGGATGATGTGCCGCCTAATCAAGTAGCCCAAATGCAGACAAAGACCACGAATTTGTTTGCTTTGTTGGAGGGCCTACATGTCTCTGTAATATGAGGTCTTGGTTTGGTCTTAGATTACCCTTTAAACAGGGCACCAATTAATGTCTTTTGGTATTTTTCTCCCAAACGGTCCACATTATTTATTTTTCTCCCAAGAAATTGGGACTGTATATATATATATATATATATATATGTAATACTGGGATTAATTTCAGTACGTGCATTAAAAATAAAGATTATCTTGTGCTTTCGATATAATCTAGCATATGCTTTCGAATACACCTATATTATAACATATATTCAATCATTAATATAGTAAGTTTAAGTTAAACTAATGATCACACACATGTTTAAATTTGGGTTGATTCGTAATGTTCTTGAAAAATTATATAGTGTACCTCATAAACAAGAAATTATATGACGTTTAGTGTACAAGTATTCTAAATTAAATGATCACATTGACATGACGCATGATAGATTTAGGTACGGACAATAATTCCCACCATTATTTTGTAAATTTAGACTCTTATTGGCACCTTATTGCACGTAATTTGGATTTGAAGTTTCCTTTGTCTGTACCACCCTCCCACTTTCTTTGACCTTTCAAGGATACTAAACTTAGATTTTATCACGTTTCTATTTTTAAACGTTCTCCGTTATATGAGGAAAACGCAAAACAGATTTTGCTGTTTATATCCATTGGCATGCAAAGAGAAATTGGTTCATGCTATGTTGAGCGAAAAACAAAATGAATGAAAGTAAAAATAGATACAAGCGATAGTGGAATATGAGGAAATCAAATATGCAAGACTGTGGTTGTGGAAATGAACGTTTTTAATCACTTAAATTACGTACAAATTTCTTGTAAGAGCGTGTTCTTTATAATTAACCCATGAACTAAACCAAAAAATATTTAAACATCGACAGATGAATGACAAAAAATTTCTTTTTGGTGCTATATATGTTGTTATTTTCATGAATGCAACTTGGTCACTCAAGATCATTGAATTTTCTCCGTGGCCGGGGTGTGTTTGACCAAATTCATATAAATTTTAGAGCAATCCAGAGGGAACTTGTAGTCTGTAGCATCGTCGAAATTATTTTTGGCAAGTTGGGCAAAGGGATAATGCTTTATCCTGCTAGCTGTTTTTTTATATATCTTGATAAATTATTATGATTTTTTCATGAAATATAAAATACATGTCAAATTAGAGCAAATAATGAAGGGCAAACCTAAAAGGAAAAGGAGTGGAAGGGTAGAGTAGTAATTTAGGGGTGAAGGGATGGGTTGATGGACCATTTGGCAGGTGATAGGTGTCCAGAAATAGCTAGGGTTTGGACAAAAAGTGGCCCCAAAAGCCAAAAGGACAATTTTGGTGGTTCCTGATGATAAGGATCAGGGAGGAGCTGCGGTGGTTGTTTCATGGTAGGTCACCCTCGAATTCGATGGCTCCACCAAATCCTGCCTCGTGGCACCCTATTGTTAACTATCCTAATAATAATTAACCAGCTGGTTCCCATCCTCAAGAATATCTCTTTATTTAGCTCCAAAAAAGAAAATTCTTTTTTACGACATTTTCGTCATATTATTTATAGTTCTCATCCATGTTGAATAGACACTTTATTAAGTGTCCGAGTGTCGGACACTCACTCAAACATTTCTTAGACACCTATGTTCAACGGTTAACGTCTTGTTTATAGTCAGGACACTCTTCGAATATAGATCAACTCATATTCATGGTCAACTAATGTGTTAATTCAATTATAATTCATATAAAATTAATAAATTACATTTGAAAAGCTTAGAAAGCATGACTTTCACTATATATGGTATTGTGAAATTGGAATATGAACATCAATATTTTGTTTTTATTTAATTTATATAAATATTATTATTATTATAAAAAATTAATTGTCGTGTCCTTGTGTACTAATTTTTTGAAGTTTGCTGTTTTTCCGTATACCCGTGTCGCTGTATCTGTGTCCATACAACATAGATTTTCATCATATATATATATATATAAATATAAATATACTTTAATATGTCACTTATATATGATACTCTGAATTTATTAGATAAAGACAACAAATGTAATATGGTTTGAGGAACTATACATCAACGCTACTTTTAATGTCCATGTGTTGTTTGTGTGTGTTGCTTGCTGTTGTTGTTAGGGTTTCCAAAGACACTGGAATGGAGGCAAGAACGTTGAGAACTATGCATGGTGGAGTTTAGGTCATATTCAAATAGATTGATTAAGATTGTAAACTAATTAAATTGTGTTGCTTGTTAGAATTTATGTTAATTAATCATTTGTTGACCCAAGAAATTCTAATGGTGAGTACCCTTGAGTTTAGGATAAATTTTTTTTTAAGCGAATCACACTGTCACATAATGTTATTAATCTATATAAATAGTATTTAATATTTAATTATTATTATTATACGCTATAAATAAATATATATAAAAACTAATTGTTATCCATCACGAAATACATTGTCGAATTTTCTCTTCTTCTTTTTTTCAAAATAAAAACAAACAAATAAAAACAAAGAAACCTGTTGGAAAAATTTATCCCTCCAAATCTCCAAGGCGGTGCCGTCCAACTGAGGGAAAGGCACGTGACAAAGACGTGACTGCAAGGGATTAGGCAGTCAGTCTGAGTTGAGGTCGAGTGTCCTGAGAGAGGATCGTAGCCAGCATATTATTTGTACCAGTGTCAACAGTTGTTATTGATACAAGCTGAAGCTGTCACTCGCTTGCCACGTGTAGGGTCAGCAATCGCCCAGCCACGCACGGTCCAGCTTGACTTGATGGCTCATTGGCTGTGAGTCCAGCACCACAAATGCCATGACACGTAGGCAGGTCAAATGGCTCGATCCCATTCAGCTGCCCTGTAGTGTTTACACGTGGTCCTCAAGATCACGCAGCTGATAGCATTGTGACACAATCTTTTTGGCTCCTTTTTGGTCCCTTCATGCATGTGCATTGCACAACCAAGTGCAAAGCAGGTGGAGGAATTATGAAATTCAATTTGCAGACCACACACAAACACAAAAGCTTAAAAAGTTGGAGGACCTTTCTGTGGAAGGAAGCCAGCACAAAAGGAATTGGATGGGCAAAAGATGGAAACGGCAAAAAGCTATACAGATTGGGAATTTTCTTCTTCTTATCTTCCCCGTCAGTCCTCTTATCTTATCACGCAAAAAAATTTGAGAAAATTATAGATACGTATCATAACTCGTGAATCACAAATATCAAGAAAAATCGAGAATATACATTTCTGTTTGTGAATATTCGAACTTAAAATGTTTGAATTTACAGCTCACATATACGACTGATTAGACAGTCAAAAGTTAAAAGTGCAAAAGAGACTTTGTAATTTGGGGATGAAGAAAGGGTAACTATTTAAGCATCTAAAAAGTATAATCTCAATTATTTAGTAGAAGTGGAAGGCCCTAAACCCTAGTGGAAGAAAGTGGTGGACTGGGCAACATGCATCAGCAATGAGTGAATTGGAAGTGGCTATGGCACTAGGGTAGTGATGCCTATTTGGTTTCTAATTAATTAATAAAGGCATCGTAGCAAAATCAAACTCAAGATTCAACATGTACCACTTGTTGCAGCCTCCCACTAAGAAGAACAGATGGCAAAAGACCAGTTATGGTGACACGAACCTTTTGTTGTAAATGAAAGATTCCCACTTAAAAAAACACCTTTGAGCAATAAAGGGCTTGATTGATAGACCAGAATTTGAAGTTTGAGCTAACTCCACCTTCCCTATATATATATATATATATATAGCTGCTACAACAATAATTAAAGAATCGGATTTTTCATGGAGCCGATGTCGAAAAGGAATGCTTTATAAATATTTTATAAAAAATGGGATCTTGAAATAGCCAAATTTATTCCCTTGGTTTTGTTTGTCAAGTGACTCGATTATTTATTTAAATTTGAATTAACTTTAAATTACATTTATTTCTAACAAGTAAGATTCGGTCTATTATAATTTTTCCAATAGTTCTATACCCTACTATTTAAAATGAAAGACCCACTTGGAGAGTACCAAGTAGTACGTACTTCATATTAACACAGAAAAAAGATAGAAAATAAATGAAGTTGATGACTTATTTGACTTTCGTCCCATAAAATACAAAAACCAAAATGAACATACAAGCATCATATGCATGGTGTCCTCGAGGGTTTTGATTGTGAGAGAGCAATCAGGGGAAAGGCTGTAGGGGACACCTTCATCCAATCCAACACAGACTGTTTCTTTCTGTTTTAATTTCAATGAGAAAATATTTCAACGAAGAAATAAAAGAAGTGGTCCAAATAATGCAAAGGTGAAACCGACAGCAGGAAAGGGTGTCATGGTGGGGACTTGCAACTTTTTTCTTATTTTCTTCTTCTTCTTCTTCTTCTTCTTCTTCTCTCTCTCGTTTTCATCCCATAAGAAAGAGGGCTTGAAAGTGAAGGATGAATTAAAAGTTGGTACAGTTTTTAGAAAGTTCATAAAAAGCTGTATCTGCAATGGAAAAAGATGGTGTGTGGTAGGTCAAATATCATGTGCTTCGAGCCATTGCTGAAACCAAATTATGAAAATAAAAAGAAAAGTAAAAGTATACTAGGTTGATTTTTTTTCCTGGAAATTAAAGGAAAACCTCGGATCCATCATCAACTTAAAAGAATTTGCTATCTGTTATTTATATATATATTTTTCGATAGTATATATGTATTTTGAATTATAAGTTGAATGCATTAGTAATTACTCTTGCACCCGAGGTTCTATTCGAATCCCTCAGCCTTCAATGTCACTTTGTATCAAAATCAAAAACGATATACATGCATTAATTTCCCACTAAAACCCTATCTCACCGATGGAAGTCAAGTGATCATCTCTTAAAACTCGATGTGAAGAGCATATCGATCTCATTATCCCTTCCCCTGTCTATGATCACTGTTTGACATCACATGTGTGGTTCCATTCTGAGTATTTGTGGACAACCTAACAGCAATAATTTAAATTTAATGGCAAGCAGCTGGTGCATATTGGACAAATTTGATGGTTCAGTTTCAGTATGTGCTCTCTCTCTCTCTCTCTCTCTCTCTCTCTGGGCCCTATCAATCAACGATGACGGATATGGACATTTTGCACTTTGACAGTACGTACGTACCACTCACACATACAGACATATGTACATATATATGAGGTGCATTTATAACCAAAATCAAATTCACTTTTACACTAGATCTTGTAAAGTGCATTACGCATTATAAAACAGTTATTCGAGCAGTAAATCTTTAAAGTTTTTCGATTATAATTTTTTCTTGTAAAGAGTTGGACAAATTGTAAATCATAAAGACATTAAGATATGATAACTTAATCAAATGGTTAAATGGTTTTCTGTTTTGTATGGGTATCTTTCACAAAGTCGAATTTTAAGGAAATACTTCAGAGATTGACGGTTGAGATCATTAAAATACAATGCAGAGTGAGCTACCCTATAAACGCGTCCATCAAATTAGTTTAGCTTATTTGGTGGGTTGAAGGCTTTTCTGGTTGATATGACTATATGCTACCTCCGTCGTTTTCTCTGCAAAAAAATTTGTACGTCTGTTATGCATAAACCTCTGAAAACGATCAAACAGTAAGTACCTATCTGTTTGTCCTCTGGAAATTTAATTATATAAAACATATAAAGTATATGAATAGGTTAGGGAAGCTTGTCAAAATCAGAAATCTGAACCATAAATTCAAGCTTCTAAACGCATGGACGTGCTTTAATTACGTACCAAAAATAGACGATAAAAAGACAAGTACAAGAGAAAAATGGATTCAATTACAAATAACTTCAAAATAAAAGTGACATGCTGCAGTCAATTCCAAAGTGAAAAAGAAATAGTGAACAGAAAACTAAATGGTAAATACAAAATGAGAGCACTAGAAGAAAAGAAAGAATAGGGCACTAACTCTCTCTCTCTCACCCCCTGAAACCTGCTGGCTGATCTCTACAACAGTATGCATCTCTAGTTCTGTTAATTCCTTTTTTTATGAAGGAGCAAATATTGGTACATATTGACTACATAGACTGTGTCGTTGATTCTTTTTTCCTTATGCTTGATGGCTTCCCGAGAATCGGAGACTCACCCTACCTTTCTACTCATGTTACTTTGCAATCCCTTGCCGAAACCGGTGTCTTGCATCATGGCGACAAACTCGTTATAATCAATGTGGCCGTCCTGAAAAAGATAACAAATCAGTTTGAAACTTCTGTGAACAATTTTGTACACATGAGGTGAAAATTGAGCAGGGGAGTCAATTACATTATCCTGGTCAACTTCTCGTATGATGTCGTCTAACTGAACATCTTCTAATCCAAACTTCTCACAGGCCTGTTGCAGCTCATCCCTAGTGATGTACCCACTTCCATCTTTGTCGAAGTACGAGAATGCTGCATACAGGTGATCCTCCTTCTGGACCTTGTTTAGGTGGAGCATTGCTGCTATGAATTCACCGTAGTCTATGGTACCACTGTTGTCTATATCCGCCTGAAATTTTTATAAGAAAAGGAAATCCTTCATCAATCAGGAAACAGAAAATTGCTAATTAATTTGCTTACAAGCCTAGACACATAGGAAATATTCGGCCAGGTCATCTTGCAATTCACCTGGCTGAATATACCAACTGTTAAGAAAACTCCTCCATCAATTGGAACACAGAAATATCAATTATGCCTCTCTTATATTAAACAAGTAATAAATTTAAACTAGGGATAATATAGTAATTGAAACCCCAATTTCTCTCTCCCACGCTCTACTGTTTCTATACTTAAACCTTCTTATTGTTCATAGTGTGCTAAAATCCCTCCATACAAAGCTTGCTAAGTCTTACAGAATTCTTATTTAACAATAATCAGTCTTATTGCTTTCCTTCATTAAGATAACTTTGCACATAACTTTAAATATTACACGAACTCCGTAATCTAACCTATCTCCTGAATTCAACCTGTATTGGCCTCATTTCAGTTTCAGAATAAATTTATTTAAAAAAATATTAAAAATGAGAAAAAAAAAAAAAAAAAAAAAAAAAACTATGCAGACCAAAAGGCTTGCTCTCGGCACACAAGGCAACTTGTAATTTTGCCTATAAAAACTCTTAAAACATAGCATGTTTGCTACATGACTACATAAAGTTCTGTGTCCAAACCTAGCACTTACCGCTTGCATTAACCAACTGATTTCAGAATCCTTGAGATCAGCACCCACTCTTTCCAAGCCAGTCTTCAGTTCCTCAAGGGTGATATGCCCACTATTATCTGTGTCTATCATCTTGAACATTTCTCTCAGGCCTGCAATTTCCTCTTCAGAGAGGCTTTCTGCAATGACCTACAAAACAAACAAAGATGGGCAAGTCATACCCAAATACAGAACAAGATATCACAAAAATCTTCAGGCAGGAAATGATTAGACTGCCAGTAGTGATATCAAACTTGATTGCTTCTGCTTTCCAATTATCAACAAAGTCTAGGCAACCAGACCAAGATTCGTCACTTACAAAAAAATACTTTGAGAAGAGCTTATATAGATATAGTAACTATCGCATTGCATAACAAATAGCTTTGTAACAACTGTAACATGTCAGACACAACATCCTGTGTGTGCTTGTACTTTGTAATGCAACACACTAGAATGAATCAATACTGTTACAGAAAATTTGAATGACAATACCTAACCATCCAAACCTGACCTTAACATCTTTTAATGTTGTAAAATTTAAGGATGATACTCACTCTGATGGCCATTTTCTTGAGTTTGTTCATGGCCGAGAATTGCTTCAAGCGAGTTAAGACTGCAGAATCAAGAGGTTTATCAGGAGCAACACCATCTACCTGAACCCAAGGGTGGCCTGCAAGAGGAAAAAAGTGCTACTTAATGCAACACTATGATTCATGGTAGAAGAAATGCTGAGAACATGCTAAGGTCGAAAAGTTTGAACAGAAACAAATAAGCATTTGCCACCTTCAATTATGCATCCAGTTATCTACTCATTTATATGCTCAAAAGAAAAATGGATTCTATTGATTACGAAGAAATTTTACTTGACATAGCAAAAACCAAGTTGCAAACACCCTCTTAACATAAATCATAAAAGGCACTAAAGGCATAATATGCAAACAACAAGGCCAAGTAAATTTTCAAAAAACCAATTGTGAGGCTAACTATGTTTACACTTTCATATTATCATGTAATGATTGGACTAATAGATACTTCTTAAAAAAATGACCTCTTACAATGAAAAAGAAATATTGAGAAATGTCTCCAATAAACTGCATCCGTGATCTGCCTTTTCAAGTCCCTGATTATGTTCTATGAGATGTTTAAGAAGAGAAACCACTTAGGCTAACTAATGCTTCCGCTTATGTTGATTGGGTTACATTTACAATGGAGAATCCATCCCTATATTTGATCAATCATTCTTAGTAGTCTATTTCTCAATCACTTATCACCTTGGTAAATGAAATTTTGAACTGTTCACAATTAATATTGCACCGCCCAGTTAAATAACAAACACTTGTCCGTTATCCCTAATGACATGATAAAATGAAACTTTTAGGTTGCAACAAGAAGTCCAACTTGCAGAGAAATTTTACTCACAAAGAACTTCATGGGCCGTTAGCCGCTTTTTTGGGTCCCTCACAAGCATTCTCCGAACCAAATCCTTAGCACTTTCAGATATGCTGGGCCATGGTTCTGATATGAAATCAAGTTCGCCTTTCAAAACCTGCTCAAATATACCTTGCTCCGTTTCTGATCCAGGACATCATAAGCAAACTAGAAATTAGATGTAATTCTTATATGGATAAAATTTCAATGAATATTCAATACATCAAAGCCATGATATTCTCACCATCCCAGAATGGGGGCACTCCACTGAGTAAGATATAAATGATCACACCAGCACTCCAAACATCACATTCTTGACCATAAAGCTTTCGAAGTACTTCTGGAGCCACATAATAAGGGCTCCCAACAACATCAGTAAATGTTTCTCCTGGGAGGATGGGTTTTTTGTTACAATTTAGACATGGAAAGAATTCGGGCTAGCAATGTTAACTACGTTGAATAAGTTCCAATGAGAAAAAGTAACAGTTAGACATGTTGCTGACTTAGGAAAACACAAAATTTACAAAAGAGAATGATTGGAAACTTTAAACATACTGACTTGCAGCAGCCATATATGGGGCATGGGAATGAATCATTTGAATAGGAAACAACAATGGCATTTGGCATGGTTATCAATCGCTTAATGATTATTCGAAGATTAAATCACACACTATATCCCTTTTCTAAATAACTCTCTTTAGAATAGCTAGTGTATTAGGATTACATCCCTCTGTGGTCTTCACTTAGCATGTGGGCATGACTTTTTAGAAAAGAGCCAGAAAGGGCTGCAACCCATTTACACAAGCAACAGTTTGGTTTAGTGGTAGCACACCATGTACACAAGCCATATACACATTAAATTAATAATGAAATGAGAAAGAAAATCATATACCAAAGGAAAATAAACAAATGGGATTTCTCCGTCGAATCCAGCTGTCATAGTTCAGCTAACCTTGTAAGCATAAACATTTACTATCATTATTTTCTATTTCTTCTATATTTGAAAACTTTTTTTTGCCATGAATATTCAAATACTACAGATTTTGGACAGACGCATGCAAATGCTTGAAACCTGAGAAAACATCATAGCATTACGAAAGCACCTAAAGGTTAGTCACAAAAATCCCCAAAATGGCTGTTATACAAGCGTAGACTTGACATTTGGTGATGAATCTTTAAGGGGAGGGTAACCTATGTCTCCAGTAATCTTACAAAGTGCAGTATAGGCTATATGTAGAAGCAACCAAACCAAATCGAATAAACCTGCCAGTTCTTGAAATTTTGAACCAAGGCTTAAAAAAGGAAGAAAAGGGAAAGCTAAGTTCTACCGAAAGAATAAACCCCTGAAATACACACTAGATTCAATTTCATATCAAGCAATACCAAATCCTTCGTCTTTTGAGCTTCAACAATGATTTTGCTAATTATCATACCATAATATTATACAAAGCCATCCACCCTTTTCATCTCTTAGCAGTTACATCACTTGTCCGCCTCCTTCTCCAACGCCACACACCCCAACTCTTAACATTTGATATCTACCCTGCCACGACCTTTAACACTCTTACCTCTCCCAGTACATTCCCATCCACACACCTCTCTTTTCCATTCTCATCTTGGTTAAAGATTGGTTGCTTATATATGTGCCAAATATCTTCGCACTTATGGTCAACAGATTTTTACTTTAAGAACATAGATCCTAACATTTAATTCTTCAGATCACTTCAGAAGCAACCATAAGAGAAACATGGTTGAGCCTACTCCACATAACCACTGTAGAAGTATAAAATCAAGAACCTTGCACTTATCAAAGTAAACAAACAAGATAAAATGGAAGAAATAGTAAGTGAATTCTACCACAACCAAATACCAGCAGTAGTATGAGGCAAAAGCATATATCTCTTTCACATATTTATGACAACAGGGTCGAGCAACAAAGTTTGCGTCCAATTTTTTCCATATGGATTCCATAGACGAATATAACTCTATCTTCCACGAATATGGCATCATACCTGGCCTAAAGAACACCGAGAGCCCAAAATCTATTGTTTTAAGTGGTGCTTCCTCATCATGATCGACAAATAGAAAATTCTCTGGCTTCAAGTCCCGATGCATGACACCTAAAGAATGGCATGCTTCGAGAACACCAACTATAACCCTTGCAAGCTTAGCTGCCTTTCTCTCTGTATAATGCCCCCTTTGTATAATCCTATCAAAAAGCTCCCCACCTGCACAAAGTTCCATCACAACATGAACTGCCACAGCATCCTCATAAGCGCTGATGATTTGTATCACATTGGGGTGACCTGCCAAGTGATGCATTATCTGAATTTCCCTCCTAACATCCTCCACATCCTCCTGTGTTGTCAATTTCCTTTTTGCAATTGACTTGCATGCAAACTCTTTATTGGTTTCCTTCTCCACACAAAGAAACGTTGTCCCAAATTGCCCTTGCCCAAGCTTCCGTCCCAAACTATAAACATCCTTTATATTGCCAGTCTTCCTTCCTAACACAGATTCGACTTGCAGCCCGACGCTCGAAATCCTCTTCATGTGAGCAGGTTTCTTCTGTTTCTCAGCATCCGGGGGCTTACTCACCTCCTCCTTCACCTCTGGTTTATTGGGTTTTTCAGGTTCTGCCTTTTGAGGTGGATCATCATTAATTTTCACAGTTAGAGGCGGTGTGCTTTGAACTGGATTTGGGGGAGCCTCAATGGCTTTAGGAGCCTGATCAGGAGGAGCTTTAGGAGCATCAGATTCAGAACCTTTAGAGGAACCATGGTTTGAATTTGCGCCATTTTTACTACTGTTTTCTTCCTTAGATTTAGGAGGAGGAAGCCTGTCCTCTGGTGGCCGGTTTCGCCAAACCGCAGCAGTAAAAGATTGCAAGAACCCACCACCAAGATTTGGTCCTACACATGTGTTCCCCATCAAACAAAAACACCAATCTCAGCTCCCTCTATGAATTTCAACATCCAAATCAATCTTCTTGAATCCCATTAACTACAAAGAACAATCCAATCAAGTCCCTACCTCTGCGGTCAGATCAGGGACCTGAACAAAACCTAGCTCGATTCTTTGCGCCCAACAGCATATGTTAGGAAATCCCAACTGCACCCTGTTCTGTTCAAATTCCCACAAAAGCACCCCAAAATTCAATTTTTCCCACAAATTCCATAGCAAAAATTAAAACATTGCATCCGAAAACGTATAGAAACGTCCAAAATTTCGAGATATATCTCAAAAATCAACTGTGAATAAATTGAATCAAAATTTCTTCCAGAAAATCGAAACTACAATAAAATAGTAAGGGAAAATAACGAAATTCAAGAATTGAATTGTTGCCCCAAAAATGTACACAAAAAAACAATATTTAAATGATGAGAACAAAAATTTCTCCGGAAAATGAAAACCCTAATATTGGAAATTGGAAAAAAAAAAATCGATGGAAAGTGCGGGAAATGAAGCTATTGAGAGCGGGTAGCAGAGTCGTGAAGAAGAATGAGAAGCAATTGAAAGGAATCAAATGCTGTGACTCTGAAGTTTTGGTTAATTTTCGAAAATTGAAGGGACGCCATATCCAAGTTCTGCATGTAGAGAAGGAGAGGGAGAGAGAGATCGTGATCGACGCTACAAATCCATAATTACGTGTTAAGCTTATGCCACATAATCCATTAATTATTATATTTGAATTATATTTTGTTTTTTCTTAATAAGGATTTTTCTTTTTGTGTGCGAGGAATTATTTGAATTATCTTACTTCTTAAATTTAATGATTTTTAAAACAAAATACAAATCCATAAATCGTTATTGTGAATTATATTCTAATCTAGTTCCAAAAAACAATCTAAAACTTATAAAATAACAAAATTATTTGAAACAAATGGAGTATGCATAAATCTAAAATTTCGTAAGTAACTTATAGCTCAAATGATTAAGACCATATACTCATGCAATCGAGGTCATAGGTTCGATTTTCCCTTCCTCAATATCTCAGAGTGAATTATTAATATCATTTTAACATGATGTTAAACAGCTACATTGATTATATAATGTTATTTTTTTGTTTGGTACCGAGGTTTCATGCACAGTAAGTCTCAGATTTAAGGTCCCAATCTAAGGTCCTAAGTTTAAGTTGGAAGGCTCGTGTCCAAGGTACTTCAATATTTTTAGGTTGTGTTTCAGGCTTGAGCTCAAATGCGTAGTTTTAGTTTTCCTAGATTAAGCTTATTTTTGTACAAATGATAATGGAGATGGGATTTCTAAGACAAAACCACGATTGCATAGCAGAATGTTTTTTATCGCTTGAACTACAAAGATCTTGATTTTGTTTTAAGTTATCCAAATTTTTTTTATAAAGTAAAGGATTGTATTACTTTTAATCCAACTTGAATTCATTTGAAAAGTCAAACATAAGATCAGAGCATCTCCAATAGTAGTAGCAAACCAAAATTTTCAAATTGAAGTTTGTTGACCTACTAAAAAGCTTTGTTTGATACTTTAATAATTTATGCCTCAACAGACTCTTCAATTCAATTAATGCAATGTTATGGAAAAGAATGAAACCATGTGAAAAATGTCTATGAAGTTATCGTTTGAAAAGAAAAAAAATGCACGTTTTTAACATTTTCAATGTAGGTTTTATGTTTCCGAAGTAAAATTAAATATTTTGAGAAGCCAATGTTAACTTATTAGTCCTGAAGAGAGAGAGAGAGAGAGAAAGAGATTGCAACTTTAATGATTGAGTTTGACAAGACTGTTGAAGAGAGTTTTGATGATGTGGCTCACCTATTTTAGCATTCGAAAACTGTTGAAGAGGCTGTTGGAGATGCTCTTACATCATTTTGATCTACTTATCATTTATCTTGCCAAGAAAGGAGAGGTATCCATATATGATATATGTCGTGACTCATGTGAATTTTTTTTCTCTCCACCCCTAAATTAATCATGTGACTTTGTGATAGTTTTCGTTTTAATATTTTCCCCTAGGATTTATCTTTCCTTTACTCACCTACTTTCTATATCTTTTTTCTGGGTCAAAACCCACTTTCTATATCTCACACCCTTCTTTATTTTCCTCTCATTTTGTAATTTCTCCTACAATACAGAGGGGCATGACCTCCTAATTATTTTCCATGTTCAGCTTGATTTGATTTTTTAAGCTCTAACTTAATCATTTGAAATCCCTTACAAACACCCCAATTGTTGACATAAATAAGAAACCCAATGGGCCCTTCATTCACATTTGTTCTAACCTTCAACCCATCTCCACACATCTTATAATCATTCAGAGAGTGATAACTTAGCTTGATGAAATATTTCATCATCATTTAATCAAAAGTAGTTTACCCATTTTGTTACCAATCGTATTTATTGAAGTTACTTATAAGATCATGATGATAATCAATAGCTAAATGATTTATAATTGAATTTTTTGTAAAAATGTCACATGAACTCATACATCAGTTTCAATTTGTCACCTTAAAGAAAAATTTAAGAGAAATGTCACCTTAATTTTTCAAAATCCATGACTTGTCATCTGACTTTAACACCATCCAATTTTTCATACATTTTAAAGGATATTTCAGTCTTTCCATTTTCAAGAGTATTTTAAAAAGAGTAATGTTACACTTACCATATTTTTATCCCACATTTCTATACCACATGATGTGGCATGTCTATATCATATGCCACATCAATTAAATCAATGAAGTGTATTTTAATTAAGACAATTAGAAAAATAAATATTGGAATAAATCATAAAAGAAAAGAAAATATTAAATAATTTTAATTGATGTGGCTGTCTACCTCAGCTGCCACATAAGATAGTATAAAAATATGGTATACAAATGTGGTAAGAGTAACATTATTCTTTTAAAAATAGAAAAATAATTATATAAAAAATTGTATATAAAAAAATCCCACCTTCTCCCATCCCATGTGCGGTACTGGCGGCTTCGACCAACCCCGCCCACCTTGAAATCTATTACCACTTCTTCCTTCTCTCTCAACCATGGAACACCTACCATCCACACACAAATTCCCTTAGCCCACCCAAAACAAATCCACCTTTTCGTATTATTTTTCTTTTTGGTATTTTTCCATTTGCATATTGAAAATTGTGTGAGAGAGAGAGAGAGATAGGGGGGGAGGGGGGGGGGGGGGGGGTTGTGCAATGTGTTTTGGGGGAGGTGGGGTTAGGATAGGATGGGGGAGAAAGGGAGATAGATGTATAAGTTTTCTCTCTTATTTTTTTGAAAATGGAAATGCTAAAAGACCCTTAGAATGGATGGAAAATTAGATGATGTTAAAGTCAGATGACAAATCATGGATTTTGAAAAATAAAGTTGACATTTCTCTTTATTTTTTTAAAGGTGACAAATTGAAACTGATATATAAGTTCAGGTGACATTTCTACAAAAATCCCTTTATAATTTGAATTTTTTTTTTTACGGTTCCTTTGATGGATTTAGATAACATTGTAGGTTTTATTTTTTATTTTTTTACTACTACATGCAAGATTTGAATAAAAGAGAAAAACAAGTGGGTTCAAATTACTCATTGCATTTAGTCATTTCAAATCAATTCCAAATGTACTACATCATTAATAAACAAAAGATCAATGGGTATGAACGTTGTTATCCACAAAAGGAATTATTGTTGAGACTTTTGGTGCCGAATTTAGTGTCAATATACTACTTTAGTATATCAAGACTAAAATGTAACTTGCTTCTATATATAACATGTTTATTTCTTTTCTCATATATTCTAGAATATGATCTGCGTTGTATCATGCCTCCCTCACTCGGTCTCTCCCCTGGTCCCCTCTCTCATTCTTTCCAGAAGACGTCTCTGATTTAGTAAACCCTGATGATTTATTTATACCAGAAAACTAAGATGAGACACCATAAGAAGCTCAAAATTCTGAAGGCCGAAGAAATAAATATATATAAAAAACTGCACGCCAAGGAGGAAAAGTACACCAACAAATGACTTTGACGACCTTGACTGACTTGTCACACCTGACCCTACTTTTGAAAATTTGTTCAAAATATATAAAAATATATTAAAGAAGCAAAATTCTTGGTTTCTCTCGTCCCTGGGGAGACAGCCGGCAAACGATACTGAATAAATAGTCACCAAATATTTTATCACAAGAAAGACCAATTCAAATTCTAATGGAAAAAAACAGCTGAAAAGTCACCAAATAATTGGCCTTTTCTCAACCAACATTACTATATAAATGTCTGCAACTCTTTTCAGGTTTTCACTACTCACTTGCTCGATAATATTTCAGAGACATCAGAAGTAATTAAGGGAATAAAGATGATGAGTTGTAGCAACATGATGAGAAGGCATTTGGAGTTGCAGGGTCCAAGGCCTAAACCTCTTGTGGTGAGCAAGAATTCAAGGCAGGCGATGAAGAAGAAGAAGCAGCAGCAGCAGCCGATTTCGTCAAATCCAGTTATAGTTTATCTGATTTCACCAAAGGTTATTCATGTGCAGCCTCAAGAGTTTATGGATCTCGTGCAACGGCTTACCGGAAATAATAATAATAATAATCAAGGTTAAATTAGTTGGCCATGGATGCTAGGTTAAGAAATTTGCTTTGCTTCTGAGTTCTAGGTCTTGCTCTTTCTTCTAAGTGTGCTTTCCTGTTTGATCAGCCATGAAGAAGATCACTTCAGTGAGAACCAACAGAAGCTCAACATAGATTACTTCTTGCATAGATTACTTCTTGTATACATTATAGCTTTTGACTTTGATGGATATATATACCATCTTTTTTATATTATTTATATGTTTTCGTATGTGAATGTTAATTGATCAGGTTGATTCTTGTTTGAATGTTATTTGAGCTTGGTGGATTTTGAAATACCATAATAGAATATGGTAGGAAGAAACGATTTTCCAAATATTCTGGGCTCAAATAACATTCAAACAAGAATTTTGAAATACCATAATAGAATATGTTATTCTAAATATTTGGACTGAATATCCTAAATTGAAAGCACAAGCCACATTAGAATTTGATAATTAATCTCTAAGACATAATCTGAAGGCGACAATGAAGAATCTTTAACAAACGGATGCTTGGGAGGAAGGCACCCGATGAATTAGGCCCGCCATTAGTGCTCCCCAAAACAGACGTTGATGTAGAAGAATTAGGACATTAAAACTCAGCACATATTTGTTGATGCAGTAAATTGTCAAAAAATTTGTTAAGCAAAAGTTGCATGTTTCAATTTATTTGGTCCAAACAAAAAGGAAGAAGCTCATTTTCATAAACTAATTAAAAGATTTAGGATTTGCCTTGAGAGGGAAGTTATTGTTGAAGAATGTAAAGTTCCACCTTAAAAACTTGACTGAATAAATTACAACTTATAATAAGTGGTTTCATTCTTAATAACACTGAGTTTTTTATGATAAAACTCCACACCTATTGACATTTGTAGATGGTTAAGTTAAGGACAATATCAGTGTTGTTAGTAGTGGACCACTGACCCGTCTTTCTGAAATTTAACGGTTATTTTCACTCTCTATATAATATACCCAACTAGGACTCTAGAGAGTAAAGACAGTAACATTTTCGAAGGAAATTTTAAAAGAAAGAGACTTTGGAAGTTTCAGATTCCATTTATTTAGATTGTGACTTCAGACCGTGACAGCGCGAGGGAGATAAACGGTCATTAACGTCCGTGAGTTTACGGCGTCACCTTCAGGAGGGAAATTCCAAATTGTTCAAACAAAATTTGTCAAATCTCATAACTTTGCCGCATTTTCCCACCCTTTCTCTCTCTCTCTTCTATTCTCTTCTCTTCTCTCTGCCCCTTCGGTTTGCCCTAGTATCTGGGACTGGGATTTGATTTTTGGGGCAAATCGATCGAAACAATAGAGATTGATCTCGTTCGACGCTACGCTGCACTGAGAGCTCTTCTTCGTCAATGCTTTTGCTCTGGAGATCTCTTCTTCACTGAGGTTAGACTCTCTGGTTCTAAAATTGCAAGATTTTGACGCAATATATGCTAATTAGTCGATTAGGGTTCATTTCGTATTTGATGGTAATCAATTTGGGTTATCTGGAATTTGAATCGGATTGCTTACATACAGATTAACTGCTGAATTGGTGAACGAATCGTAAAAGTCGTTCTTTTTTTGGTAAATTTCTGTTAGTTTAATCCTTGTTGTAATAGCTAGCTGGGACTTTGAAGGGTTTTGTTGCCTTTGCTTATTGAATCGATGCTCTAACCATATGTAGGACCTGAAACGACCTTTCGTCAATCGTGTTTGAGACCAAGATATGGCGAAGGTTGCTCCACCTGGTTCTCTACCTTCCACTTCAATGAAGATTGGTGGTGGGACTTTGAAGGCTGGTGCAACAGTGAAAAGAAAGACACCATCTGAACTGAGAGTAAGTTGTTGAACCATTGGGCTTGTTTTTCTCCATGTATTGTTGTGTTATTTTGCTTGCCAAAATCTCCCCTCCCAGGGCTTCACATTAAGTGGGATTCGCTACCGCACTGGGTTATGGACAGGCGATTCAGTTTACGATACATTCTGTTAAAGACTTAGTGCTTTATGTAGTTATTGTATGGTGATATATCTGCCTATTACAAACAAAAGATTATGTATGGATTAGTACTCATTTTTATTGATGTGTGCTTTCAAGAAGCTTTTCATATAATTCTACAGGCGATGTAGTTAAGAAGGTTTTCATTTATAATGTGTGCATGACAGGGAGAGCAGCGGATGAACGCAATGGAGATTAGTGATGAATCTCCAGCTCCTTTGCTTGGTTCCACAAGGTTTAATTTCTCTACTTCTTTTTTAGTTTAGTTTTGTAAATCACCAACATGTGTTCCTTTTGTTTTTTTCTTGGTCTCATTACTGACATGTCTTCTTAATGTAACACTAGTGAAGTGGAAAATGGGCTTAAGAAACCAGAACCGTTCAGGAATCCTAGATACACTGACATTCGTATGGATGAAGTGTATGCTGCAAAAAAATCTAGGTTCAGGACTCTTTCTGGAAAAGAGAATGCTAAGGTTTGCACATAATCATAAAAACCTTTTCCCCTCTTATTTTACTATTAAAATTTAACTATTGTTGGGCTTATGCAAAACTACCCTATCATTGTGCTTAGGGAAGTATTTCAGTGGAGCAACCTAGCAGCCTGAAGAATGTTTCTGTGGTCTCAAGTTTGGTTTCCAAGAGAAAACACCAAAATTTCAGGTGTGTCTTTCAGTACTATGCTACCTAATTAATGACAAACAGGCCATCTTTATTTTCTTATCAATTCTATCTTTTTTCTCCAAACAGTCCAGAGAATGTAGCTTCTGATAAAAACACTGAAAATGGTGTGGCGCAAGCTTTTCAAACAATTGGAAAGTGTAGTCAAAGTACTTTCCGTAGTGTTACTGAGCTTTCATCAGGCGGTGACAGATTGTCTGGTTTTGCAACTGTCGATGTGGTAAACTTAGTAGAATTTCCTTTTAACTACATAATCTCAAAGAATTTTTTGTTAATGATTCTGCACTTATTTTACCAGGATAAAGCGTTAAAAGGAATGGCTGCCCATGAATCCTCAGTCACCACTGGTTTACCTGCTTATTCTTTTGAAAGATGCCGGGATCTTACATCAACTGGTTCAGGCAACTTTTGCTTACCTGGTGCAAAGGTTCCTCTGGATTTTACTTTGAAAACTAGTATGCGGGTGGTGTCCTCTTCCCCAGTGAATTGGTTAGTATACAGCTAAAGCTGCTATAACAATTTCTTTAGATTCCACAAAAAAATTGCTGATATAGTTGGAAATTTACTTGTTTCATTCCTGATAGTTATCTTGAGTTTGTATCTCTGTGTTCTAAAATTTTGTATTTATATAGAGTTGCTAACAAAAAAGGTCCTTAAAAAAACAGTTCGTTTAGTTTCGAGTACTTAAAGACAGGATCGCTACTTTTGCATTCTTTTGGTTTGTTAATCCATCCCAATGCGTAGTTAATTACTTGTGCACATGCATAAATCCGTCAACCAAGATAATCTGTTATGCAGGTTCAATAAACTTGAAGACTGGGTCAAAATAAGTGACAAAAAAATATGAATTATTAGCAGATATTGGCTAGGTGTTGATGTCTAAGTCAAATCATCAATTTATGCTTGTGAATGGATTATGTGAAAATACTATAATTTTAAACCTGTGCCCAGATGCAAGTACCATATTATTTCTATCCATACATTAGTTTTTCATTAGTAAAGTAATTATATATATATATATATATGGACAGTGCAGACATGAGAAAACTAGTCATTTCATTTTGGTTAGAGGGTGTCTCTTGCACATTCTATTCGCCTGCTACACCCATTTTGTGCTAATGCATTGCTTATTTCCATTAGTTTTTCATTGGTCATAGTTGGCAGGATGTTTGTAATTAGTTCATTCATTTTGTATTTTCAGGATTCATAGGTCAGTAACATGCGGAGCCTACACTACTATGCCTTATCTCAAGTTCCAGTCTAATTCTTATGAGGATCAAAATAGGAGCCACAGCTCAGGGCTCACATCAACTTCCCAAGTCATTAGTTCTAAACTTCTACATTCATGGGTTTACCCTCAATCTACGCTACCACCTTCTCTTATACAAGTGTTGACCTCATCAACAGCTGAGGGAGGTGCGCCAAATATATATATATATATATATTTTTTTTTTTTTTGTTTGTTGCAAACTATTTTGATTTTCCCCTTTCTTATTTTCCTGAAATTGTCTTATTATCAGTAGTTTTACTTTTACTTTTGCAGCAGAAATGGAATTCTTAAGAAAACGACAGGTAGCATGGGAGGACTCATTTCAAAGTCTTTACTACATGCTTCGCAATGGGACCTGTAATATCTTTTATGGTAATTACTTGTGCCGATATATTGTGTTTTTTCAAGCCACTTTTATGTGTGTTTATATATGTAATACTTTTTGAACTCTCTTAATTTATTATTTATTGATGTACAATTGTTCCTCTACTGCAAAGGCTCCTAGCCTTCTTCTAAGAGTGGGGATAACATACAAGGATTAATTTCTCCCCATTTTTCAGTCTCTGCTAAATCTTTTTTTATGGTAGCTTTTGCATATAACTATAAATCGTCATACACAAAACAAGAATGTCTTATTTCATTGATGTAGCTTCAAGAAGGCATAGACTTTACTTTGTGGAGTCTTATGCCCTAAACCCTCTTTATTTTTTCCATATGAACTCCACACTGATTTCTGTTTTCATTTACAAATCTTATAGTGTGTACTCCATATTTTGTGGTGATGTTCACTGGTTCTGATGTCGCTGGAGGCTCAAAACGCTTCAACAATGCTTATATCTCACAGTCAACAGTAACCTTGCGATCATTGTTAAGAGAGCATGTAAGTTGCGAGTATTATTATTATTTTTTTCGAAGTGTATTCATCTTAATTGTATAAATGTTCACAGTTCTCTTGTTATTTTTGCCTTTTTGTTCTTTAAATGTAATGTTTCAGTCTGAGGATGGCCCTTGTACTGTTGTGTGTAACCTTGTCTTTGTTGTGTGTATTTTGTGTATCAGCTGAGTATGGACCTTGTATTGCTTTCTTTGTCCTTTTTTTTCTCTGTCTTACGTTTTTTCACTGTACAATATTGGCATCAGGATGTTTGTTTCTCTATGCCTCTTTGCCGTTCTAAAGTAGAGCAAGTCGCTCA